GGGGGGGAATAAGGGGGTTCAGATTAGATGAAAGTGGGAGGGGAGGGAGGATGGGTAGTACCTCTTCAAAGCCCCATTGTTTGAAGCCGTTGTCGCCGGGGGTGCTGCTGCTGCTGCTGTTCCAGCGGAGCTGATGCGAGGATGGAGGCTGCTGGCGACGGGGTTGGAGTTGGGCGTGAGAGTGGGAAGGGATGGTGGTGAGTCGGAGTGTGCTGCTGTTGCTGCTGCTGTTGCTTCGAATAGCACTGGTTGCGCTTGTGATGATGGATCGGCGGGCATTCGGGGTGTGCTTGACGGCGCGGAAGATAAGCGCAGCTGTGCGCCGCTGGACCGGGAGAAGCGAGGTCATTACGCCTGTGACGTTCAATTGAGGATACTGATACTCTGGAGGAAAGAGCACGTCGAGTATGGAATAGAATGGAGTCTGGATGAGCAGCCGGAAATGCGGCGTTCGCGGGTGATGTCAGCTCCGGGGCTTACCGCCTGCCTCTTGTATGACGGGTGGGTGGCGCTTCCACATGCAAATCTACTCCGGAATAAAAATTTATATACTATGGTTGTGCACTACTGGTCATGATTTGGGCTTTTCTGCAGTGCACATCACACTCTATCATCAATATTCGAGTCTCGCATTATTATTAGTTATAAGTAGCGTAATCTAAGAATGACATGCCACTTCACGGCTTCGTGAATCACTGAAGCGGAGCCACTTGGTTCGTTGCAAAATCATATACCTCCAGGCACCCATGCGCAGGCAACTCTGGATACCGCAAACAGCAGATGGTATCGCCGTTCTACCCCCGAGATGATGAAAGAAGAAGAAGAAGCAGAAGAAGAAGAAGAAAGGCGGGCAGTAGGGTAAGTAGTTACAAGGTCGAAGAAGAACAAAAGGTGGATCGAAGAAGAAGGGGGTTGTCTGCAGCCGTATCACCAGGACAGGATGCAACGCAGCACATGCGGGACACGGGGGCTCTCCTTCCACCTTTCAATGTGTCTGGCAGGTGATTGAAAGCCGAAGCTTCCGGCGTCCTGTCTCTTAAACGGAAAGGAAATGCTTAAGGGCGAGGGCGGAACGACAACAGGCAGTCATCCTATAAGAAATCAGCAAACTGCCACAATTCTGAGCTATAGTCAAAGAGACATACCTTGGGGAAGATAGTGGCAAACACCTTGATCTCCTCCGACTCGGGAGTAGGGGTGTGCTCCCAGTCCATCTCCATACTGGCCTTACCGATCATGGCCATCAGGTTCAGCTGAGCATAGGTCTGGCCCAGGCAGTAGTGAGGACCAGTGCCAAAGACAAGCCAGTTCTTGGTCTGTTGCTCGGCAGTACCAGTGATCCAGCGATCAGGCTCGAAAGAGTCGGCGTTAGGATAGGCCTCCTCATCGTGACAGGCGGGCCAGACAGAGGGGATGATCATAGAGCCCTTGGATACGGTGACGTTCTCGGTGATGGGGAAGTCCTTCTTGACCAAGTACGGAACCATGATTACAGGAGGGCGGTAGCGCAGGGTCTCCTTGACAACGGCGCGAGTGTAGGGCAAGTTATCGAGCAGCTCCATGGTCAGGGGAGCATGAATGTCGCCATTGCGAACACGCAAGTTCTCCTCGCGAACCTTGTCAAGCACGTCAGGGCGGTCGGCCATGATCTGGAACAGCCAAGTACTGGCCGCGCTGGTGGCGTCTTGGGAGGCGAAGAGGAAAGTGAACACGGTCTGGGCAATTTCATAGTCGGTGAAGTCACGCAGGAGCTGAGGCGGCTTCTCGTTGGAATCCACAGCGATGCCCTGGGCAAGCTTCTCCCGGTACTTGGCGGAATCCTGCTGGGCCTTGACCCAGGCGTCCATGATGCAAGTGATGTCTCCACCAGCGGCCATACGAGCCTTACTCTTAGCAGCGCAGTTCGAGAACTCCGCTAGAACCATGTCTGCGGCCTTCTTGCCGTACCAAGCCTTGGAGTAGGGGAGAATAACGGGGAAGTTGACCAGCTCAAGAGCAGCGGTGATCAGGTAGTAATCATCAGCAATCTTTTTGATGGCCTCTTCGGTGATGTAGTGACCGACGAATGTACGGCAGGAAACAGCACACATCAGTTCACGGAATTCCGGCATCCAGGGAGTCGGGGTGAAGTTGTTCTCCTTGGAGATCCGAAGGAAGCGAGCGTAGTAGTCGTTGTAAACCTCCTCCATGCGAGGGAGGTAGTAGGAAAGCGCCTGGCGCGTGAAGAGACCGTTCAAGCCCTTACGGAACTCGACGTGATCCTTGCCGTCCAAGAAGACCCAGTTATCCGCACCAAGGAGCTTGTGCGCAATGTCGACGACACAAGGCTTGACGAAGGTAGGGGAGTTGAAGATCTTGCGCGACATGTCACGAGTAGAAGCAATGACGACGAACCTGAGGACAAGCCGGTCAGATATTTCCCGAGTCCAGCGAGCAAGCACGAGAAACTTACTTGTGGAAGACAGAAACGCAGCTCAGCGCACCGCTGTCCCACTTGGCCTTGTATTCATGGAACTTGGGGTTGACGGATTGGAGGAAAGGGCCCATGAAAGGCATCTTCCATGCTGGGCCGATAATTGAACCCTTGAGCCATAGATACCGGACTGTTCCGATCATTAGCCACTTGGTCGAACTCCAGCACTCCCAATGAGTGCGCAGGAAAACGTACACTGATCATAGATCACAGCCGCAATGAACAGAGTCAAGAGAGCCTTCCAAACGGTAAACCCTTCAAGGACGGAGGCGACAAGGCCAGAGGGCTCAAAAAGTCTGGGGGAAATCACGGCATCCGCGGATGGAGAGGCGAAACTCCCATTGAGACTGGCCATGTTGGAGGGTGACTGAGCAAACAAAAGGTGCTCTCCAACAATTGGCGATGGGGAGAGAGAATTGAAAGAATGGAAAGGGGATGCGAGATAAAGAGAAGGGGAGGGGGAAGGAGAGAGAGGGAGAGAAGATCCTCGAGGGATTGGGGCGTGAAGAGTTGCAAGAGAGAAAGATCGGAGGAAGAAGCCAATCCAGGGGAGACGCAACTCTAATTTGGCGAGGGAAAAATGGGTGTTTTGATTAGCTGATAATATAATAGGATCGGGGCGGGAGGGGAGGCGGGGGGGAGCGGAAAACGGAAACACGGGGAGATGAAGAGAGAGATAGAGAGAGAGAGAGAGAGAGAGACAAGAGACTGACTGAGAGACTCTGCAGCAGTATAGACTAAGTAAGGATGTTCTGAAAGGTACGCGGTAGTTAACTAGATGGATTCACTCATTGAGTTTTGCACCTGCATAAAACCTCCAGACACATTATGCATCTTCGAGGGGGAAATTTGCAGCCTTCGAGAATAAAACTAGGCCCAAAGGGGGAATGGGACAGGAACGAGTCCGAGTGAGCCTCTCAGACCACTGCCGTTCCTGCTGATGCATTGACCAGGCTATAAACTTTTCCCAGGCCTCATCAGACGCCCTGGCAAGGCTCAAGTGTTTACTACCTACTCTCAGTAGTTTCTAATTCTCCTACTACTCAACAACTAGAGACTCAATGGTCAACCTCACTAAGTCAACCGCCAATTGTGATCGTGCCATTTGATGCTGGAAAGGTGATCCGGCTATCAACCTTCCGGGTCGGCTTTTCCGACTGGCCCGTGCAGACTGCCTTGATGTGATTACTGTACTGTTACTAATTGGTAGGTAGTCAGAAGTCTAGAGCATTGCATTATAGACTGGATTTACGTACATACTGGCTATTAGCACAGGCGCGGCGGTTCGGAAGAGACTCTAGGGAAATATATACAGTTGGGCTTTCCATGGCCTCCTACGCATATAGGCAGAGCAATGCCTGCATTTGCTTGTTGCGTACCAGTCAGGCTTCGATCAGCGTAAAAGTCATCACATCATATTCACACCAGCTGAGTTATTGCGAAGCTAACGTTCAAGAACTAAGTCTAACTCTTGAGAACATCGAAAGCAGAAGTCCATCGCTCAGCTGCGTCCTCAGCGGCCGAACCCGAACCAGCCGCGTCGCCCGCCCTTCTTCTCTTCTGTAGCCGTTTCTTCTTCTTGGATCTGAGGCGTTACCTGAGCCGCCGAGCCTTGACGCGGATAGTCAATGTAGTTCCAGGCTACGTCCAAGAACAATGGCTTAACGGGAATAGGCTGGATTTGTGGCGGGAACGGAACAATATTTTTCAGATCAATGGCATCGCCAGAGAACTCATGCAGACGCTCAATCACTGGACGCTCATTAGTCAATTTCTCTTGCGCTTCGACTGAAAGCTTCTCCACAGTCACAAGACCCCGGTACTGAGCAACCAAGCCTCGCAAAGTCGATCCCAAGGCAGAGACCTGGTTGCGTGAGACGTCCAGCTTTGGCGGACCTTCCGCGTCGACAGCGGACTGGAGAGACTCGCTAGGCTCCGTGACAAGGGTCAAGGCTTGTTGAAATAGAGCAAGAGCGTTGGTGGGTTTGCTGAGAATGCCGTGCGAGCGGCCGATCGTCAGACATCTGAGATGCAGAATGGTCAGTAAGACTTATGAATAATGTTTGACAGACAGGCCAATATACCTCAAGGCACGGAAGTAACGTCGTTTGGCCTCTAGCTCAGCCACAAACACGGAATCTGCGGCAACTCCTGGCAGTTCCAGAATAAAGTCGATACTTTGCAGTGTGGAGTCATATAGCACGACCCGCTCACGTAGTCGCCCCAGTTTCTTGCCAATCGTTTCCTCCACTGTCCCAGAACCCTTAGCATTCTTGAATTGTTTAGCGGGGCCTGCCTCAAAAGAGACGCCGTCATGTTCTCCGCACAAGACGCGATTACGCCCGATTCTCCATGCCACCAAGCCGTAGTTCACAGCCGTCCGCGTGATTTGTAGCGCTTGCATCCTCTTATCGCTGGGTTCCACACCCTCGGCTGCGAGGTCATCAATTGCAGTCTTCGTAGCATCTACTGCGTCTTGGCTCGCGATGATGACGTTGTCATAGGCAGCGGCCTTTTCCTTCGGCGAAGCAGATTGTCCGGCGCTCCCCGTGAGCCAAGCGGCAAGACGGGACTCCGCTGCGGCGGCGGATGCGAGAGCCTGCGATATAGTGGCATCTTCCAGTGTGACAGTTCGCGACCTCCAGGAAATGGTCTCGGGAAGTTGCTGCACTTCTCCGTCGGCAGTTCTTCGTGTTCCAGCGGCCTCCTCTTTCAAGCAATTGGGGTCGACCTTTTCAACTTCAGATCGGATGGTAGCGTCGGACGGGAAATAGCTGATTGCCAAGGACGGGAGAGGCTTAGAGCGAGGAAGCTTCATCTGATATGCAGCATATCTTAAACTGGGGTCCACGGTACCGGAGAGCAGGTCACGAAAAGCATCCTTCTTGACCTGCTGCCCTAGAGCCACGTAGATCACTCGGGCAATAGCATAACTTCGAAGACACTGCTCCCACTTGCGCTTCTCCAGGAACATTGCTCCCGAGAGCGATGCCAAATACGCACGTGCCTCTAGAATATCAATATCAGTCGCGCCCGAGGTTGCCTGATCCTCCAGAATTGTGACCAAATGCTTCGCATAAGTGGTAGCTCGATTGAAGCGTGCGATAATGTGGCTTCTGGCAGCACCAGAGATCCCCTTGGCTGACGGGTCGGCTGAGTGCGTTGTTTTCTCGTGCATTGCTTGCGCCCATGCTCGCTCGGCGCTGGTGAGTAAGACATGGACATATCTGAGAGGCGAAAACAATGAACCCAGGTTAGTGAACACATCGTTATTTGACTAGAAGGCAAAAGGTGCTGGGAAGAGGACGTACTCCACATTCTTGCTCACATCCTCTGCGCTAATAGCAGGTTTGGCAGTATATTTCCGACCTTTGGGGGTTGTCTGTCCAAGCCGCTTCTGGAGCTTGTGCAGCTTCCGGCTCGTGTATGCATGGTAGGCGTTGTAATTTCCAGTAAGGAGAGCCTCTTCCCGGTGAGCAAAGATAAAGTCTGTAATATCCATCTTCCTAGTGGGGTTGACCGATTGATCAAGATATCGCTTCGTGATGGTGGTGCTATTCCCACCCAAGCAGTTGCCGGCTGATGTGGTCAAGTCTCGGCCAAACAATCGGCCGGCTGATTTTGCGGGTGTTGCTTTTCCAGCAAGCTTGTTGCTACTAGACCCTCAAAATTTCCTTCCGAGGCTCTCACCACCAACATTGCCCCCCTCCCCAGGCACCGAACCTTTCGCAGAGAAATTACGAGCTTAGAAACTCCTCCACTTTTTGAGTATAAGTTTCTTTGCTTGCAGCCAGGTGTGCTGGGTGGCAGCACGTCTTCAGCGATCGGTACAACCTTCCTTCGGCGTGGTACGACTGGACTCCCTTCGAACGCCCCAACCCCTACTCGGTCGATCGTCTAACCCAAGTTCCCTTCCTCGTCTTTAGTCAAGGAGCTCGATATGTTATGTATAGTAGTCAGTCATCGGTGATATCAGGGTTACACGCCGCAAATCTTTCGAGGTGATGCTGGAACGAGCGGCCGGGTGTCTCGAAAACGCAGGACGACGTTTCTTTCGGGATTCAAATGGTGCCATCCGAAACCGAAGATCGTTATACTCTAGTCTTGCACAGTATTCGGCGGCCAATTTGGATCTTCAATTCGGCTCTCTGATCAATCAGTCGCCCCAACGACCCGCGTCGAATGATCGAAACGCCACCCCGCACGTCCATGATACACGAACGCCAGTCCTCGACTTCTTGTATCCGCTTTCGACTCAGGAATTTGCAGCTTCCTGCCTTCTTCGAACACAAAACAGACTTGTCCCGCGTCGAAGGAGGAGGGCAGCTCCTGGCTTGAAGAGAGCCTATACATCGCAAGCAGCAAGCAACGCTCCTCATGGATCAAACACATCCTCCAATGAACGTGATTACGAGGCTTACGATGGTGCATGGTCCCGTTATGTCGCTGCTGGCCATCCTGATCAAGTCAACGCAGCTCTCCTAGAGTTTCTCAGCGCTTCAAACAGGATTGTGGATTTTGGACGCTCAAAAAGAGTGTTCGATCGGATTCCTCTCCAGTCACGGTCCCAAGAAGATTACTTGAACATAATCAAGTCGGCTATAGCTACCAAGAAACTGCTGGATGCGAAGAACCTCTGCGAAGAAGCTATCCTCAATGGCACTGGCATCAAATCTTGGGCTTTTCTTCTGGCCCGGTTCGCAACTGCTCTGCGGTGGGATCGGGCGCAGGTGATTTGGGACCTCAGGTCATCCTTCTTGGAAACTGAAGGCGCCCAGTTATGGGATGCACTCGCTTCGCTCTTGGATATGTCCACTATTGAGGACCTTTTGGTCCCCCTTGCAGACTCTATACAACAGCAAACATCGAGCACATCGCTGCATGATTTCGCTCGCTTTCTGCTTGACAATGTTTGTACCAGTCAAGCATTTTCCGAAAAATGCTCGGTCGACAGTATCCTGCTAATCTTGCAGAAGTACAACAACATTCACATGGTCAAAGCTGCACATTATATAAAACTTCTTAACACACTTCGGACATCCGAAAATAGGCAAACATTCGTCCGGACTATTGTGATCTACCGGAACTATCGTTGGAGAATGGATGGTCATGTTCCTTCAGCCAAGCTTTTAGGCCATCTTGTGAGACGCCTTGCCTCCTTTGAGATGACGGCTGGGCTGTTGTACATGCTCGATGAATTCACTCAATTTTATGGGAAACCGACCTTGGACGCCTATAAGCATGCAATGATTGCGTTCTCAAAAGTCGGTGACGTTGACACCGTTAATGATCTTTTCGACAAGATGGTGTCCCACCATGGAAAGCCTCAAAGCCGTAGGCTTGTGACTCCTCTTCTCTCTGTCCATGCACGGGTCGGGAACGTGCGAGAAACGTTACGTCAATTTAACCGTGTGTCTGAGGAATTCGGTCTTCGCCTGAATACTGTATGCTGGAATATTTTGCTCACAGCCTACGCTAACGCCGAGGACTTGAGTGAGTGTTTTAAGCTATTGAGGAAGATGTTTGATGAGGGCATGGAACCGAACTCGCACACATTTGGTATTGTGATGGGTATCTGTGCCAATCGTGGCGATGTACAGGGTGTTCGTGACTTGCTCGAACTCGCAAAACAGTATCGTGTACAGATTACGGCCCCGCTGATTGACACTATTGTGGAAGCGCACTGCCATAACCAGGAATTTGAAGAGGCGGAATCGGTCGCAAAGACGTGTCTTGATCTAGATGTTACGGGCTCGCGGGTCAGAATGTGGAACGTTCTATTGTGGAACTACGCTTTCAGAATAGACTTGGAGGCTATTTCTCGGGTCCGCATGCTCATGGATGAAGCCGACGTGCTCCCAGATGGAATGACTTATGCCGCTCTCATGCTTAGTCTAGCCCTCATCGGCAAGACAGAAAATGCTCGTCGTATCTTGAGAGAAATGCACCGCAACAATCGCGTATATACTACCGAGTTCCACTACGCCATCATCCTGCTCGGCTATGTGAGGAGCAGAAACCGAGATATGGTACACGTGATATTCAAAGAAATCCAAGAGCGATTCGGAGAGGCTGGTCTCGCCTCACGGCTCCTTGTTCTCAGAAGCCAGCTTGCACGAGATCTCCAAATAATCACACATGGGGGCGACGCCGCTGCCGAAGCCTACACTCGGCTAGAGCACGCAGAGAGATTTCTCGAAGAGACCATCTCAGAGGTTAAAACTAGCAATCTGGCGACAAAGTCCCCTGTGCTGGGTGCTGGCCGAATGTCCGCCAAACAAGCGTTCCCGGTCGCCTACTACGAACACATGATGAATGCTTATGGACGTCGCGGAGCTTCTCGAAGAGCTCAAGAGCTGTTTGACGAATATGTACAGAGTCAACCCACCTCGTCTAACGAGGACGTGGTCGAGATGGCTCCAGTTCGCCTACTAACAGCACTGATGCTTGCTCATTCCAAGGCGGGTGAACATGAAAAGGTTGAAGAATATTGGAACATAGTCTTTCCACGCGCTATCAAGATGGCCAGTCGACCAAACATAGAATCCTGGCTGCCCATCCCAGCCTCCTCAGATGAGGCACCTCTTCCGTCAAGCGAGGAGGTCCTTATTGTCAGCTCTCAAGCCCCGAGAGAATCTAGTTCAGAGGGAGCCGCCTCGGATACACCGGAGCTCTCGAACTTCTCCATCTTGTCTGCGCATCGCTTTATGCTCTCTCGAGCCCTTTCACTGGTGATACGTTCTCTGGCTTACCGAGACGAGATCTCGAGAATACCTCAGGTCATCTTGGAAGTCGAAGAGGCTGGGTTTGCCCTAACAACATACAATTGGTCCGCGTTCATTCAGATGCTCGCATGCTCTGACCACCCGTCGGATCAACTTGAAGCATTCACCATGTTCGAGCATCGCTTCATGCCTAACTTCCCTGGGTGGAAGTATCTACGCCGCGGATACGGTCTCAAGCCGCAAGGTGTGCCTGCCACAATCGATGCTGTGGAACAACCGAAGCAAAAACATCCCCCAAACCTGCTTGGTAAAGAAGGTCGACGTTATTGGAGCAAAATCCAGCCGGACTTCATGCAGCCTACTTATGTAACAATGGTGTATCTGGCTGCTGCGTTGAATGCATTCCGAGCGAGAACTATCCGCAACGGACCCGCCGAGCTTCAGGCACTGTTTGACCTAGCGCCGAACACAGTAAAGGCGGTGGGTGAGATTCCTTATCTTCGTGACAAGTACCAAGGTGTTCTGCTCCGCCAACGTGAACAACGACCCGACAAACGGGCGCCCGAGCTAGATCATTTCGTATGGACGGGAGGTCTTCTGGGCACCGGTGGTCTCAGAAGGACTTTCTCTAAAGTTGAGTCCAAAGTGAAACCGTCCCATGATGAACCAGAGGAAGGGACATTGGATGCGGAAGTTGCGAATGATGCCGAAGAAGCTGCGGACTTTGAAGAGGCTATCCCGGATATCGAAGAATTCCGCAGTCTCTTTATGAGGACATTGGAGAGGCCGGATGAGTATGACATGGAGGTCGAAGCCCTTCTGAACAGAAGACGCAAATCCTCAGGTACCAAAGAGGAATTAGACGATGTTGGACACAAGATTCGGAAACCCAGAATTCGGAAACCGAGGCGGCGTATCGGCAAAGACATCAGAGATGACGGTAAACGTGTCAAGTCTGAAGACGCCGCTGCAGATGCCGAATACGGTGATGAAGAGGTTGACGACGACGTCTATGTTGGCCCATATACTACACGCCATAAGGATGTTCAACGTGGTGCAGATGCTGACGATGACACCTATGTTGGCCGGTATACTAGACGCCATAAGGACGTCGAAGATGACGATGATGCTGAGGAGGCCTATCTTAGCGAACTCGAAAAGAGAGACAAGATAAGAGCCATGGCACTGCGAGAACGGAGAAAACTCAGAAGGAGAAACTCGGGCGATGACTAGTGAAGTGAGATGTCCCAAGAAGGATGCAGAGGTGCACTCGGAAGGAGAGCAATGGCATGAGGCAGGTGTGTAAGAGATAGGTTGTCTCGAGGTGTACATATTTGAACATTCTCCTTGTATATTATCTATTTAAGAGTGTACAGTACAAGATTTCATTGCGCAGACCTTGCTCTATCCAAAAGCAAAAAAAGGCATAGTTACCTACCCAGATAAGTACTCTGTATAGTCTCGACCAACCAAGATGGCGCACTATCCGAGGAGTCAGTCAGCTATGCAAGATGAGTCAGCAATGTCAACATAGTTATGCACGGCACGATCAACGCTTTCTGCAACCTGACGCGTTCTAATATTACCCTATTGGGACGTCGCGTTTCGACCCGAAAGAACGGTTTCTCCGCCAACCCACCCTTCCCATCAAGAGCAAGCAAAAATCACCCTTCGCACCCCCCACGTTTGCGTTGCAACCCCGGAGATAATCATTACTGATACTCCCTTATAGATTCATTTTCTGTTTCAATCATTGCGAGATACCCTTCCTGTTGTTAGCAAGAATTCCACTCTCATGGAGGGTCAATATGATGATGCTGCACAAGATCGTGTGCGTGCCGCTGTCGAGTTCCTCGACCCAAGTAAGTATTTCGTTGAATTGTCTTAACTGATAACGTACTGATTGCTCTGCCTTGTAGGTGATGCTAGAGCGCGCAGGTTCGTCGGCTTCCGGACTATCCCAATACAGGTGCAATGCCTTTTCCCGGTGATCAAAGGTCTAACCTGAACTAGTTATCGAGCCGATATCCTGTTGATGCTTAACAGAGGGCTGCGGCGCTTGATAGTGAGTCGAGGCTCTCATCTTACCTCAAATGAATTGAGCTAATAATCACACTCCTGGGTGTAGGTCAGCATCGATGAAATTCGAGCACATAGCCGTGAGATGGCTGACGGGTAGGATCCGCAAGGCCGTCTTCGATGTCTGGATCGCGCCGGCTAATGATTTGCAGTCTTCTCACATCTCCTTACGAATTCACCGATGCCTTCGAGAGAGCACTGAAAGATATCATCAAGACATTGCCGAACAGACCGTCCAGAGAAACAGCAGACGATGTGGTACGACGTTTCCAAGGCCCGTGTATGTGCGCACAGGAGTTGACAAGAGACAGCATTACCATTGCGGCTTTGTTGGTGCCTTCGGAGAGTTCTCCTGCAATCCCAGAACACTTGGTTCCTCGCATCTGAACCGCATGATCTCGTTGGAGGGAATTGTTACCAAGTGCTCCCTAGTCCGACCGAAAGTTATCCAGAGTGTTCACTGGAGTGAGCGCACCAAGAAATTCCTTACCAGAAAATATGTTGATGCGACGATGACTGCAAGTGGAGCAACTAGCATGAGTGTATACCCTCAAGAGGACGAAGAAAAGAATCCGGTATGTTTTTGCATGGTATGTCGCTTTTAACCGACGCTGACAACGTCCGTCTTTTCTTAGTTGACCACGGAATATGGCTACTCTACCTACATGGATCACCAAACAATTTCAATTCAGGAGATGCCTGAGCGGGCACCGGCTGGTCAACTTCCGCGCAGCGTGGACGTCATTCTAGACGATGATCTGGTCGATCGAGCCAAACCTGGAGACAGAATTCAGCTTGTCGGTATCTACCGGACTTTGGGTAATCGAAACGCATCTTCCACATCCGCCACATTCCGTACGCTTGTACTAGCCAACAATGTCATCCAGCTGGCGTCTAAATCGGGCGGCGGCATCGCCCAAGCTACCATTACCGATACCGACATTCGAAACATCAACAAGGTTGCCAAGAAGAAGAGTGTGTTTGAGTTGCTATCTCAATCTCTCGCTCCCAGTATTCATGGCCATGACTATATCAAGAAGGCGATTCTGCTTATGTTGCTTGGTGGCATGGAAAAGAACTTGGAGAACGGTACTCACTTGCGTGGTGACATCAACATTCTCATGGTTGGTGATCCATCTACTGCCAAATCACAGCTGCTTCGCTTCGTCCTGAATACTGCACCGCTTGCAATCGCAACTACGGGTCGTGGTTCTTCCGGAGTCGGTCTTACTGCTGCCGTCACTTCTGATAAGGAAACCGGTGAACGCAGACTGGAGGCTGGTGCCATGGTCCTTGGTGATCGTGGTGTTGTCTGTATTGACGAGTTCGACAAAATGAGTGACGTCGATCGTGTGGCCATTCACGAAGTAATGGAACAGCAAACAGTCACTATCGCAAAGGCTGGTATCCATACGAGCTTGAATGCTCGGTGTAGCGTCCTAGCTGCCGCCAACCCTATTTACGGTCAATATGATCCTCACAAGGACCCGCATAAGAACATTGCCCTGCCTGACTCTCTTCTGTCACGTTTCGACTTGCTCTTTGTCGTGACCGACGACATCGAGGATGCGAAGGACCGGATGGTGTCCGAGCATGTTCTTCGCATGCACCGCTACCGCCAGCCTGGCGCTGAGGAAGGTGCCCCCGTCCGTGAACAACAGCATCAGACTCTCGGTGTCGGCTTAGAGGACAACCAGGATTCGAACCATCCCACTGATGTCTACGAAAAGTTCAACGTCATGCTTCATGCTGGCATGGCTAACCAACGCAGCAAGAACAAGAACGTCGAAATCCTCAGCATACCCTTTATCAAGAAATATGTTCAGTACGCTAAAACTCGTGTCAAGCCTGTATTGACCAAGGGAGCCGCCGACCACATCGTGACGACTTACTCGGCGCTCAGAAACGAGGACTTGTCTGGCAATCAGCGCAGAACATCTCCTATCACCGCTCGTACGCTCGAGACTCTCATCCGTTTGTCCACAGCCCATGCCAAATCGCGTCTCTCGAACAGAGTGGAGGAACGCGATGCCAAGGTTGCAGAGTCGATCCTGCGATTTGCTATGTATAAGGAAGTACTTGACGATGAACGGCGAAAGAGGAGAAAGGTCACCACGTTCGACGATGATTCAGAAAGCAGTGACCTCGATTCTGACAGTGATGATGAGACCCCTGCGCAGACTGCAAGTGCGACTCCCCGGTCAACGAGACGGGGTGGGCCGAGAACCCGCGGTGCTAACGCTCTCTCCACCATGACCGAGGACACTGAGATGGATGCGGAGGGAGACGACGTTTCCGAGAATGGTGATGGTCTGTACAATTCTAGCCCTCGTGGCCAGCGTCTCCGTTCCAGCCGTACTCAGCCCGAGTCGCAAAGCCAATCTCAGATGTCTGTTGCATCGTCCCGTCCGGCGTCGCAGCTGGTTGGATCTCAGACGGACACCTCTCAGTCGCAGACTGCTAGTCTTTCGTCTCAGCCTATCCAGCCTGCTCGTCTGACGGTCTTCCGCCAGGCTCTAGGCCCGCTGATGGGCACCCAGTTGTTCACTCACGAAGACACTGCCGATGTGGAGAGGCTCATCGGGGCCGTGAACACCGCTATTCGCAGCGCACCGACACTCGGCGAAGGCCACGTCTTCCAGCGTGCGGAGGCACTGCAGGCCCTGCGGGCTATGAACGAGAGAAACGAATTGATGTAAGTGGCACTGACCCTAGCCCTCTTCTTTCCGAGTAATAGCTATGTATAGATGACTAACCATCCTTCACTCTTGCGTACAGGTACCTCGAGGATGATGAAACTGTTTACCGAATCTAATGCACCATTTGGTTGGGTGTTATCTGGGCATAGAGTATGGGTGTTTCTTTTTGCTATACGGAATCAAGCAGGTTTTGATGTGACATGGTCCTTTCGTCAAACACAAATTCTATCTACATAATTGATCACGGAGGAGAGAATCCGGCGTTCTTGAGAGTACTTTGTCTTGTATCTTGATCCGCACTAGGAATCTCGAAGTAGTGTGTGTATTTGTGAGTCGGTAAATGCCACCATACCCCGCAGCAGTAGTATTTTGGCCCAACAGTGCACAAATTTTGACACATGAAGTGACATGTTCATCATATCAACTCATCTACTCATGCCTCATGCAACCTAGTTCCTGGAAAGCTAGGTTGTAGAAGTATGCACCAATCTAGTCTAGCCAAATTTACTGATTTCGCTTGACGTTAGGGTTCAAATCATGCCATTATCCTTCCTCTCAATGTCCAAATTTCGCAACATGAATACAAGATACATAGAGATATAACCGGGTATTAAAGAGAAGAGTAGAGGGGGAGGAACGAAAAGATATCTGCTGGCGACAGAATGAAAAGAACAGAAGAGAAGAGGCGAGAGGAAGCTGGAGGAAGCCACACACTCACACACAGACAACACACTGGTAGGGAAGTCTACATCAGGACAGAAAAGGGACTAAGGCGCTTGAGCATTTGAGGGATGGAGGAGGATTTAGGACCCACGGGGTATAATTATCGAGATTTTCATGCGGTTGAAGGTCAAGAAGTTCTGCCTGGATTTCTCGAGTGGCAGAGAATTGGCGAGTCTGCCACCCGTTATCTTTTGTGTGGGGGATTGATGGTTTCTTTATGTTGGGGTGAATTATTTGCTTCTTCATTTTGTATCGCCCGGAGTACTGCCTCTTATCGAGGAGGAATCATCAGATGAAAAGGACGGGGTGCGTAGTACACCCTCGCGGACTGGTGCTTGTGTCAATGGTGAGAGGCCACGGGTGGCCGGTTTAGCGCTTTTCTTCTTGCGCTGTTGCTGCTGTTGTTGTTGCTGCAGCAGATGGTGCGCGTGATCTAGGCTAGAAATCGGGCTGGTGCTGCCCCGGCGTGGGCGGCCGCTGATAGACGATCGCGACGGGGGCCGCTCGTCCGTGTCCACGGGGGTGGTGCTTCGGGAAGGGGTTCGGGAATGCGATTCAGAGCGAGTACCCCGTCGTGCGGGGGACTTGGGCTCGAGACTATGTTTGGAGGAGATACTGGAGTGGTGATGGTGACGGTGTTGGGGACCGGTTTCGCTGGACCGGCCGAGGGTTGCTGCGGCGAGTCGGCGACGCTGCGAGGTCTTCCAGCCAGACCCAATCCACCAGAACCAGCCGCGGTCCTGCTGAGCTATCTGACGCTCCTTCTGGAGCAGCTTCTGGCGCAATTGAGCACGGCGCTCGTTCTCTTTCTCCCAAAAGTCGGTACGATAGTCGTCCCAGTTCTCGCGGAATTCTGGGGAGAACGATTTCGGGAGGAGAAGCAGCCGAATGTAGTCACCTCCTGGACTGAGGTCTTCCTGTACAAGACCCGATTCTGTGTCCTGCCCGTAATACTGCTGGTAGTGCTGCCGACTACCGCGTTTCTCGGACACAGGACGCTCGATGTAGTGGAAGTCCCCGATGGGCGACGGGGAGAAGGGATCAATGAATGGAAATAGAAAGGAGATATAGGAGAGCAACTCCTGCCACCAGGGACCTCGAATGACGACGATTTTGGTATTCATGGTGCGAAGGCCACGGTTGGCCACGGCGAGCCAGCGCCGCGGCCACCGCACCCCACGCTCCCATTGTCCCGTACCCCAGACCAGTAGGGCAGTGACGACGCCTCCAAGAAGAGCGACTTTCTCGCCCATTTCGACCACCCAGTAGACCGACCCACCCACTCCGCGGCCATCCTCGCGGGGCCGGAGGAACAGTGCGTAAGCGAAATAGGTGATCCAGATAGCCAGCAACAGCAGGAAAAAAGTATTCTGCCTGCGACGTTCGCGCAGGGCTAGATACTGAGCTCGCAGCGAGCTTTCCAGTATGAGGAGATTAAGGTATATCTGGGGTGGTGACGAAGGCAAGTTCGAGTATGCATCGGGCGTGGCCGGGCGTGGCGGGGAAGAGGAGTCGGATGTCGGGGATCCATTGTATGGAGCTGCAGAAGTCGACGAGTCGGACGACTGGGCTGCAGGAGAGCCTTTGACAAGCTGATCGAGGCTGGCGGCGGCCATGGCTTTACCTCGCGAAGAGGGTGCGAGCGACTCGAACTGCAGTAGGGAAGATCGCAGGATCCCTTGTGGAGTAAGTAGTTACAGTACAGAGATTCAGCCGCGCGGATCAGATGAAACGATCAAGAGTCAAAAACAGAAACAGGACAATCAAATGGCCTTTGCGGCCCTGCTCTATCTCATCGCATGAAAGTGAAAATCGAGTTTTGTGGAGGAAAGATAATGGAGATGGCTGGGGAGGGAGAACAAGAGAGAAATGAGAAACCAAGCGAAGCAAAGCAAGCAAAGCAATCAATCGTCATCCGCCAAATTGTTGGCCGTTGAGGCTCCACCACAACCTCGTCCATCTTTCTCCAATCTTCAACAACCTTCTTTCTCGACACCACGACGTTTTCTTCCACATCTGCATTCAATACGTGACTGCCTGGCTCTGTACGATGAACCCAATATAGTCCTTCTTCACTCATCATCTATTGCCTGCACTGCCTCGAGCCTCCTGCGGAATCGAGCTGCTTAACTCCATCCGAGTCGGAATTATCGGTCTTTGGCGTCGCCTCAACCATTTCCAATCTTCTCCTCCACCTGTCATCAACCGCCTTCGGCCAACCTATATCTCAGCCCCTTTCCTTCATTCGCTTCATTCTCGATATACAAAACCCTGAGTGACAGAGAAACCCCCCTCTGTCACTCCGTCTCTCCGTGCGACAAGGTGTATACCGCGCGACTTCCTTGCCTCTCCCTCCAGGCCCCTACATTGCCATCCTGGGCTCCCCGCAATACCCCTCGCATTGGCACCTCCCCATTACTTTTCGCACCCAGACGACTTACATCCGCAATGGCATCTGAACAAATCAACTCGCCCAAGGGTGAGTTTAAAGATTCCGGTTCTCAACGAAGAGACGGCACTCCCCACGCTGCTCTCGGAGCAAGCGCAACCCCCACACCCTCCGGCTGGTTTCCTTTGGGATACCGAGAGGGCTTCAGCCAATGGGTAGGTTTCCAGAACAAAAATTTGGTTTTGGTGTATTTCTTGTGGCGATGGTCACTGAACCGCAGTTCTATCTCTGCAGTGGGCGTCATTACCGGCTGCCACGACCGAACACAAAGTCCTCTCCTACCTACCCTATCTCCAGCACGAACCCCCGACGCACCTTCAAACCGGAAAGACTAGCACATCTCCCAACGGTGGATCAGGAAGTCTACAATCTGCAGACCATAGCGAAGAGGGCGACGTCACAATCAATTCCACCAACGATCCTTATGGCCCCCGACGATGGCGCTCAAGCATGGTGGAACTCAGCGGCAAAAACCGAGCTTTGAATGAGTTCTCTGTCGAGCGCGTAGGCGAGGAGGCAGATCAACATCTGGTCATGGTCCATGGGTATGGAGCTGGCTTGGGCTTCTTCTACAAGAACTTTGAACCTCTCAGCCGACTCAAAGGCTGGCAGCTCCACGCGCTAGACCTCCTAGGCATGGGCCGCAGTACACGTCCACCATTCCGCATCAAAGCGAAGGAGCGGGAAGAGGCGATCAAAGAAGCCGAGGCCTGGTTCGTGGACGCCCTGGAGGAATGGCGTGTGAAGCGCAAGATTGACCGCTTCACCCTGATGGGCCACAGTCTGGGAGGCTACATGGCAGTGGCATACGCCCTCAAGTATCCCGGTCGTCTCAATAAGCTGATCCTCGCCTCGCCCGTGGGCATTCCCGAAGATCCTTATGCAGTTAAGGCAGAGATGCCCGAATCCTCCTCTTCAGGGAACGAGCTGTCGCAGAACCAACGTGCTATCGCTGAATCAGCCTCCTCAGTCGCGCCCGGTGAGGTGCAGAAGGGAGACAACAACATTCTCCTCAAGGGTGCTCCTAGCAATTCCCCGGACCGTCCTCGCCGGATGGTCCCTAAATGGTTTGCCTACCTCTGGGATGCCAACATCTCCCCCTTCAGCCTGGTACGATGGGCTGGACCCCTCGGCCCACGATTGGTTTCTGGATGGACATCTCGCCGCTTCTCGCATCTACCAGCTGATGAAGCCAAAGCCCTGCACGATTACTCTTATTCGATTTTCAGTCTCCGTGGTAGTGGCGAGTACGCCCTATCTTACATCCTTGCGCCCGGTGCATTCGCCCGCAGTCCGTTAATCCGTCGCATCCAGGGCGTTGGCCGGCAATATATCGAGCAGAATCCCTCCCCCGCATCTGCCCTACTCACCCCCACCAAGGCTACGCCTGACACTTCTTCCGCCCCTTCGTCCTCATCTCCAAACCCCACGGCCAAGCGTGAGAACGGTCTTCCCGTCGTGTTCATGTACGGTGATCACGATTGGATGGACGTGAAGGGCGGCTTCGCAGCCAAGGCCAAATTAGATGAAGAAAAGGAGCGTATCCTCCGCAACGCGACTCCGGAGGAGCGCGAGGCGGACAACGGCTCTGCCAAGGTGGTGATCATCAAGCGGTCCGGACATCACGTCTATCTCGATGGATGGGAGGAATTCAATCGGGTGGTCTTGGCCGAGATGGAAGAGGTTGAACGCAAAGAGCGAGCAATCAGAGAGAATAACTGAAGCGCGTGTTTCCGTTTTGCTCGATCTTTGGTGTTCGCCCTGGAGTAGGGAAGTTATAGGAGTTGTGCCTCGCTTTGCAGTGGGGACGGGTCTCGTTTGTTCAGTTGAAAGCGCTGTTGATCCGTGTTGCGGTCCATATATTATACACTATACTACACCCATGTCTGTGATCTAAAGGTAGGATAATGAGAAGAAAGAACATATATTCACAATTCAATGGCTCTTTTCGAATTTGGACGAACTAAGCAAAAGAGACTCGTTATTTAGATGTATCTTATGGAGATAGCAAGCGTCACTATGATACTAAGATTCCACGATCGGACTTTCAGAACTTTCAGAAACCATGGCGAACAGGCATACTTCACTTTTGGCGGTAAGTTACACTACGTTGGATTGCATGTAGCGAGCACTCCGATCGCAGGTCCCCGTGGCCACTCACGGCTGCAGGAACTGAACCCCCGAGTTCGGCCCGGATATACTTCTTCGACGATATCGCAGGCCTGTCGAGTAATGCGCCATCGACTTCCCCGGCGGCCTGGGTGACCACCGCCCCTCGACCGGGGTTAAGGATCCGCTGGAACTGGCCCTGCTGGCGGGTCGTGCGGCGAAGTAGCCGGCACCGCCGCTACCAGACGGCGGTCCATCGATCACTGCACTCGACGACGAGTGGCCATCCATGAGTGGTGGGCGAGTGTCATCAGCAGCAGCAGTAGCAGCAGAAAGTGTCTCCGTGACGGAGGAGGGTAGCTGCTTGATCGTGGATGATGACGGAGAAAAACCCCGCAGACCACCACGGGGTTCCGAGTGAGTTGGTGCTACGACCCCAGGATCGGGTCGACTAGACAGTGACAGGAACAAGGAGCTGGTCGACAGCTTGGAGACTTGGAGGGAAGAAGTAGTCGCCGACCGGTGGTGGTGACGATGCCGTCCTCCACCATGCTGCGGGTGCTGCGGCTGCTCTTGGGAAGAGCGTCGTGGTCGCCAGATGGCCGGGGACGACGGGTCGACGAGCTCCGAGGTGCTACTGTTGCTGCGGAGGGTGAGGGGCTGGGAGGGGAGCTCGAGGCGTTGGTTAATGGATAGCCATGCTCGCTCGTCTTCGTCTTCGCCGTCGCTGTCGTTGTCGTTGGCATCTCTGACGAGGAGGCCGTTGGGCGAGGGCGAGGTGGTCCCCGAAAGGTGATGGTGAGGGTATCTGGACGACGAGCGCCACCCGCCGAGACCCTCGAAGTCGCGGCCAGAGTCGCCGCTGATGAGGCCGAGGAGGCCGGCGGCAGAGGGGGCGATGTGGCCGCTTGCGTTGCGTCGGGATGGTAATGGTTCTTTGCACATGCGAGTCGGAATTTCTGCTTGTTGTTGATGTTGGTCGTCAGAGGAGTTGGAGGCGCTTTTGGTGCGGATGGTGTAGCTGGGACGTCTGTTTTGGACACGTGAGAGGGAGTGTGCCAGGTGATGGCTGTGATGGTGAGACATCAAGGTGGGTAGGGATTTGGGCGCGCCATGGTCTATGGAGAGTCGCTTGGGGGTTGACGCTGCTGGAGTCGAAGGCTCAGAGGGGGCAGAGAGATTCAGTAGCGAGATGTTGGTGGCGGTTGGGATGACGAAGAAGTTGGCGATGATGGCGAAGCATAGCTCCAGGTAGATGATGAGCAGTCGACAGATAAGCGCCAACAGTGAGAACCCAATTGTGATCCAAGCAGAGATCACGAGGGGAATCGAGATGAATACTAGGAACGGGAGTGTGATTAGAACTGACAAAGAGGCTGACATGAAGACGGTGGACTGTGTGTGAATGTATGTACTTTAGGTTGGTCGATGGACGTTACTTAGGGCGCTTTATCACAGGTGAGGCCAGCTGAGAAGCGACCTTATTTCCATCATCATGGGGGATTAAATGAAATGAAGGCAGAGAAATGATGGAAGTCGTAAAATTATAAGCAGCTGATTTGCTTCAATGGATTTCCAACTTCGCAATTCTCCGAAAATGCGGAGAAGTGCATGTGATGCCGGCTGCCCCAGGCATTCAACCCTCGACGACCTTTAGACTGTTAAGTGTGAGGAGAGTCAGAGAGCCATCGTCATCATCATCATAATAATAATAGGTTGAATATACACTTAGACAATGAACAAGGAAGAGCATCAGTTGGCTATTGCACTCTTCTAAAAAATGCATCATGCTGCTGTGACTTGGAGTGCACCAATCCTGTTACGTCACTGCAACAACATCCTCATGATTTCCGACTTCACAAATCTCAACACTAACTACTTGCCACCTTCGCAGTCGACGTCTACCCTCGAAATGTTCAACTCAAAGCACAATGATGAGTTTCCATGGCATCTGGGCGTTTATGACGCCCATTGCCATCCCACGGATACAATGTCGTCCCTTCAAACGATTCCACAAATGAAAGCAACGACTTTGACGGTCATGGCCACTCGTGGAGAGGACCAGGACTTGGTCCTCGAAACTGCGCAGTCATTCAGCAAGAAGGAAAACGCATTTTCAGGCACAGGACCAGGGTCTGTCCTGCCATGCTTTGGTTGGCATCCATGGTTCTCACACCAGATCATAGACGATATTACAGATTCTGCACAATCTGCCGACCTTTCGCCCGATGACAGAAAGACACAACACTACAAGAAAACTCTTACGCCGGCTCCCGGAGAAGACTTCATCGCCTCCCTACCAGACCTCAAGCCGCTGTCGCAGCTGATAGAAGAAACGCGATCACGCCTCAGGGCCTGTCCCAATGCCCTCGTGGGTGAAGTTGGCCTGGATCGCGCATTTCGGCTGCCAAACGCATGGACACAAGACGAACAGCAGAAGCGCGACGAGAACATGACGCCCGGTTCACGGGAAGGCAGGACACTTTCCCCTCACCGCGTGCAGCTGAACCATCAAAAGGCTATTCTAGAAGCGCAGTTACGTCTTGCTGGGGAGCTAGGGCGACCAGTTTCGGTGCACAGTGTCCAAGCACATGGGGCGGTGTTTGATCTGTTCAAAAAGCTCTGGTCTGGCTATGAAAAGAAGCAGGTGTCGCGGCGGGAGAAGCGCCGCCAGCAGAATGAAAGCGATACAGCAGTGGACAGCGATGCGGAAGTCAACCCGCAGCAACCGGACCAAGCCAAGGCCCACGAGAACCCACTTCCTTTCCCACCTCGAATTTGCATGCATTCTTACTCGGGGCCTGTGGAGCCGCTGAAGCAATTTTTACACCCGTCGAATCCATCTGTCGTGTATTTCTCTTTCTCCGCAGTCATCAATTTCAGCAACCCTTCATCCCAGAAAGTCATGGATGTTATCAAGAGCTTGCCGGATGACCGAATTCTCATAGAAAGTGATTTGCACACTGCTGGCCCGCAGATGGACGAGTTATTGGAGCAGATCAGCCGGCAGATATGCAAGCTTCGTGGTTGGACGTTAGAAGCGGGTGTTCAGCAATTTGCAGACAATTGGAAGCATTTTGTATACGGTTAGAGCCTGACCAGATGTGGATGGAGATATATGGCCTATAGCAATTAGCAAGAAGCATTTGTTGAGCGAAGGAAGAGTCTTCCGTACTAGAATGATTTTGATAAGGCTCCATCTGGCTCAGCCAGTCACACTCAGTTGATAGGACTGCCTGATAAGAGTGGATCAGGCGGTCTTCCTTCCACAGTCACCGGGAAATCTGCCATATTTCGATACAAGATCCATGACAGGCAGAGGGAAAGGAGGTGTCATCCATTGCATCCTCTCCTCTTCTTCGTCTTCACTAGAAGAATCGACACTGCCAGGTACAAGGCAGTCTCTCTCTCGACGGAACATTCCGAGTGGCTTTTTTTTCTCCGCACTACCACGTGACTCCCCCGGACCCCGTCCCTCGTTCCCGCCCCACACTGTTGTTGTTCCTCCCCCGGCGACTCTGACTCTTGTCTCTTTCTCCCCCTCTCTTTCCTCCACTCAATCGATCATTCTCTTGGGCTCTCGGAGCTACATGATCTATGAGGGCCTGCATCATGGTTTAAAACAAGAGCCAGGATTCTGCTCATCGGATTATGCATGACGAACTAACGAGTCTCCGGACCTGGAATCTCTATCGATGCTTCGGCTATGTCCTCCGCAGCGCAAAACAGTCCACCCCTCGGGAATGGCGTGACTAAGCGCAAGTCAGGTAGGTACTTTCTTAACCTCACGTCGTCGCGGTTTGCAGAAGGGTTTGGTTCTCATCAATGTCTGTGAGTAGGCTCTGCTGCCTGCATTCACTGTCATCGGCGCAAGGTTCGCTGTGATGCTCGGCTTGTCGGGCTGCCTTGCTCCAATTGCCGTTCCGCGGGGAAATTGGACTGCCGAATCCATGAGAAAAAAAAACGTCCAGCTACACGCTCAATCTTGAACCCCGTACCTATACGCTGTCGCCCGCCTCCTGCTTCTGAGCCTACGCACAAATCATCCCTTTCTGCTAATCATGCTGCTCCACTCAATGCTTTCACCACTACCTTCCGAAATGTTCAGCCGGACGTTATGGCTGCGGCCACTTCCCTTGCGAATGTCCATGCACTCCATCACACAAACAGAGATGATGTTCATCACCAACCGCACCAGCACAGTTCCTCTCCAACCTCCGATGCCCAGGAATACACCCGTCAGACGGGACCCGAGCTCTCCGCTGAACAGGAATCGCACGCGGACTTAGAAAGACGACTGGTCAAACTCATCGATGAGGAAGAGTCGGGCAGTCGAGAGATCCGACGGGGTGTCCGAGCGATTTACGTCGGTCACGAACTGTCCAACATGTCTTTTTTGATTCGACAACAGCGACATGAGGTTGACGACGTGTATCACTTTGCCGGGAACGAGATTCCCCGGCGACAATTGAGAACAGGTCATGATCAACTTCTCATGGATGCTCTCACCCTACCTGAACCGGCTTTAGCCGATGAACTGGTCCAGGCATATTTTGACCACGTGAATCCAGGGTATCCCATTATCGATGAAGATCTCTTTATGGCACAGTACCGAAATCGTGACCCTGCGGATCCACCTCCAATCCTGCTGCTACAGGCAATACTTTTAGTCGGAGCGCACGTAGCTCGCCAAAAGGTCGAGCGCGATGCTCTTAAGGAGACCTTCTTCCGTCGAGCCAAATGGCTCTTCGACAGTCGCATTGAGCGGAACCGCGACATCATGATTCAGGCCGCTTTGCTCATGACTTGGCATTCCGACAGTCCTGATGACGATGTCTCAGCCAACGCTCATTACTGGGTTGGCGTAGCTGCTAGGATTGCCACGGGGCTTGGAATGCATCGCAATCCTGTTTCGAGCCGATTCGTTCCTCGAGACCGCCGGTTGTGGAGAAGGCTCTGGCATATCCTAGTTCAATTCGATGTTATGGTGTCTCTCTCATATGGGCGCCCGCAAGCTATGTAAGCGCTCCCGTCACTGTCACATATTGAACATGGCTGACCCTGCACTTTAGCAATCTTGAGGACTCCGATGTATCCCCTTTGACACTTTCGGATTTCCAAGGATGTGGACCTGGCGTCCAGACCGACTTCGTGATTCAATTTTCGGAAGTCTGCACAATGATCTCTTACATTGTTCGCAACCGTTTCGGTCTGAAGGTCAGCCCAGAGCGTCGCAAAGCGGTCTTGCAAGAGGCAGATGAAAGCCTAGCGAATTGGTCCTTGAAGCTGCCAGAGAAGCTACGCCTGCGAGCATCCGACATGGATCCATGGTCTGCTATGCTGCACCTGACCTATAATAATTTCCTCATATTGCTTCATCGACCCCACCCCAGAGCATCGGCATATTCAGATGACTACGGTCCACATGATGCTGAAATTTGTAGTGCGGCCGCAGGAGTCATCGCCTCTATCTTCGAAGAACTGCGTCTCAATGATCGGTTGAAATTTCTATGGTACTCTGCCGTTCATACTCTCTTCACAGCAATGATACAGGTGCGAGTGGAGCTTCGCTTCTCTAACCCTGTGCTGGCAATCAATGCCCTTCGTCGGTTCGATTCTGCTTCTTATTCACTTCGCGAGCTGGCGGGGTACTGGTCTCATGCAACCACTATCTTACGATTGTTCGAAGATTCGAAGCGCCTTCAGGAAGATCTTCGCTTAGCCACGAGTGAAAGATCACGTGGTTTCATCGACTCCCAAGACAGGGGCAAGATTGGATCCAGTTCTTCGTCCGCTGACTCTACAGCGGACACAGTAGCTGCACAAACTCCCCAGCAGCAGGAGGATCAGCCCATTCCGTATGAAGTTCCCACACCAGACTCGACGCATATCTCAAACCCCATGACTTCTGTGAGCGTTCAACAAAACCACACACTCGACCAGTGGATGCCGACTAGTAATATGACCCCGGTGGAAGCCATGGATGCACCGCGCGAAACCCTTGATTGGCGACAGCTGTTCTCTTTCGCTGATCTAGATCAGCCCGTCCTTCCAATGGCCATGGAAGGTCTCCCAGAATTGGAAGACGAGTGGCGTCAAATATACTGGCAAGAGACGCCTCTGTCGGACCTTTTGCATGACGGGGGCTGGATGCATGGCTGATGTTCACCTTCAATTGCGTTCAGAGCGTACCCGACAGTGCTACGATGGCCGAGAATGCTCGTCACAGTCCTCGATTAATGATTTTCCGGATAGCTCCCGAACACCCGCTCATGAATGATAATGAATTGATGATCTCTTTATGGCCATTTCCACAGTTGTATGGATGGTTAGCATCATTCGATGAGGACCAATCCCCGGTGAAGATTTTTGGCATATATGGTACATAACTTGCCGCATAATCAATCAGGTCGTTAGAACATTGATGAATATAACTCGATCAGCTTAGCCACAAAGCACTAGACCGAGAGATCCAAATCATATTCTATCCGTCGATTCACCCCCCAATTTCCACCGTCCAAATGCATGTGCCGATACAAATAAGCAAAGGATAGCAGATCAATGTAAGTAGACAAGACACTCAACATAAATAGATAGATACATGTGATACCGGATCGACGGGACCAGCATACCCACAAGACCACGTCATGCAAAACAAGCCTCTTTTACACGCATTTGAGGGAAAAGATGAATCTCTGAAAGAGACAAATAAAAAGCCGGGAATCAGAGCGGAGAAATACAAGCGCAGGCATCTAGGTGTGCCTGGAAACAAGATCGGGGGGTGGGGGCCGCAAAACCCGTCACTGGCATAACGAAAGAACCAACAGACAAAGACAAATCAAGTGCGCCGCCCGGAAACTGAAATTTGAACCTGTCGAATTGCCAACTCGCAATCATCCCCGCCCTTTGCGAGTTTTGTACTGTAATGAGTCCCATCGTAGCCCGTGTCGCGCCGTTTGAAAGAGGATGTCTGGTAAGGGAGTAACATGCGCAGGTGTTTGAAGACGCCTGCAGTAAGACCGTGCATGTTACAAGGAGCCCCTGAAGGCTGGATACACGGTGAAACCAGCCTCTGGCTCATTCGTGCAGTTGAGACACTGTGTAGTTCAGGCGTGAGGTTATGATTACCGGCTCCAGAGTAATTATGATTGTGTTGAATCTCTTGGATGGGTCTCCTGCATAGATATGCTCCTTTCAGTAAGATTCACCACCAGTGCCGTTGTGAGCTTGGCCGACCATGGGAGGGTAGCCGTAGGCAGAAGCATCTTGCTCGGAGGGATCCAGGGTTGGGTTAATGATGTTATTGGTAGCATCTGTGGCATCAGGGAATGCCCCCGGACCCGCCGGTGCAACTGGACGGCCAGATGGAGCGGCGCCGGGAGGGCCTCCAACAGGGCCACCGGCGTTGTACCCACTGCTTGTCGGACGGTTCTGGTGCTCGCCTCTCGCGGATTGGGTCTGCAGGGTACATCAGTACTGTCGTCTAGAGCAAAACACGCTATCGCCGGTTCGGGTGAAGACAATATGGCTAGATCCGTTGCACAAGTCTTACCTCGCGGTACTTGGAAAGATAGATCTTCAGCGCCTCTGCATAGTTTTCGAACCCAAGGGAGGTCATGGCGAAAAGGATGTCCTCTCCGTTGACGGTCTTACGCTTTTCCTGCTGGCATTTGTCGGAGGCTACAAAGGCTCGACGGTCAGTTTTGAGTGCCTGCGGTGATATTGTGACTGTACAGACCTTCGCTGGTGATGAACGAGATGAATTCGCTCACACACTCCTGCATACACTCCTTGGCCTCTTTGGCGATCTTTGCGTTCTCTGGCAGAGCCAACTTCATGATGCGAGCCACTTCACAGGCAATGTTAGTAGTCTATAAAGGTATGAAAATGGTAGTAGCATCAACGAGGGGGGTTATGAAAGTAGACAGGAAGATCTGCCCCGCATGCTATAGCAGATTGCAGAGATTTTCTACCCTCGGATGTATGTTGGTAGTCATGATGAACGACAAATGGGGACGCGAACCGAGAGACTCGTGGTAGCCAGTCCTGTAGGTATACAATGACAGATAGATGAAAAAGACAGCAAGAAATGGGGACGATTGACCGAATCAGCCTCCGAGGCGGTGGAGAGGTACGAGCAACCATAGTAGGGCAGAGGGCGGTTGACCAGCAGGTGAAGGTAAGGTACGCACAAATCAGGACAAAGCGACAAGCTGCAAGGGAACGCAACTAACCATTTGCAATTGGTAGCCATCTGTCCTGCTCTTTTACCTCGAACTCTCCCTGCCCCTGTGCCTGGGAGTCTTGTTGGTCTTTGTCCATTTGTTCCTGGTCTTCGCCTGATTGAACTTCCGGTTCCACCTCCGGTTCCTTCGAAGGAGAGGCCGACGACATGACTTTTAGCTGTCGGAAGAACGTGCAGAGATACTGGATTTAGGATAGGAGGGCTGTATCTAATCGCTCTGTTGGCAAACCACGTCAGAGCTGCGTACAGGGCGTGGTAAGTTCTCGATCTTGGAAGTTATGATACAGCCGCGCCAAGGATAGTGAGGATGTGCCTGGCTGGGCAGCGATTTGCTTCACAACAGCCTGAGCGAGGAAGGATATTGTGACAACGCGTGTGGGGGATTAGCGGCGCTTCTGCAGTAGTGTGCCTTAGCGTTCAGAGCACGGCCTGGTAGGATCTATGGTTTCGACTGCGATGATGAGACACTGCCCGATAGAGGAATCTGTTCCTTATGGCTCTATTATTATTGTTGCTCTAAAGATTGGCTGCAATGAGCTAAACGGGCCGTTCTGATTCGAGGGCCAGTGAAGTAAGGGCAGGCGTGCGGCAGGTTCAGGAAACATACAGAGCTGATTCTGGGTCTCGTTTCTTTCTTTCTTTTCTCCTGGCTAAATTTGGAAAAGGTTCAATTTAGGTCTTTCGGAGATAATGCTGGTCGGATGACGTTAGAGCGGTCAAACTGGATGTGATAGTCACGTCAGTGAGACTCCAGTTTCTAGCAGCACGCGCATTCACAGACGCGGGCGAAAGTCAAGCGGACGGGATGTGACGCGGGTAATACAACACGGAAGTAACCGTGTGTCAGACAGAATTGGAGGGAGGCGGGGGGTGCAAGTGGCACGTTGCGCAGCTGGGCGACAAGATACCTACCAACAAGAAAAGCAAGCAAAGGCGCGACAGCGATTGGACTGAAATGCAAGAAACGAGGATGCTGAGAATGGGTAGGGGATATGTAGGGGGAGAAGTAAATGATGGACTTACCGGCCAGTCAATGGCAGGCACTGGGGGAGGGGGGCGTAGGGCAGGTCTGACTGGAGACGGCCGTGATGCGCGCAGCTCTCAATTGGCGAACCAGAGGTCCCTGGCTGTCGCAATGAATATCCCCAAGCGCCAATGAGCTTTGACGCAGTTTGGAAATGCACAAATTGCTGCTTTCAGGAAAGGCTCGATAGGCAACTATTGATATGATAGCGACGACGTTTGGATATCAATAAATAGAGTTGGTCGTCGCTTGGAGTCCTAGTTTGAGCGAAAGAGAAGAAGAGGATGGAGGAAGAGGAGAAGTTGAGGGTCGATGAGCCGCGGTGGGAAGCGTTAACGGCCTCAGGACTCCCATAACGCCTCTCTGACACCGTATTGCTCTGTTGCTGTCTAGTTTAAGACTAGTGTCTGCAAGCTTCAAGAGCAAGTGAAAGGAGGGGTGTATTATGACGGTAAAGCACGTGATACTCGTCATCGGTCCTGGATCTCTTGGCCATCGGCCTTCTTATCTTTCTACCTCTGCGATGCTCGAATTCCTTCGCACCCAAATGTCATTGTCAAAGGACAATGGTGAGGAAATCATACATGTCATGATGTACCTTCTTTACCAACTATCTGAGCCAGAAAATTCTCTCATTTTCTCGGCCATTGCCCTTCTTTACGACTATTGCATGCGCAGAAATGCTCACCGTCTACATCTTATCTCTATACCTGCTGTACCTCCGCAACCGAAATCCCAATTGGTTAATCTCACTAATGAGTGGGCCTGCCAAATTCCCCGTGGTTAGCATTGGACTATGGTAATAATGTCAGAATGTATATCGCATCCCTGTTCTATGTCTCAGCGTCAGTGTTTCCAACACTGTATCGATCTCTTATGTCATTACGTGCCTTATCAACATTGACGGGCCGTGTATGGCGTCAGGCATCAACAGCGTCTCCTGACGATCTGACCAGCCGTCTAATGGGAACCATGTACTCTCATGCACCATTCTCATCTCATCACAACTCAGAACTCTGTTTGGAATGAGGCACTGTGCATTTTGAAAAGGTACTGATCAGGCCAAAGCTACAGAGGTCCCACTCCGCAGCCCAATCTGCGAAGGTGTGGATGAGGGCATCCATCACTTGCCGTGCTCTATTACAGATGGTTGATGTGGCTTGTACCCAAGCTGCGCACTCCCCAAGGACAAGGTTTACCAGTCATCCTTGAGGATCGACTGTCAAACAGAGTTGACTGATGGCTTGCTCATCATTGAACGTGTCACACACACATGCATCGGGATAGTTCCAGATCTACTCCAAGGCTGACATGAAGCAACCACTAGGAAATTTCGGGAACATGAGTCTATCAGATGAAGTCAGGAGCAAGGTACTTTCGTGCAGCTGTCGTGATTCGGCCTCGAACCAACCAACTGCAGACGAGTACAACAGATGCTTACTTCAGACCCGTGTTTCACATGGACAACTCAGCCGAGCCACCCTTTCCCTTGGGGTGCATAGGCGTGGTCTGGGAGCTGCGAGATAATAAGCGATGCTATCCATGACCGTGCTCAACACTGGCCTCTTCTGATCTATAAGCGTAACGACTAAAGAACAAGTCCAAGACGTATATGCACCCTTGAAGTAAAGTCTTCAAACAGACTAAAGAAGGCACGGGAGTTGTATTATACACTATTTGCTGCTAGGTACGGCCAGAGTCTTGACGATGGTACCTCAGAATCCAGTTCCATAGCCTGATGTGAGGTCTTTCCCGAATTAGACCTAGCGGTCAGGCATGAGTGCATTCAAGGCCTCGGCCGTCCTGTGACAAAGCACTAGTTTGTTTACCTGCCACATTGTCCTTGTCCTAGGCGAGAGCTACTGGCAGTTTTCTGCCAGCATCAGATGCTAGGAGCCACGAATGTTCAGGCCATGGGATGGTTCGAAATAGTAGCAAAATCGGGGTTTGTATTCATAATCTTGGACACCGGGGAACGCCGCTCCTGCTCAACTCACTGCTTGAGGCCCCGAACGATGAATGACACCAGGGGAATAACGGCAAGGTAATCAGTGAGCCATGTTGATCGTTGACTTTGGTCCCCTATGGCTGTACGACTTGAATGTTGTTCTTTTTCTATTATGTGGAAAAGCGAGGTTAGAACAAGTGCGTCTTGAGAGCAATAACAGGGAACGACGGACCTTCCAGTTATCAAGATCCGACTGTTTGGACTTGTATTGCTTCAGAAGCTCATCCAAAACCTGCTTCAAACCGTCCGAGTTCGTCTGGAGGGAGGGGAGAACGTCTTCAACCGTGCGCTCAACCAGAACCCCGTTAACCATGCGGAAGCATTTTCTGTCCTTGGGAAGAGGTTGAAGTGTCTCAATAACAAGCCTATGAATAGCGCGCGGGTGTCAGCAACAGATCCTTAAGAGAGTAAGGTAATCAGAACTGAATAGGAAGAGTTACTTGTGCTCCTCGGCTTCCTGTTCGATTTCGCCGATCTTTTGCGCCAATTGTTGCAGCGTGTTCTTGTAATTTGTGTACTGGAGCTGAAGCTCTGCAACAAGTCAGCACGAATCCTCTCATAGCAGGGACCAAAATTAGAGCTAGACATTTCATACCCTGCTGCTTTTTCGGGTTGATTTGTGCTTGGCTAGCCATGTTGTCGGGATTGGATAGACGCAGCGCAGTTGCAAAGCTGGTGCGATGCGGGGCGTTGGTTCGATATCGCGACGGCAGCGGCGGCGGCGGACCGAGCTAGGTAGAGGGAGCACTGGCTGCCAATGCTGAAAGCGGTTCCACCCACGGCGCTGCCACGAGCTGCTTAATGTCCAAATGTATAGGTGCTCAATCTTAGCTCTACTTATACTATAATATTATTATATTTTCTCTAAAGTGAGCTTCTGCCTCGCGCCAAGAGTGATGCGTATCAATCACGTGTTTGACATCTGTTTGCATTGTTTGCATGATGATATCGCCCGATAGTCAATCGAATCCGCCTCCGAATTCATTCCAACTTAATCGCCAGGAGGGCTAAAGCAACCAGCTGTGGCCCTTCTCGCAGACATCAAGTCGGTCATTCGTTTACACATTTCTAAAGTTTTTATCCACCGATACTTGCACATTGATCAAACAAGATGGCGCCGGACGACATGCCTCCAGCCAAGAGGCTGAAAAGCTCCAATCTACCAGGGCCGTTGCGCGACGCGAAGCGCAAGGACATCGACAACTGGGAAACCAACCGAATGCTTACGTCGGGTGTCGCTCAGAGAAGAGACTACGAGGGAGACTTCATGCCCGAAGATGAGGAAGCAACTCGAGTCCACTTACTGGTCCACGATCTACGTCCACCATTTCTCGATGGCCGCACGATCTTCACGAAACAGCTGGAGCCCATCTCCGCTGTCCGCGATCCACAGAGCGATATGGCTGTATTCAGTCGAAAGGGAAGCAAGGTTGTCCGCGAACGGCGTCAGCAGCGTGAGCGCCAGAAGCAAGCGCAGGAGGCGACCACGATGGCAGGTACAGCACTGGGAAATTTGATGGGCATCAAGGAGGACGAGGGGGATAGCGCAGTTGCAGTGCCTGTTGAAGAGGCGTACAAGAGCGGGAACAAGTTTGCCAAACATTTGAAGAAGGACGAGGGGGGCCAGAGCTCGTTCAGCAAGAGTAAGACGCTTCGCGAGCAAAGAGAGTTCTTACCTGCGTTCGCCGTGAGAGAGGACCTGCTGCGGGTGATTCGAGATAATCAAGTCGTGGTTGTGGTCGGTGAGACGGGGTCTGGTAAAACGACCCAGCTGACACAGTTTCTGCACGAGGACGGTTATTCCAAGTTTGGGATGATCGGGTGCACGCAGCCCCGTCGAGTGGCTGCTATGAGCGTTGCCAAACGTGTAAGCGAGGAAATGGAAGTGGACCTGGGAGACGAGGTTGGGTATGCGATCCGATTCGAGGACTGCACCAGCAACAAAACGGTCATCAAATACATGACTGACGGTGTCTTGCTCCGAGAATCGTTGGTTCAGCAAGACCTCGACAAATATTCATGCATCATCATGGATGAGGCGCACGAGAGGGCGCTGAACACTGACGTCCTAATGGGTCTTTTAAAAAAAGTGCTGGCTCGACGCAGGGATCTCAAACTGATTGTGACATCCGCTACAATGAACGCTGAGCGCTTCTCACGTTTCTATGGCGGCGCACCTGAGTTTATCATTCCTGGACGGACTTTCCCCGTTGATGTTCACTTTTCGCGTACCCCATGCGAAGACTACGTTGATAGTGCGGTCAAGCAGGTCTTGGCTATTCATGTGTCGCAAGGACCGGGTGATATTCTCGTTTTCATGACCGGGCAGGAGGACATTGAGGCTACGTGCGAGCTTGTGGATGAACGGCTGAAGTTACTGAACGACCCGCCAAAGCTCAGCATCCTGCCTATTTACAGTCAGATGCCTGCGGAGCAACAAGCGAAGATCTTCGAACGGGCTGAGAATGGCGTTCGCAAGGTGATCGTTGCCACGAACATTGCTGAAACCAGTTTGACGGTTGACGGAATTATGTTCGTGGTGGATTCGGGATACTCGAAGTTGAAAGTATACAACCCACGAATGGGTATGGATACCCTGCAGATCACCCCGATCTCCCAAGCCAACGCCAACCAGCGATCGGGCCGTGCAGGTCGCACAGGGCCTGGCAAGGCATACCGTTTGTTCACGGAGGTCGCTTACAAGAACGAACTATATCTACAAACGATCCCGGAAATTCAGCGCACCAGTCTCTCCAACACTGTCCTTCTCCTCAAATCTCTTGGAGTCAAGGATCTACTAGATTTCGATTTTATGGACCCTCCCCCTCAGGAAACGATTACCACATCCCTATTCGAACTTTGGTCGCTGGGAGCTCTTGATAACCTCGGCGACCTCACCCATCTGGGTCGTCGGATGACGCCGTTCCCCATGGATCCTCCTCTCGCCAAGTTGCTGATTAAAGCCTCAGAGGAGTACGGCTGCAGCGAGGAGATGCTGAGCATCGTCTCCATGCTTTCCGTTCCCAGTGTATTCTACCGTCCGAAAGAACGGCAGGAGGAATCCGACGCCGCGCGAGAGAAATTCTTCGTCCCCGAGTCCGACCACCTCACGCTCCTCCACGTCTACACTCAATGGAAAGCCAACGGCTACTCCGACGGCTGGTGTACCCGCCATTTCTTACACGCCAAGGCCCTGCGACGTGCCCGGGAGGTTCGCGACCAGCTGCACGATATCATGACGGTACAAAAGATGCCCCTTGTCAGCTGCGGGACCGACTGGGATGTCATCCGCAAGTGTATTTGCTCAGGTTTCTACCACCAAGCCGCGCGCGTCAAAGGTATTGGCGAGTTTCTCAATCTTCGAACCAGCGTAAGCATGCAGCTGCACCCGACGAGTGCTCTGTATGGACTGGGCTATGTGCCAGAGTATGTGGTGTATCACGAGTTGATCCTTACCAGCAAGGAATACATGTCCACTGTCACGGCCGTTGATCCACACGTAAGTTCTGCCTTCCACCCAGATGTCATGTTGACCCATCTGCACGAACCCAACATTGACTTTCATTCTTCTCCTGTCACAGTGGCTCGCCGAACTCGGCGGTGTCTTCTACTCCGTTAAAGAGAAGGGTTACTCCCAGCGGGAGCGTCGCGTCACCGAACAGGAATTCAACCGCCGCATGGAGATTGAGACGCAAATGGCGGCGGACCGGGAACGGGCTGCTGCGGAGAAGCAACGAGAAGAGGAGCGCAACGACCCCTCGCGGCGGAGGCAGGAGATTGAGGTGGGCAGTTCCGTGGTCCGTCGGCCGGCCACAACAGCCCGCCGTATAGGAGGAGTCGTGACGGCCTCTAGTTCTTCCCGGAATGGAGTCGGGAGCGGCGGGGGAGGGGGCGGAGGAAGTGTGGTCAAGAAGCCACAAGTGAAAAGGAGGCCTGGGCGGGCATTCTGATTTGTCTTGTCATGTATATATTATATAGAGGTATACCCCGATCTTTGTGAAAGATTTATCAATCATGATTCACGAGAAACCGCGCGGCGATTCTATGTTCTGCACTGAGACAATGCTACCGTTGCCATGTTCCTGCATGCCACGCCATTATAGATGGAACACCGCGTACTGAGCAAATCCTATAGCATCTCGGCATAGTGGGAATGAAAGGCTCTCAAGGAAGAAACTAGATAAATAAATCGGCACCCTCTTTTCCTCTTCTTTCACAAACCCTAGCAAACTGAAAGCACCTCCAGGTCCAAACCCGACCAGACCGGAGCGAACCATCAGATCTGAGGCATCGAATCCACCAGGGATCCAATCCCCGATCCTCCACTATCTCCTCTCCCCTTCCCCCATCCCAGTCCAGCCCATCAGCCCCAGACCCCCAGAGATCCTCACCTCCCAGGACACCCCCCAAGCAACCCCCCGCCGCCCAACAACCACACCACAATCCTCACCCCTGTAAACCCAGAGACTGCACCGTTCAGTTAATAAAGTTAATACAGAAGAAATGCAAAATCAGACTCCCGAAGATATAATCCGCGAACGCCCTAATCGTAAACCCGAGTCAGTAAGAAATCTAACCCACCATGAACAGCCCCCTTCCTCCCTTCAGAAAGAAAAAGAAGCAAGAAAAAAGGAGGGGGGGGGGACGCGGGGAAAGCTCACCTTTCATGCGAGATCCCATTACTCCCCGTCTCCTTCGCGGCAGCCGCTTTCCCCTTCCCACCTTTCCCGCTAGATACCACCCCGGCAGCCGAAGGCGAAGAGGTCTGCATGCGCAGACTAGCCGTAAGGACGAATTGGCCGACGGCGGCGGAGAAGCCGCTTAGGAAGGCGTTGAATGGCTAGAATTTCCCCCGAGAAAGGTCAATTGATTAGTGTGGGTGATTTATAATGCTGTTGTGAAAGGAACACGGTTGAATGCGATTTGATGCGATAGATAGGGCACACGGTAAAGCGGGAGAATATGGAATGCGAGTGGCCACTTTGGGACAGAACATCCCGTGTACAAAGGGGATTTAAGGCAAGAGTCAGGGAAAGCGAGCGTAGAGAACTCACATAATTGCCCGCCAGCACGCAGTAGAGGAATTGCACGCCGCCGACGAGAACCAAAAAGCCCATGAACGCGTCGAGCAGGAGCGTGCGCTGTGGGGTCGTGGCGAGATATTGCTGCCAGACGGTATGGGCAATATCGAGAACAGAGGAGTTTGTGGTGAGCGTCTTGGGACCGGAGGAGAGAGCTGAGGGGGAAGCGACGGTGGTGGATGAGGATGAAGGTATAGTTGGTGGTGAGGGTGCGGGAACGGGGCCTGCGCTGGCGGCAGCGGTGCGTTTGGCAGGCATGGCTGTTTCGGTGTGCAAATTTGGTTCTGTCGTTTAAGTCGAGGATTCAATTGACGTGGGACACGGAGATTCCAGGGATTCGGAGAGGGAGAGGGCGTTCTGTACGTTTGGCTGAGTTGGTGGTTTACTTCGGAGTTCATTACGCAAGCTGGCCGCTACATTGCATCACGTGACTGCATTGTTATCAGCTGGAGCTTATCTCCGCAGTTATGAGATGGAGTATGGGTACAGAGACAATGTAGGCCGTTGATGGCTAAAGCTCTTTTAGAGTTGTAGACATGTAGGTCTGAGCCTGTAAGTCTAAAGTGCGCTCAGTATGATACATTGATGTTATTTTCAACATGGTTGTAGACAGCTTAGCCAAGTCTTCTAAGACCTCTTAAGATATGTTGGGTTATTATACATACACTCATTGCATACAAGTCATTGATCCATCGTCTTTGATGTTGATTGGAGATGGATGTTACTGGTCGTGAAGAGGGGAGTGTTCGTTAAAGAAGATCCGGAAGTATTCGCCAAATGCACTGCAACAGGGGGCCCGCTCGAGAAAGGGCGAAGACCTCAGCTCAAGGGTCACGGCTGAGTTAGAGAGATATATGTAGCACAGTTATGTGCCAGGTGCGCTTCAATGCCGCAGAAACACATCAGGCAAACCAGTCGGAGATGTTCGCAAATAGGTTCTCTGTATTGGCTTCCTGCAAATCCATTTGAAAGTCTTGCATGACTTGATCCCATTCATCCCAATTGAGCCGCGGGTCCGGCTGACTTGCATTTGCAATGTTCGCCGATTCTGCGAATGAGTTCGTTGACTCAGCCCTGTTTGTAGTATCCGGCCGCTCAATGGCTGCCGTTCGAGGATTCAGCCAGTCCACACCGGGGAAAAGACTACTGATTGCCTCCAGCGGCCCCTCTCGAAGATCAATATCCAGTCCGCCGGTATTGGACGATGCGCCCCCATTCGGCACCACGGATGAGACTTGTGAATCCCGTTGAGCAAGAGACTGGGGTAATATGGGAGGAGGCTGGAGGAGCGAGGGTCCCGTGCCACCAGTAAACGGCACATCCTGGAAAGTGCCTGCGGTAAGACCCAGCTGAGATCGCATTGCCTCCTGTTTTGCTCTGTGAGCAGCCGCACGCTTCATGAGCCTTGACAACGGTCGCCAGAGCATGCCCTTCCTTTGCTTGCTGTTGTGCACCCAATCTCGGTATAGATTACTCACAGCCTCCCAAGCACGGTCTGTCAGTGGGCTCAACGGGCGCACACAAAGTTCTGACAAAACGAAGGCGATGGCATGCCATTGCATGCTTGTGGCAAAAAGCCAGCTCCACTTGAATGTGTTCTTGTCGGCTCCTAGCAGGCGCGCAAATTCGGCGACCTCCACAGACGTTGCAAATAAGCTCTCTCTATTAGCGTTGGTCAGAGCAATATCCCGGTCCGGCCGCGTCATGGGATGATGTATCACAAGCCACAGCTTGGTAAGAATGAGTCGGGCGACTGTAGCGCAGACCCATTGTATAGGCACATGCATGTCACAATGCTTGATGTATCGTTCCTCGATGCGGGCATTGATGGCTTTGATCAGATTGCCACAATTGTCTGCGGAAACCGGCCGAGTACCTGGTCTAAAATGACCATTTGGACAAGCATAGCTGACCCGCCGGAGTGCCACAGTGATGTCGCAGCGGATGAGACAGAAGGTCATCTCGGTACAACCGATCCTCTCCGGGGGCGGCTCGTGCATATCTGGTCTTAGGTCGTCATCATTGACGTTCAGTGGAAGCCGAGTATCGTAGATTCGTTCGTTAATCTGGGAATCAGTCCCATGGTCTTCAGACGATCGGATGTCCAACAGACAGATATGCCACCACAGCCTCCGGCGCATCTCCGTGTCAAAGGGCTTCAAGCCGAATTTCGTGCCATCCCGATGGAGGCCAAGTCCTTGCGCAAGGCGAAGGACGAGAGCCGTCATAGACCACACAAATTTGGTATCATCCTCGCGACGGATGCCAATGAGAAAAATCACGGCAGCTTGAAGTAGCATTAGGTTCTGCGTGTTCAGGAAATTAGCCTTAGCTAAAGCTTGCTCGACTGCAAATCGATAGCGCTTGACAGCAGCATCACGGTCCTCTTCTAATTGAAGGAGACATTGGTCGTGAGACAGGCTGATGACCGCCACTAGGCACATCGCCAGGAACAATGCTTCCTGGTTCTTGTCCAAGCTGCTCGGGTCCTGGGCTGCAATCGTAAAGACATGCTTGGCGGTAGGTTTATGAACGATGGGGACTAACGGCGCCACGTTTTCATAGTAGAGATTCCAAAGCACTGGGATTTTTGACGGAGGTGGCAGAAAGGACTGGAGGGAATGCGACAGCGAGTAGAATCCAAACAGAAAACCGTCATGGTTGACAGAGTTCGTCGATGACGACTCCGGCGAGGGATAATCCTCGTGCTCGGACGCTGATGGATCGAGAATATCCTGAAGCTCCTCGATCTGTATGCCCTTGTCAACACGAGAAAGCAAACAAAAGAAGAACAAATACAGTAAAGCGAGCATAGAAGCGACTAACCTCATCACCGAGACTGGCCCAAAAACGATTACTCACATAACGGCTTCGGCCTTCATCTATTACCAGTCGTCCAAATTCGTGCTCCATGTTGCGTGTAGCCATAGGCCTCAAAGGATCTACGTTAGCAGCATTAGGTATGAGCGGACAGCCATCGCCATTGCCATCGCCATCGCCTCCAGCGGGCGCTGGCGGCGGTTGTGTGCTCACATTCTCACTGCGCGATTGACCTGGGGAAGGCGTATCCGATAACGACGCTGTTCGTTTCTCGTTCAAATGCTCAATAACACCCTCCAACCGCCTGAGTCGAGACAGGAGTTCAGCATCTTGTGGCCGCTTCGATTTGCGGGGAGCCCTTCCAGGTGGGGGGTAAATGCACTCGATGCCCGCCCTTACGCAATTCGAGCACGGCGATCGCTTGTTGCAGCGAACTTTGCGCCGACGGCAGGTAACACAGCTGCGAATGCTGTGCAGCTCATGCGAGGGAGAAGGTTGGGTGTGCTGGTCGGCGGTGGCGACCTGACCATGGCTAATATTGTCTGAGGCTCTTCGGGAGGGGTTCGCAGATAAGGCTGGCGAGGTCACAGTGGGTACAGGCGGGCGTTGTTGCGGTGGAAATGGTGGACTATGGGAGGACATGACGGTACAGATGGAATTATATGTGGAGCAGACTCGTTAACATGCACATCGTCAATAGCGATGACGGCAGTTTGAGGTAATTCTGAGGAGCGGACGCTGAAACTAAGGAGACAAAAAAAAAGTAGACGAGACCAAAGGATGAAACCATCTGATTATGATTGCTATCAGGACCAGCTGTAGTAGTAGTAAGGCAGCAGACAGAGTCCTGCCTCAGTCATCAATTCATAGTGGGGCGGCGATCGATCCCGGTCATGACCAACATCATTGGCCAGGGATAGCAGCTTCTCATGTCATCATCACGTGATAACTAGCGGCTCGGAGTCAATGGCTACAATGTGGATCAAATCATTGGTAATCTGGCATTGTCCAAAAACAGACAGGTATGTTCTGATTTACCACAATGACCAGCCCCTGATGTGGCTGATTTCGAGGTTTCATCGGTTCCAAAACTCCGTAGTATTGCGTAAGTGACACATGTCAAATGGGCAATTGTCGCGAATCTGCGATAGACGTGGACCTCCTAGAGACTCGGGCCAAGACACCAGGCGCAGCTGACTACACACACTTTTTTCCTCCATGACACACTCGTCGACCTTATTTCAAAGTTCACATGAAGTATTTATATACTCGATATATTCACAACAACTCTTCGAGAGACTCGAATGCTCAATAGCCCAGACCCCTGAGAGGCCTAAAGACTCCGGTATAAAAAGTATTGACAAAAGAGGGTCATGACAAGGTTGAACATACAGAAAAGAATCACAACCGGAAGACTAGAGAACAAAGTTAAACCCAAACGCCAAACGTAGCTAACTTGCAAATAACTGGTGATGCGCTCCGGGGGGTAACGCCATATATATGCAAACAAGTGACGACTGTATGAAAAAAGAATTTGTACCCGGGCAAATCATAACTGTCATTGACAGGCCCGATGTGTCTTCATCAGCAAGCTCTAAATTGAGAAATTAGTTGTTGCGCATCATCGAAGCAAAGGCCCAAGAGGCGTAGTTCGAACAGGTACGTCGACCGGCTGGCGGCGCCAGAACTGCCGTTTTCTTTGTTTATCCCACACCTCCGTGACATCGTTGAAGTGATGACTAGGTTCAGATCAGATTAATGACTTCTTGTTGTCAAGACTGCGATCACGTACCCTTGAAATGTAGTAGCCGTCATCGACTTCGAGCCATATTCCTTCTTCAGAAGGCGAACATATTCAAACGGGATCTTTACCGAGACATCCTCGAAATAACTGTTTCGCAACGGAAAAATTTCGGTTTCCTAGGAACTGGTTAGCCATTGCATTGTGCCAGTGGGTCACGCGCCATTTACATCAAACCGATGTCCGTCTTTGCACATTAAAGCTCCCGGGTCACCACGCTCTCGCCTTTCGTCATCCTTGCGCACGGCAGTGATGTCGATAAATAACCCGGAGGAAGTGTCAATCCAACGCGCGTCAATGACATTCAGCTTGTCGTCGGTAGACCGGATGACGTAGTTAGGATTGATCTCGAGTAGGTAGGTTCTTCCGCCCTCCACCCCGGGAATCTCGAAATGGTGCTCAGTCATATTGTAGTAATCGGCGAGAAAATGGATTGTGGGCTCCGAAATCTGAACATCCAGGTCATTGTCCCAAGGAAAGATCTAATCGACCGTCAGCGGGGGAGGCGCAACGCAGAAACCATGGGCGTCGAGAACCCAACCTTCTGATTCCACCACCATGCCAGAAGAGTTCCGTGCATGATCCATGTCTCAGCACCAAGGTCCTCCATTGTTGACAGGTAGGTTCGGATGAGTTCCGACAGGTGGGGGACAGTCTCATCTTCAGAAAGAGGCTTATCGGCGAAGCTGCGGCCAACAATCAGGTTAGCAGATGCCACATACGATATCTTCGCTGCCAATACATACCGGCCATCGTAGTGGTAGTGAAAACTAGCCAATGTATGTGTTAGTTTGAGCTTCGTGGATTCCAAGCACATCAAGATAGTGACCTACTCAGATTCCTCTGTGGCGTGTTAGCATATGTACCTCAGGTTTTTCCGGCGATTCCGCAGATTGACGGAATTCGACAAAGCGGACCTGGACTTACTGAAATATTTCGGCCCTGGTTCTCCTCCTTTACCAGAGTATTCCTTGGCCACAGTCGGTCTGACACTCATAAAATCAACATCGGCGGCGGAAGACCCCACGGCGGCCAGCGATAGCCCGTAGAGACCGACGAGCAACCGGGGCGTAGAGAACCACATGACGCAACAAGTATATATGTATGTATTGATGTTTTGAATATATTTATAATTCGCATAAATATATTTTGATAGATCTCCCTCGCTGTTACTAAATTCAAGAAGGCGATCGCATGCTCTGACCCCAAGTCACACAAAGTCGGAGATAAGGTCGGGGGGGGGGGGGGGGGGGAAACTGGAGAAGGATTGCGGTGGTGATCCAGGATGGGATCGCAGTGCCGATGTCACTTCTTCGTCGTCCTAGGGATGAACGTGGCGATGATGGTAGACTAGACAGGGACTGTCTTTAGGGAGTCGACAAGGCCAGCAAGTAAATGCGATCGAGATTGGATGATATGTCGCAAGGGAAGTCGAGATATGAAAGAGCATCGAAGGGGGAAAGAAAAGACGTTGAAAGGGCAAGGATCATAATCAAATAGTAATAATAATACAAAGGTCGGGGACAGAAAATGAACAGATCCACAGTGCCCGGGATCGGCAGGGAAAATGCGTATGAGAATAGTAAAGACTGTAAGAGAAGACGAGGGGGTCGCGTGCGCAGTTACCAACTTACCCAAGTTGCTGTAACCGTATCTTCCGATAAGTTTAGTTCACTCAGAACTAAGGATGGACGGGATAATGGCGACGGGCAAGAACCGGGCGGCGGCACGACAGGCACGACAGACACAACACAGATGCGCAGCAGACAGCCTTGCAAGCCTTGGCGATGGTGGATGGAATTACCGCGCCGATCCGGGCGGACTCTTTTACTTTTCCCAGTTAACTGGCTTCCATTCCTTATTGAAGGCTCTACGAAGACTGCAACAATGGTTTTGCAAGAAGTAATTCTTGCTTCCAAAAAAATCGGTCGCTTCCAGCATAGGAAATGGCAATGCTTCGTACACAGAGTTAATCCAACCCATAGCACGGTGCTACGTACGACACCTTCAGGCTGTGCTGGGGGAACCATGAGTGGCGTCAGCAGGCTGTCGTATTCCCCAATAGCACGGCAAGCAGCAACACCGCCTAGCCATTCCTTTGGCGTTTTTCAATAGCGGCCGGGGGGGACTCGGTCTCGGTACCTCAATCTGGAATATTAAGGCCGCGTCATAGTCTAAGCCCGGTATTCGCGCTCACCCAATTTCTTCATCTCTCAACCACGACGAATTGGCCCCCCCTCCATTCTCGCCTGACAACTGGCCTCTCCTGCTCTGAACAAACACGGAATAACAAACGAATAGGGGCCACCGCTCAAAATTCGACACACGTTGTCTTCGAGTTTTTAGAAGTTCGGACGTGATTCATGGAATCACTCCAGGCTGCTGCTACTCTGGTAATGCAGAAAATCTTTCCGGAATCAAGTGGGGGACGTCCCCACATGACGAAGAACCATGTTGACTGTCTTTTGTGGTCCTTCTGGTCCTTCTGCGAGTCCTGCGCACCATCATTCTACCTTTGAGAGTCTGTCAGACATCCAGGATAAGGCTCTTACTAGATTAGTCTCCGAATTAGACGTGCTTAGACCTCAGCACACTGTTCTTTCTCATTACAGACATCAGGCTTGACAAGAGACTCTCCTCCGATGGGAATCGCTCAAGGTTCGCCTTAGGTTGGCAAGCCAGATAACTGGACTAATTGCAGTATCGCGCTCCTCAGATCCTGCCAGGCATCTTCTCCTCGCATGAGCACGCACAGTCTAAAGTCCTAACAACCAGACCAGGTATTCTTCCTGCGACACTGATTAGATCCACGTCAGCTTTGTGTGTAGTTAAAGCAACAGAAGAGCCATTCAAAATGTTTTGATAGAGTCCCTCCAAACTTGGCAGTTTGGTTAAGTGCAGTGGTCATGGATCGTAGGTCTCGGGTACTGTATCTCTTGGCAAGCCCCCGAATGCTTGTATAGCCCCCATGACAGCCATCTAATTTGCCAGGTATCGCGCGTAAATTGACCGTCTCTCCTTACCAAAGCGCCGCTCTTGGCGCTGTTCAATACATGATACATACGCTCTCGCGCAGACATGGGCTCATAGCCTCATACAACATCGGCAGTCGTCGTACGGAGAACACTGGTTACAACTAGGATCTTATCCCCCATTCCATGTCGCAGCTTTGCTTCTGATGACGTTCAATTCTAAGAACTTCAAGCTCCGTGTAATACAGTGACAAGCTTGATGGGCTTTATGTTTCCTGGTACAAGTCTCAACTAACAGCATAGATTATCCCTTCATCGTGCCTAACTCACTCTTACTGAGTTTGCCTTGGACAACGTCTCGGGTGTGCTCTCGGACACCCAGTGGAAAAAAGGAGTACCATGGAAGGATATACGGTGTACTATAGGAGGATGATGTGCGCGCAACGTTAAAACGACTGGTATACTTCCGGAGTTCATTTAGTGTTTAAAGAGTTGATTAGTTAATATCAGTCAAACGCAGGCCTACACGAGTAAAGTACCTTATCGTGTTTCCATGGGGGACATAAGTAAGGAGGCCCAGAGTCGGTGAATTGTTTGCCCGTGGACAACTAAGTTCAAAGTAAGGTACGTAAGGTACAGAAGGTACTTATTTAATCTTACTCGTGTTGTACTAAGGTAGCCCTCCAGTAGGGACTGGACTGGCCTTTTTCTCTGAGGGTCCGATTTTAGTAGCGCACCGGATAAGAAAGCTCATGATTCGTCAAGTTTGACATTCTATCAATCATAGTTGGCATGTATTCTTAGCTTCTACCAATAAGACTCTCTTCTTCGGTGAGTACTTGCTTTTACACTCACTGTTTGATTTTTTAGAGGGGGCTTCCATACTCCCGAGTCGCCCGTCCACAACTTGCTCTTTTTCCTTCACTCCCTATCGGCCCGGGAGCATCTCTGCTCGATGGCAAGTAACCTCCCGGCTCGGATAACATATCAGTCACCTCGAACTGAATCTCAGAATTATCATATCCCCCTGTGTCTGCTGAAGCAATTGTACTGAGAGCTTGGATGCTTTCCGGGTGTTGCTAGATCTAGTCTAGTTAATCTCGTCTCTCCACTTCCGCTTCCCAGTCACCCAAACAGACAACGTGACTAGAAACTGCACTAACCAGGACAGAGGATTCGCCAAGTTCCCTCTGAGGGAAAGGCACTGGTTATCAGCCCTCATGAGTTGATCAAGAAGGGCAGGGGATTTCCCTTCCGTCCTCGGACCCCCCCCCCTCTCCACTCCCCCATGGCTGGAGCCTCACATGACTGAGGCTTGAATTCAAGTCCCGCTGTCCCAGCTGCACTCTTGAGCTGCATTATCGACCCTGAGAAACACCTTAATCACTGGCTGTCCGGGGTACATGGCGGTTGGTGCAGAAATCCTTATCATTAGGCATCCAATTGGATGTCCTCCATGAACGGACGTGCACTCTAGGTCAGTAATTGCTGCTTGTCCTTTCTGACATTGCTTGATCGCAAAAGTCCAGCCTGCGTTCTGTAACTGACTCGATCAGGTGTCTTCTAAACCCAATATTATCGACTCGATTCACAGTACCGACATGGAGACTTCGACACTATTCCTTCTTGCCAATATCTAGAGCTGTAACTGATCAAGTTTGACATAATCGACGAGAAGAATGAGGCCTATTTGCAACTCCTCTGAAAGATCTACCGAGTGTCGCCTGACAGATTGCCGGATGACCTCACCCTGAAGACACCCCTGCCTCTACTGTCGATCGCGTGCGATCTGGATACCCTGCAGCACGATAAGAGAAACGTGGGGGCCAAAAGCAATGTCAGCTACGCCCAATATGCTCTCCGGCGACTCGAACCTTGCGCACCAAACAGCCGGAACCCCGCAATTAAACCGCTCCTGTGAATCATGTCGCGCCTTGAAAGTGCGCTGCTTACCCGACGCCTCAACTCCCAATCAGTGTCAACGATGCTCAAAAGCGAACAGACCCTGCGTCTTCGTGGCCCCTCAAAGACGGCGGCCGCGCAAGCGAACCGACTCAAGGGTGGCCCAGCTGGAGAAAGAGATGCGACAGATGCGATCACTCTTGAAAGATAGGTTGCGGGTCGATGAAAGCAGTGCAGAAAGTGCGGGCAGTGAGAGGGAGGACTCCCGGGAGCCTGAATTGGCCGTTGAACCACATGAGGTCATCTCCACAATCCCCGAAGATCCGAGCAGCAGTGCGGATTCAGTTCGAAAGATGGATTTCTCTCCCAGCTTCCCCTCAACCTCACCATATCCGAATACCTATGACAGCGGGCCTGCGAATGCCCCCATTGCCAATGCAACGCCGGCTCCATACTCGTTTGATGCATTTCCAAGAGAGGATGTCATTGATCGAGGCGTGCTGTCTCTCGAGTATGCGAATGAGTTGGTTGCTTTCTATGTGACCGAGCTCACGGCTTTTGCGCCGATAGTCGTACTGCCCCCACATACGACTGCCACCCAGTTGCGACAGTCAGCGCCGGTGCTGTTTCTGTCCGTCATTGCCGCAGCTAGTGTTTCTCTGGATGCTCAACTGGCAGCCGTCCTAAACCAGGAAATCATCCGAGTATATGCGGAGCGATTCTTTATCAATGGAGATAAATCATTGGAGTTGGTTCAAGCATTACTTATCATGATCGTCTTCTATCACCCGCCTGATTCGCCTTTGAAGCTGCAATTTTATCAGTATACCCATATTGCTGCTACAATGGCACTGGAGATTGGTTTAGCCTCAAAACGCCGCGTGAACAAGACTAATGATCGTGGAGTGAGCAAAAGAACCACTTATGATGAACAAATGGCGGAGCAGGCGAGGACGATCTTGTACTGTTACCATCTCACATCTGTGTAAGTATGCGTTCTTGTTGATACATGCAATTTTGCTAATCGCAGACAGTGTCGCAATGAAAACGCGCCGACCGAATCTGCTCTTATTCAATGAGTGGATGGCTGAGTGCATCAAGCACCTGGAGCAATCACCAAACGTGATAGATAGGCACATGGCTACCTGGTTTGACCTGCAGCGAATAGTCGATGAAACGATGGCTTCCTTTGGCCTCGACGACACCAGCTCAACCGCACCAGTGACAGAGTCGCGCCTCCAAGCCATTCTGCGGTGGTTTGACAATCGTATGCTAGCGTGGCGAAAAGAACTGCCGATTGACATGCTCACAGGTAAGTCCTCGTCATGTGATAAGCCCCCGGCGGAGAGTAGAAGGTAGCTCATAGTGATCAGTCCCCATGACTTTTGAATACCATTACGCCAATCTCGCCGTATATGAAATGGCTGTTGGTGAAGGGTATCGTGATCCAGATGCAATCAAACAACAATACTACACTCTTCCCTCTCCCGAGGGCAAGGCAAAATCGGCTAGCACACAGCTCAGCGCTGTCCGCGTAGACATCACGATAAAATGGATGAACGCCGCGCACGAGATGCTGGACTTCTTTCTCAGCTGTGACACTGACATGTTGCGCAAGGTCCCGAATTTGGTTTATACCCGGGTTGGGACAGCGATGATGTCTCTTCTGAAGATATACTTCTCAGTCAGCGCAGGTGCCCTTGGAGAATTTATCACGTCGGAAACGGTCAATGTCGACAAATATCTTGTTGCAATGACTCAGAGACTAGCGGAGGCTAGTGGTGGCCAGAAGTACAAAATTCCAAGTCGATGGTATTACGTCGTTGCTGTCAAGGCTCGGAATTGGTATGACCGCTTGCAGCATCAACAGTTGCAGACAGCTGTTGGACTCGGCACAGCAGTCACCGCGGGAGCATCGATGTCTCATCCAAGTGTTGCGAGCCAGAAGCAACCGTCATTTGATCCGACTCACCAGCCGGTGCCATTCGGAAATTATGTGCCGATAGCGCCTTTCCACCCGATCGCTGGAGGTTATGGAGTACCGACACCGGTTAGCGATCCGATGTGGTCGCCAGATCAAGGTGGTTTCCGGAATGCGGCCAATGCTAGCCAATTCGCAAGTTACCAGGCGCCAAACCCTATGATGTCCCCTCATTATGTGTATGATATGCAGCACCAGCAGCGGACTCCGTCAAACAGTAGTCTGCAGGGAAACCCGTCTCCTCCTAAGACAGGCATGGAGCTTGACGACTGGCTTCCAGATGGGAGTGTATTTGCTTTACCAACTCTGCCTGGCTTCTAGCGGCCCGTCAACCATCGCAGATGCGACCCATAGATTCGATAGCCTCAAAAATAGTTCTGTTTGTATAGTCACTTTGTGTGAAAAGCCTCATCAAGTAAACCGAAGTAGCCTAAAGCAGTCAGTGATAAACCGGGAACTGTCAGCAGCCGGTCTTTTAAAGCAGGATAACGGCTGGCTGTCAGGGTGCAGAGAGGAGAAAGCTAGCATCCGACGTGAGCAGCAGTCTCCGCTCACTATCGATTCTTATAAAGTAGCGATTCATGGAAGCTTGTCATCGGACGTCGGCTGACATGGAACTTCCGACGATCCGAAAAGCGGGACAATTAGCTTCCAGAAAGTCACCGAGCTTTCGGCTACGACATCGGCTATGGTTTCTGGATCCTCCTGCCACGACCTGGCAAGAAAACCCTGGTCCAACTAGGAATGAGAATCATCTGGAAGCACTGACCATTGGTGGAGTTGTTGCTTCCATTCATATTGAGAATTAAACTCGTATGAGGAACACTAAGATATCGTGGCGAGCTCACTAATCAGCTACCTACACAGTAGTACGGAGCACTCCGTACAGCACAGTATGACCCTTGGCAAAGCGATCAAGCGCTTGACAGCTGGCGATACATTTCTATTGGCTGAACCTGACATCAAAGCTCAATTCCCCGTGGCAGGTCCCCCTTTCTCAGCGGTCATGCTGGAGCCTGAAGGAGACTCAGTAAACCCGATGTACGGAGTATAGCTATATCCACTTCCACATGGTTCTGGGATGTGCCTGTGCCGCATCCGAATGGGTTTGCCCACATCATCCCTGCTGAGTGCCAACCCAGTGCGTTTGCTTCTTGACGTAAAACAGGCTTTTGTGCGGTACGTTTGTACAACAGTCATGTGTTAATTGGATTGATGCGCGCAAGGTTGCAAGGTCACAAGGTGATTCACCATGCACATGAGCTTGCATAGCATGGACCAAGCTCAAGATTGAGCGAGGAACTTCTGTTTCAAGGGCAGTTTCTTTGCTGCCAGAGCCGCCACGAGATGATATACCTATGGCTAAGCTTTTGTGTCAGACCATAAACGGTTTCTCCGCCAGGAAAGTGTCCGAAATGAATTCTTCTCGAGACATCGCGAGACCTTCTGATGCGTGCAAGTCAAACGAGCAGAAGATGTAGTATTATGTAATCCATTGGTAACAGGGCCGCGTAAACTTACAGTAAGGGCGGGGATGAACAGTGCCATTCCATTTCAAGGATTTACACATCCGAACTTACACTTATTCCGCAGACCAACGTGGTCAATCATGGTCCTATCGCTATAGTTCGATAAATCATCATACTACCCCGTACTGACTTGACACTCCTCCAAGATGCAGCAATCAGTGCTCAGCAAGGTACGATAGTCAGTTACGGAGTGACTTGAATCTATCAATCCTATGGAGTAGAAAGTGACGTGATACTCTCTACCAGACCACTTGGGTCTCTATTTTGTACAATACCGCTTGCGGGACACTCAAATGATGTCGTTCTCTCTTCTCCATGCGGGCCACTCCATTACACTTATTACAGTATGTAGCTAACTACTACTCCCTGGCTGGGTTGCTGGCCAGTTCCCAATTTGGCCCCAAACGAGATTATTTGTGCTGATTGCCTAGAAAGAGTTGCATGCTGACTTACTACTAGGTACTGGTACTAATAGACTCCCTTACTCTCTTTCCTGCCACCTTCAAACTACCAACAGCGGGAAACTTGGCTGATCGTCCCATCCCCCCTCGTTCACGATCAGCCACCCACCAATCTTTCTTCCCTCCTCCCCTCCGCGTGCTCCACCCAGGCTCCCAAGTCCCTTGAACTTAGCCTTGACACCTCCGCGGCTTGCTTCTTCGCATCTGCTGCTTGCTTCATTGATTTGTATCTCCAGCCTTCGAAACATCCCCAAACACCGGTACCCGGCCGCCAACCACCTATTTCCTTTCGTCCCTCCAGCTCCCCTCTGATCACCCAGGCTCAACGAGCTGTCGGAGAGCGTCGAATACATCCTGAAACATCGCACGGATGGATGGTCGTCAATCCACATCGCAATCTGCAGCACGGTGGAATTAAAGGAAGACAAAGATAGAGGTCAATTCCACCAGCAAGTGTGACTTCGCACTCCATCAACAATTTCCTGTTGTGTGTATAGTCAGCGTTGGGGGCACAACAATCACTCAGATGAAGAATGAGCGCAGTCTCCAGTCCCAGTCCTGTTGACCAGTCTGTCGACGACAACGCTGCCGACCTGTCACACCACTCGCATACCTCAAAGACATCGGCCAACGCCTCTGTTTCGCCAAGCGAGACTCCGGAAACAACACGGAAGGAAAATGCTAATACCGATGCTGTTCAACGAGAAAGGGGGGAAGTGCCTCTAAACAAACCTACGGCGCGGGCTAGTGCATCAACCACGGCGGCAGCCAATCCGCCGCCCCAGCAGCAGCAGGCCGAGATGGACGATTTCGGATTGCCGATTCGGGTGCGGCCGAGGAGAGTGTCTTCTGAGAGCGAGGAGACTTTTCACAACGTTCATGAAGGTCAAGAGACTGAAGGCGACACTAGAGAATCACAGACTGCTGCACCCGCGCCGTCAGTGTCTGACGAACAGACGAAGGCGGAGACTTTTGCTGGGAAAAATGTAAGTGAAGGGCCAACGGCATCCTCTCCGAGGCCCTCCACACAAGGAAAGGAAGAACCGTCCAAGACGTCAATAGATCTCCCTGCGGCCTGCAGCACAAGCAAGATATCGAGAGATGACGAACCACCACCCCCGTATACGATTTCTCCACCAGAAGATGATACAAGACATTCGATTGAACCCCACAAGACGAAGCGGAAGTCCCTGGAACCATCCGAATGGTCGCATCAACGACTCAATGCAAAGATAGATCCGGAGGAGGAAAGCGATGAAGAAGAAGATGATGGCGGCTGGAAGGAGATGCCAGCTCTGGGGGACATGGATGTGTATGATGACTATGGTCGACTTGTCGCAAAGGGCTCAAAGGACGTAGAGAGTGATGAAGCCGTCTACAGTGGCCTGGGCGGAGCCGGTAAAGGGTACACCCGGGTGCAGCTTGACGAGGATGCTCAATCTGCAACTAGCATGGATGAAGACACAGGCTACCTTTTCAAAGACAGCCATGCGAACTCCGCTGGTATGGAAGAGGAGCTGCGCGACCCGACAAGCCAGATGCAGGCTACGAAAGATCTCTTAACCGAAAGTCAGAGGATTGCGTACGTCGGGGTCACCAGGCTCACGTTGTGGCAGATGGCCCTGGATATGAATCGAATACCCTCCATCAAAGGATGTCGCAAAGCGAAGCAAGGTGGTGTCGACTCCATGCGCAAATGGAGCCAAACTATGATGGCCAGGCTCTATTCTCATATGGAGATCGATGCAGCGGAGCAGGTCATGATTGAGCAACTGGCGGAACATGGCGTGCAGCCCGCGGATCTTGTCAGACCCCTCATGAGCAATGCCCGCGTCAAGAATCCATTAGTTGAGGAGACTGATACACCAAAGAGATCTATGTCATCGCCTACGTCTCCTCGCTTGAGGGATGAATACCGGAGTAGTAATTCAGCAGAGTTTGACCAGTCATCCAGATCAACTTCTCCGCCCCCTTACGAGACCCATGAGGGGGAAGATCTTCCAGAAGTTCGTACCCCATCACAATTACCTACTTCGGCCAAGATCGATATTGATTTGCGTTGGACGGTTCTCTGCGATTTGTTTCTCGTCCTTATCGCCGACTCTGCCTATGATGCCCGCTCCCGAACCCTACTTGAAAGAGTGGGCGAATCAATGGAAGTACCATGGCTACAGATCGCTCGATTCGAGAAGCGCGTGATCGATGCCCTTGAGATGCAAGAGGCCGCGGATAAAGAGAACTGGGATGAATCGGAACACATGGAGAAGAGACGCAAAATGGCATTGAAACATAAATACATGATTATGGGATTGGCCACGGTAGGTGGCGGCCTGGTGATTGGTCTTTCTGCAGGGTTGCTGGCCCCTGTCATTGGTGCAGGTCTAGCAGCCGGTTTTACCACCGTTGGGATTACAGGAACAAGTGCTTTCCTGGGTGGTGTTGGGGGTACAGCGTTGATCGCTTCTGGCGCTACACTTACTGGTAGTACGATTGGTCTGAGAGCATCTCAGAGACGGATGGGAGCGGTTCAGACATTCGAATACCGCCCCTTGCACAACAACAAGAGAGTAAACTTGATTATCACTGTCTCTGGTTGGATGACTGGCAAAGTGGATGACGTACGGTTGCCCTTCAGTACAGTTGACCCCATCATGGGAGATCTGTACTCGGTTTTATGGGAACCTGAGATGCTGCGGAGCATGGGTGATACCATCAATATCCTGGCCACAGAAGTGAGTCACTTAAACTATCCTAGTTGGCAGCGGCGCTAACAACCCACATAGGCTTTGACGCAAGGTCTCCAGCAAGTCTTGGGGCAGACCGTCCTGGTAGCTTTGATGGCATCTCTGCAACTACCTCTTGTACTCACCAAGCTGTCGTACCTCATTGACAATCCATGGAATGTCTCGCTAACTCGCGCAAATGCGGCGGGCCTGATTCTGGCGGACTCTCTCATGGTGCATAACCTCGGTAAAAGGCCTGTCACGCTGGTAGGATATTCCCTTGGCGCTAGGGTCATCTTCTCTTGCCTGAAGGAACTCGCAGACAAGGGCGCATATGGATTGGTCCAAAACGTTTACCTTTTCGGGTCACCCATGGTGGCGAACAAGGACGAATACCTCAAGGCGCGCACTGTTGTCTCTGGTCGGTTCGTCAATGGTTACGCTTCGAATGATTGGATTTTGGGTTATCTTTTTAGAGCGACGAGTGGCGGTATTATGAGGGTAGCAGGCCTTGCGCCTATAGAAGGTATCCCTGGGCTGGAGAACTTTGATCTCACAAAGCTTGTTAATGGTCACATGGACTACCGTACTGCGATTCCCCGGCTATTGAAAGAGGTAGGATGGGAGGTGGTGAGTGAGGAATTTGCAGAGATTGAAGACCCTGACCCAGAGAACCATGCGGAGCGGCAAAGGGAGCTCATCCGTGAGATCGATGAGGCAAGACGTGACGCCGAACAAAAACCGGAGAAGAAGCGATTCGGACTGTTCAAGCGTGGCAAACTGGCTCAGAAGAAAAAGTGGGAGACGTACGATGTGGATCGCAACAACACGACAGCGCGGAGTTCCATTGATACCAACAATGGGAACGGGTCAGTCTTGTTCGACATTGATGCCATTAGGGCCGAGCTGGCTTCGGAAAATCTCGAAGTCAAACAGCTCGAGTCAACCCTCCCACCTATGAAGTTGGACTTGAGTGCTCCCGCGAGTCCATCACCTGCCCCAACACCACCTAAAACTCAGGAGACGAAGCCCTACGAGCCGACACCGCCTCCATCAGAAACGCTTCGAGACAAGGAACATGGCTATAGTCCTTCTCGCGACGCTGCACCGTACTCCGCGCATGAAGAAGAGGTTGAGCTGACATTCGACACTTCCTTCCACGAGACGCCAACACGGTCTCATTCCTCGTTCGGGGCTCCAAACCCAAACGATGGTCACCCTGCCAGGCCGGAGCTCCGATCTGCAGTTACGATGCCTGCTCTGGGTGCTAGTACATTGGGTGCTATGGCTCTAGAACCCAATGCCTGGGCTGAGCATGACATTGGGTATGGTGACGAGAACGAGATTCAAATGACTTTTGAATGATGACAAGGCATGAGAATATGCTACTATGATCTGAATGAAACTTTTGTTTTTGTACATGCTGACGCTGGTGTCTTGGTCAACGGCCTCTTCTACCGTCTTGCTCTGGGGTTTGGTTGCGATTCTTCTTTCCGCCAGACATGCCACAGGCTACGGTCAGTGTAGGAAATGCGGCAGGCTTAGACTTTATACTATGCTAATATCGTTTTGATTCTGTCGCAAGCCTTGATATTCAGTTTTCTACGTCATCTTGTTGACTTCTCATCCAAAGCGATCTCTGGTGTGTTTGAGGCCGTGATCTTTCGCCGCCCTATGAATTTCATGTTTACCAACACCCACCTAGACCTGGGTCCTCTCTGTATTAGATATATGTCTACCTAATTACATATTACACTTAACTTGGAATGTGCATCTCTCAGCTCTTCTTGTCAAGGGTTGGATACCTTATCGATAACTACACTAGCGTCTTGCACGACAAAGATATCCTGAAGGACGTATAAGTGCTTCAGCTTGCCTTGACTGACATATACCGTTGTACAGTGACAGGTTTGTCGGCCCTGACTGGTATGGTTGTGTTGCATGGAGACAAAGGACATGACTCTGCGGGATCTCCATGTAAAAAGACGCCGTGCGGAGAAGCAGCCCCGATAGCGTGTCACCCGCACGCGTCCCTCCTCAACCGCATCTGTCACTTCTCCACTGTCTTTCTTCTCTTGTCATACAACAACACCACGCCCATCTTCCTTGAACATACTGGTTCTTTTCAGTTGTTGCTGAGTACATACAGACTAAATGATACCGATGTGAACTGGCTATAGTCTGTGTCAATTAATTCCCAGCAGAGAGATCGTTTTATGTTTACCGAGTTACGGAGTCACTCCTTGTACCCAGGGAAGAAGAAAGCTCAAGCACACGACGTATTGCCAAATCTCCTATCGTCCAATCGAGCCAAAACAACTTACCAACCTTCGCTCGGATGTTTAGCTCAGATCAATCTGCTCTTGATTAATTTACCGACTCCTTATTCTCTTTCGTCGTCCTCCTTCCCCGCGTTGAGCTATTCCTCGACATGTCCGTCACCACACGTGCCAGAGTGAAGCCCAATTCGAGCTTCGCCTCGAATCGGCTGACTAGAAAGGACACCATCCCTGGTGGACATCTTCTCACCAGTTTCCGCACTGGCGAGACGAGCAAGCCGGGGAGCGCCCGACACGAGCCAGCAACGGATGACGAACCCCAGAGCAGCAGCCACAGCGAAAATGATGACCAGTCTGACGACGACTTAGGTAGATCGAGTCGCTACACACGCCGATCAGGACTTACATTGGACGAGAAGCTCGCCAGAGACTCACTGGAAGGCGGGAAGACACCGCGAGCTTCTCGGCAGAGGACTGAGACAAAGAAGTCGAAGTCCTCCGCCTCGAACCGGAAGAGGACTTTAAGCGGCATGGTTGATGATGGAAACTCAATAAGTGACGAGGATGACCTTCTCTGGTCTTCGCAATTCAGGTCGTCGGACAGCGTCAAACGGCGGAAGCCTACGGTCAGTTATGGCTCGAGGAAATCCTTCGGACAGGGTTCGACGCCTCACTGGACGTCTCCCGCGGCCTCACAGTCTCCCTCGGTGGGTGCTCGGGAAGGAAAAGCAAGAAAGGGTTCAAAGCGGGCAAGGAGTACCTCGCGCAGTCCGAAGGAGGAGTTAAAAATGCCGCGTGCGATCGAGTCGAGTCCGAAACCCGAATTCAAAGCGCCGCCTCCCCTCCCATCCAATATTACTCCTAGCACCTCGTTCGCTGGTTCCTCCGCTCGTGATATCATCTCTTTGAACCTGGACGACAGCGATTCCTCGTCCAGTACGGCTCTGAGCTCCGCGTCGTCGACGTTGCTGGAGGAGCTAGCTCGATTTGATGAGTCTCTGCTTGGGTCGGAGGACGAATGGAACACATTGGAACCCTCTTTGTGTCCATGGTGCAAGGAGTCCGTGCCCCGCGAGCTGCTCAGGCGCTTTCAAGCACAGCCGAAGCAACGGATGCGTGAACAGCGACGATTTTGCGAATCACACAAGCATACGGCCGTCGAGAGGGAGTGGCGAGAAAAGGGCTATCCGACCATTAACTGGGAAGCATTTGAGCAGCGCATCGAGCCGCACTTGGAGAGTCTCGACCGAATTCTGGAGCCAGAAAGCTCGTCGTTCTACAGAAACATTTTGGACACCAAGCTCAAGAGCGGCGAGGCCAAGAACTTTCGGCTTGACATGCATGGTGAGGGACTGGAAGATATCTCGTGCGGCTACTACGGCACCCGTGGCGCTACTAAAATGTATATCCACCGATCGTCTCATGACATGGAACTGGCAAGCTAATGCATCACTTTCCTAGGCTCGAACGTATCATGGTACGATACGCCCGCAAGCTGCGTCGCCTGGGCTCTGAGGATCAGATAGTCAATACAGCGGGCGTGGCCGGGTACGCGCAAGCCGTTCTGGTACCCGAGTTGGCGATGAGGCTTGTCAAGGAAGATATGAAGGTGGATGACGACCAAGCGAGACAAATTCTGCGGGACAGTATGGAGCTTGGGGAAGCTATGAATCCGGAATTGAGTGACAAGATCGCAGTCAAAGAGGCCGATGAACCCGGTGTGCAAGAGGGAATGACTGTTTGATTGTGATTGGTGGCTTTGCTGGCTGGGAATCCCTCTCGCGTTCTATTCATGTATGTTTTACTACGAGTGATACCTATTTGATCTGTGCGAGAACTAGTCCGATCTTCAAAGCAATGTACGACAACTGGAGAGTGGAGTTTTGCGAAATGGTGTGCGATTCCGTGATTGTGAGTACTGAGTGCACACTATGGAGTAAGTCTGGTTGTTGAAAGGATTGACATGCTTATGCATGGTATTTATTCCTACTTTTATGAGCGTATATAATAAATCATAAGAAATACTGTAATAGTATACTAGCTATAGAAGATTATTCAATGAGCATACAGTTAATTTGAATAGATGTTGATTTACTATTACTATATAAGATCTTAAAGATCTTATTCAGATTTTTTAAATCTTTCGGATTATAGAAGTGTTTCTTATTGGCTGCTACTCTATAAGATGGGTTTGGATTATTTACTGCCAGGGGAATGGTTTGAACAAGTTGAGATTGATCTTTAGCTTCAGACTTGCTGTCCTAAACAAACGCATTCTTTTCTGAAGGAAGACTGGCGTTTCGTGAAGCTTCCGAAACTGGATTCCACCAGAGGCCTACGAACAATCCTCATTCCTGCCCTGGATGTACTTGCCTATCTTCTGGCGTGCCCTGCACAACCTGTATAGGATATGTGACTACTGGATTTCCAGTACAAAAGACAAACAAGTTGCTTTTTACATTATTCTCTGCTTGCCACTGCATAATGGTTCGTCTCCTGATGGAAGCTTCCTGGGTAGCTTGGCTTGAGTGGAAAATGGCAGACTACTCTCGAGTCAGGAGCAGCTAGGCTTTGATGCATTAGACAGTGCTTTAGGAAGGCGTCTACAACTGTCCATCAGAACAACCTCGCTTTCTGTAGCGTAGCTGTAGGTTTGCTAGATTCAACAACGTTAAGCACGTAATTGTGGTGTAGTGTTGGAATACAGATCCGTGGATTGCAACATGATGAGGGCATCCTTGCCTTGTGAATCAAGATCTTCTTTCACATCCTCTTCAATCGTTCTTCATTCTTCGTCTTCACTCTTCGTCTTCTTTCTCTTGTCATCTATAAATCCCATTCGTCAAATTATCAAGTACTAGAACTATCCTTTATACTCAACAGGAGTACCTCCATCCCATCCAATATCAAAATCCGCTTTCTCATCCTCACTGACACCCACGGCCACGAGCTCCCCCGAAAAGTGCTCCCAGCACCACGCCGATGTAGCGATCCACTGCGGCGACCTGACCGACAGCTCTTATCTGACCAAATTCCAAACCACGAACCAGCAGCTCCAACGGCTGGACGCACCCCTCAAGCTGGTCATCCCCGGCAACCATGGCTTCACCCTGGACACCGCGACCTTCCAACAGAAGGTCAAAGCCAGCGGCCTTGCGAACGAAGATAACCACCGCCTCGTGCGGCAAGTCTACGGGGACTATGAGGAAGTCCGAAGAAAGCTCTTCACCCAGAAACTCCAGCAAAGCAGCGAAATTACCCTGCTGGACGAAGGCATCCATGTCTTCACCCTGGCCAACGGTGCGCGGCTCACCGTCTACGCCAGTCCTTACAATCCCTCGCTAGGTGACTGGGGCTTCCAATACCACCCGGACACGGGCCATGATTTCCAGTTCGACGGCAGCGGCGATAGATCGATGTGGTCATCACTCACGGCCCACTGCGAGGCATCATGGATTACACCAGTGATACACATTCGCGCGGACGACGAGCCGGCTGCCCCAATCTGTTCAAGGCCAACTCACTTCACGGCCATCGACTACGGACGCTCGACCGTCATCAGTAAGCTTGCCCGGCTGGTGGAGCCGGGGAAGGGGGGAGGAGGCTCCGGCGGTCATGGAAGCGAGCCACTGCTCGGAGGATTCGGTTCCGTTGAAACCGGGGGAGCACACGCTGTTTGTGAGTGCCGCGGTACAAGGATGCAGTGCTGAGGTTCCGGTGCATCCGCTTTGGCAGATCGATCTAGAGCTGTCGCGTGCGGTGCCGCCGCATGGTGAGAACAGCGAATAAAACCTCATATAGCATCGGTACCGCACTGTAGGTGATCTGTTGAAGTGTATGAGAATTGACTACATTTATCGCTAGTGATTGAGATTTTGGGGTAAAGGGGGCCCCCGATTGAGAGTTAAGCCGAGCAAAGCCTCGTGTACCGACTTGTCCAAAATACTATAGAGAACTGTACGAGATATCCGGCTCGGGCAAGTATCCTCGTATGAGTTTCAATATTCTACGGCCTTGAACAAGGTTTCAGATTACATTCCTAGGAGCCTTTTGCTCTACGCAGTGTTGTGCAACTGCGATATTTCAACTTTTACCAGCTTTGGGTTCTGGACTCGCAGAGAGTCCCCACGCTACGAATTGGCGGCCCCTGAGTCAGTTTACCCTTTGAACTACCCGCGAAAGTTCTCGACCAGGTGGACGGGTGAAGAGCAGGTGCAAAGGTGGTAATCATGATTTCCTGGACTGACGCACTAAGTACGGAGTAGCTGTAGTACACAGTATACAATGCCGAGACTTGTCACAGTGGAGATTTGGACTGATAAGATAAGTTAGGAATGCTGATTCATCCGGTGCCAGGTGGAGGTGCGGTGCGGAGGTGGAGGTGTCTCCAACTGATAAGCCAACCAATTGAACCAACCCCCTCCGTCGTCATCTCTGCTTCCAATTTACTCATTTATCCTCTCCTCACTTCTACTACTTCTCCTCCTTCTTCTTCTTCTTCTCTCTCTCTCTCCTCCTTCATTCTCCATCCTTTCTGCGATGGCTCATTGGGTCTAGAATTGGCCCATCCAATTACAATTCATTATGCTCCCTGATATGAGGGAGAAGAAAGCCATGGCTCCCTCGGAATCCACTCCGTTGCTCACGGCCGTCACTATCGCGCCGCGGCGGTACCGGTACCCTCACCACGCCCTCCGACGATCCTGTAATTTCATTCTAGGCTTTATCCTCGCTGTTTCAGTCCTTCTGTTTCTCACCCCTTCTGCTATCCTTCCTCGTGAACATGGGTCCATCTGGTCCTACCTGCCTTGGGCAAATCCATTCCCCCATGCCTCGTGGCCTCACGGCCATGGATTAGGCTTCGAAGAGCTGCAGGCTCTACTCCAGGAAACCCCGTCTGCCGAGAAGGCTCGGGAATGGAGTAACTACTACACCGCCGGGCCTCATTTGGCCGGCAAGAATCTGAGCCAGGCAGTATGGACCCAGGAGCGGTGGCAGGAGTTTGGAATCGAGGATACCAGCATTGTTGCCTACGACATCTTCCTCAACTACCCCGTAGATCACCGTCTGGCCCTTCTGAAGAAGCAGGGCGATGCCACCGAGGTGACCTTCGAGGCCACCCTGGAGGAGGATATTCTGGAGGAGGACCACACGAGCAATCTGACTGATCGCGTGCCGACCTTCCATGGTTACTCGGCGAGCGGGAATGTCACTGCACCCTTTGTTTTTGCCAACTTCGGCACCGTTTATGACTTCCAGGATCTGATCGATGCGAACGTCAGTCTGGCCGGCAAGATCGCCATCTGCAAGTATGGCCGCATCTTCCGCGGCCTGAAGGTCAAGAGAGCACAGGAGCTGGGAATGGTGGGTGTCATTCTCTACGATGATCCGGAGTCCGACGGAGATATCACCGAGGAGAACGGATACGAGGCCTATCCGAACGGTCCCGCGAGGAACCCCAGCGCTGTTCAGCGTGGTAGTACGCAGTTTCTCAGTAAGTTTCTCCCTCTCTATACTATCAACCTACACGCTTGCCTGGGTAACTGATCGTGACGCTTAGGCATAGCACCTGGTGACCCGACCACCCCCGGGTACCCCTCTAAGCCCGGCTGTGAGCGTCAGGACCCGTTCAACTCGATCCCGTCTATCCCCTCCCTGCCTATCTCATATAAGGAGGTGATCCCACTTCTGAAGGCACTGAATGGTCATGGCCCCAAGGCATCCGACTTCAACAAGTGGTGGCAGGGCGGTAAGCTGCGTTCCAAGGGTGTGGAGTACAACATCGGTCCTACCCCCGATGATGTCGTCATCAACCTCTACAATGAGCAAGAGTACGTGACGACGCCCCTTTGGAATGTCATTGGAGTTGTGAAGGGACACATCCAGGACGAGGTGGTGATTCTGGGGAACCACCGCGATGCGTGGATTGCTGGTGGCGCGGGTGACCCCAACAGTGGATCAGCCGCGATGAATGAGGTGATCCGCAGTTTTGGAGAAGCCCTCAAGGCCGGCTGGAAGCCGCTCCGTACCATTGTGTTTGCCAGCTGGGATGGTGAAGAGTACGGATTGCTGGGCTCGACGGAGTGGGTGGAAGACCAGCTCCCGTGGCTCACCAAAGCCAACATTGCCTACTTGAATGTGGACGTGGCCGCAGCAGGGACCGTCTTGGAGCCACGGGCTAGCCCGCTCATGAACAAGCTGATCTACGAGGTGACGGGCTGGGTACAGTCTCCTAACCAGACCGTGCCGGGTCAGACCGTGCGAGACGTCTGGGACGGACACATCTCGACTATGGGCAGTGGCAGCGACTTCACAGCCTTCCAAGACTTTGCGGGCGTCGCTAGCTACGACCTTGGCTTTGGACGTGGCCCTAAGGATCCCGTGTACCACTACCACTCGAACTATGATAGCTTCGACTGGATGGACCGGTTTGGAGATCCGAACTGGAAATATCATGAAGCTTGCACCAAGATCTGGGCGCTGGCTGCGGCCAAGCTGGTCGAGACTCCGATTATTGCCTTCAATGCGACCGACTACGCTCTGGGGCTTGAGCAATACCTGAGCCAGGTCAAGCCGGCTGCAAAGCAGCTTCCAAAGGGCACCTTCTTTGACTTTGCACCTCTCGACCAGGCTATCGCCCAATTCCAGGCGGCCGCCGCGCGATTTGATGCTCATGCCGCGGAGCTGGGCTCGCAGCTGGACGAAGATGTGCCATGGTACCACTGGTGGAAGAAGGTCCGGCTCCTCTTCCAAATCCGCGTGGTGAATGATAAATACAAGAGCATCGAGAAGCAGTTCTTGTATCAGCCTGGACTGGATGGTCGCAGCTGGTTCAAGCACGTCGTGTTTGCCCCCGGCATCTGGACGGGTTATTCTGGGGCGACTTACCCCGGACTGGTGGAGAGTCTGGAAGCGGGCGATTTGACAAACTCCCAGGTATGTTCTGATTTGCGGATTAGTAACATAGGGTTACTATGGCTAACTCTAAGTGTCAGAAATGGCGCGCGATTATTCTGGAGCGCATCGAAGCGGCCACTCGGCTGCTGCAGTAGAGTCGGAGGCGGCGTGCAGGATTGCATGCCAGCTGACCGCAAGGTGCATGCAAGGACGAGCTCGGCAGAGCTGGCTGGGCTCACCTGTAATTCTGAAAGTGTCTCACTGTAGACGTTATTTCACTTGAACAGCTGTAACAGCTGTTATTTCTAAGACTCTAGTTGGAAGCCCGACTGGGGAGCTGTTAGCTGTAGTTCTGCGGAAACGGCGGGGAAAGCAATGAAAATGTAGTGAATCTGACCCACCCAGCGGGATATAGTCTTTAAAGCACCTATAGCAGATAAGCAGCTAAGCAGCCACAGTAGAAATAACTATGGAATCCGTGAGCTGACAAGCTCTTAGTGTCGGTCTGTTTGGTGGTGGTTGATCATCTGCGGTCACACGCCCTCTTAGTCCCTTCTGTGCCTCGCATTTTTCTTCTCGGGCTTTTTCTTTTCTACCTTTTACTTCCCCCTTTCCCAACCCCCTCAATTCCTTTGCTCCTTTTCTTTTCTCACTTCTGTTCATGTAAAAGAACTTCTCGCCAACTGAGCACGGTCTTCCCTGAACAAACATGTTGAAGAAAGCCCCTCAGCTGCCTGTGCGGCAGCTGCTCATTCTTTGTAAGTCAGAATCTGTCCCGCGGAGTTTTAGAAAGTTACATCCATGCGCCATGAAAGTCCGATGAGACCCAAGCTGACTCCGACCTCTGCTCACCATCACCACAGCAATATGTCGCTTCGCAGAGCCTGGTATGATTCTTCTCAATGGGGAGTAGGGGGTGTCTGTATAGCCAAACGTCTTCATCCTAACAGCTTGCTACACTCCAAAATAGTGGTCCTCACCTCCGTCCTCCCCTACCTCGTAAGTACTTATCTCGACTTCTCCTTTAGATCTAGCATGAACTGACCCCAAGGCAGCCGGAAATGATTGAGTCTGTCGGCGTTCCTAAGCATGAAATCGCCAAGTGGGTTGGCATCACCAGCGCCGTGACCGCCTTCAGCCAGGCCGCCATGGCCGTCACCTGGGGCACGCTCTCGGACACGGTCGGCCGCAAGCCCGTGATCTTGCTCGGGTTGACCTGCACGATGGTCATGTCGCTGGTGTTCGGGCTCTCGCGGAGCCTGGTGATGCTGGTGGTCGCGCGCGGCCTGCTGGGCCTGATGAATGGCAATGTCGGCATCATCCGCACCATGGTCGCCGAGATGGTGCCGGAGAAGGAGTTGCAGCCGCGCGCCTTCAGCATCATGCCGCTGGTGTGGACGATCGGGAGCATCTTTGGGCCGGCGTTTGGTGGCGCGCTGGCCCGGCCCGCGGAGAAGCACCCCGCGCTGTTTGGGGACTCGGTGTTTCTGCGGAAGTATCCGTTTGTGCTGCCGAACATGGTGGCAGCGGGGTTATTTGTGTTGGGGATTGGGACGGGGTTTTTGTTTCTGGAGGTGAGCGGCTCCATTTCAGAAGGTAGTTAACTAACATAAAGGAGAGTGCTGACGAGACGCTTGCGCCAGGAAACGCTAGCCGCGAAAAAGGATCACCGGGACTATGGACTCGTGCTGGGTCAGGCTTTGACGCGTCCGTGTCGGAGTGCCAGGTCTGACAAGAAGTCACGGCTCTCAGCGGCAATCGCAGGAGCTGATGAAGAACGAACGGCCTTGTTAGGGCAGCGCCGCCGTGCAGGTAAGAAAGCCCGCAAGCCCAGCTGGGCGGAGGTGTTCTCGCCGCAGTCCAACCTGATTCTCGTGGCGTACTCGCTTATGTCCATGCACACTATGGCGTTCGACTCGTTGCTACCGGTGTTTCTGCATACGCCCGTGCAACAGCTCGAGGGGAACCCGGACGTGCATCTGCCGTTCAAATTTATTGGAGGGTTTGGCGTGGGTAAGTGTGTTTCCGCTTGTACTTTGTCCTGACACTAAGTTCTGATCCCATACTGATATGTCTGGAAAAATCAGACTCCCAGACCATCGGGATCTACTACACCTTGATCGGCATCATTGGCATGATTGTGCAGTTCATGATCTTCCCGGTGGCTGCCAAGCAGTACGGCGTGCTCAATTGCCTCAAGGTGGTCTCCATCGTGTTTCCAATTTTGTACCTGGTGACCCCGTTCACGGCGCTGGTGCCGGGCTCGCTGCGCCACGTGGTCGTGTTTCTGTTGATGCTGGGCAAGCTCTCGGCCTCGATCTTCGGGTTCCCGTGCACGACGATCCTGCTCACCAACTCGGCGGCCAGTCTGAGCGTGCTAGGGACGTTGAACGGGGTGGGGACGAGTGTCAGCGCCATTGGACGGGCGATTGGGCCGGCGTTGACGGGCTCGGCGTTCTCATTTGGCGTCAAGCGGGGGTACATCATCATTCCGTGGTGGCTTTTGGCGGTCTTTGGTGCGGTCAGTGCCATTCCGGTGTTTTGGTCCGAGGAGTCGGACGGGTTTCATGGCAAGGAGGAGGTGGAGGAGGAGGAGGAGGATGCAGAAGAGGAGGATGGTGGATATGGGGCTACCTCCCGACGCGGCTGAGGTTGAAATGGTGAGGGCTTTGATGTCAGGGAAAAGTACATTGCGATTCACTTGCGAAAGACTAGGCATCGTGCATGCTTGGTGCACATGGCATACTATGATACATAGCTAAGTTTACGAGATATGATGATAGATGACAGCGATAAATTATGACTGAGTACTATCCTAAGTTTGTCTCTGTTGATTAAATTCAAACTAGAGGCTTGACGCTAGATGTTTGGAGTTTTCCAGCGTGAATTAGAGGAGAGAATACTTACCATGATATTCATTCTGTACATATCCGTGGATGAACGAATATAGCCAGGCTAAAGTAACGACATGACGGATAGACTGCATCCGAGTCTATTGCGCTTGTCTAAATAGCGCCAATTCTCTGACTGTGCTGTGATATATTGATAAGAAATACTCCAGTTATACCAGGTATCAAGTGAAACACATTGTGTGAATGGGTTTCTATCCACATGTGCATGGGTCTACCAACTTGGAGTTATTGGATCAGAATGCTATTTCAGCAGAGAAGCTCTTCTCGTGGTGGGGATCATCTTGTGAAGAGATTAGCCCATGTGGATCAGCACCGATCACCAGTATTACTATTTTTCCACAGGAGGATCTCAGCAGACCAGCATTCGTGATCATCATTCCATATTGATGGAAACTCAACTATATGTCGGGAAAACAGCGGTGCTAGAAGGGTCCGCGGAACCGGGAATTTTAACTAGTACAGTAAGTACAGTATACATCATCGTATGACAATAGTCATTACTGCAGCTAAACAGCTAATTCATCGACACAATAGTCAGCATCGGCCTCATCTTATAGAGCCGCATCGCTATATGATATAAAATTATTATTGTGGCATTCAAAGTCGCTTCTGCACAGTAAGACAGCAAGTAGCCGGCCTGGGTGGCCTGAGACGTATACGTATGACGACTATACGGAGTAGGAAGCCAATCGGGTTCGGATGAAAATAATCGGGCCCGGCCAGGCCAGGGGCGTTGCCAAATGTGGTAGTTACCACCCTACCGGTCGGCCAGTACCTTACGCCGTATAGTATATCATTACCTTACTCCGTATAGTATACCTAACCTACATACACAGTCTGGTGTTGTCATGGGTGTAAATGGGTAAAATAGATTACCACGTAGACTTTAACTCCGATCCTCCGTCCTGTTGTGTGGCTCCATAGCTTAGCTGATACATAAAGTGTGAGCTTAACTTATATAACTCAACGTCGTCTGCCTGTAAGCAATAGCTAAGTACCTGGTAAGTAGGTATCAAAATCCTGCAACACCTTAGGTTGAAAAGATCCAATACCTAACCAAGACCTCAATCCCCATCTGAGCTAAACAGCTTTAAAACATCATCTGTTTTTTTTTTTTTTACCTTGCTGAAACAATCCACACTCGTCCTCCTCCTAAACTCCTCCTCCTCCCATTGACAATTAAACTCATAACCACACTGACAACCCACCACAATGGTATATAACCCCCTTCCCCCAATCCCCCCAATCCCCCATTTCCCCTTGAACGTCGTCCAAATCCATACTAAACAAGAGCTGGAATCCCCAAATCAGTCAACCTCAGCACTAACCCTTGGCCTCCTCACCTCCCTCGGCGGCACAATCGGGTACCTGCGCACGGGCTCCGTCCCCTCCATCGTGGCCGGCCTCGCCGTCGGCGCCCTCTACCTGCTCAGCTATGTGCGGCTGCGCGCGGCGCAGCCCTACGGACCGGAACTGGCGCTGCTGGCCTCGCTGGTGCTGTCGGGCAGCTCGATCCCGCGCGCCATCCGGTCGGGCGGGTCGAAGCCTGTTCCCGTGGTATTGAGTTTGGTGGCGGTTTATGGCTTGGTGGTTTTTGGAGGATTGGTTTGGGGGAAGTGATAATCATCCATCCCTCCCTTCGGAGGGGGCGCGGGATTTGGGGGTGCTGTGTGGGGTAACTACTGTAGGATGGGTATAGGCGGTCTGCAAATTGAATCTGAATCTTTTACTAGCTGGTTGTTTATGAATGAGAATACTGTGTGTTGTGACCTTTCTTCTTTTCGGGAGTGTTGGATTCTGTTGGTATGCGTCTTCTACATGAGGGAGGGAGGGAAGGAGCGTCGGTGTGGTAGATTGAGCTTAGTAATTGGGTTGGAGACTATAGTAAGTTACAGTATCTGTAAGAGGGAATAAATAGTGTTTCCCTCTGAGTGTACCCCGTGAGACAGCAGCATCAACATAGTATCAATCATTCAATATTTATCGAGTTAAGTGGCCTACCTTCTAGACGAACTTACATATTCATAAAACCCCCTCTCCCGAAACTTCCACACCAACTCCATTGGCCCGGCAACAATCGAAGATATCCCTGGAATGGTTCGTTCTCGAAGAAGAAAAGAAGAAACGCAGCAGAAAGGTTCTTCACTCACCAACTTCTCTTTTCCTCGGTGGTGCATCGGTGCACCCAAGAAGCCGGGGCCTGCCTACCACTGCCACCAGGTCAAGTAGTAGCTAGCAACAAGACACGATCAAAGGCCATTGATTCATGTGACGTGGTGAGAGCAAGAGAACTTAGCTGTTGTGTATTGCGTCTTCATTTTTCATCTTTTTTTTTGTTTTGTTTTTGCAATGCTTCTGCTGTGCTTCTTTTCTTCTTCGATGGCTCGTTCAACCGTAGGCATCTGCGCAACCTAATCCGTCGCATCCACCACCGTATCCGATTCCCGGATCGCTCCCACCACTACCGCGGATGGAAGCTCTTCAAGTACCGTCTCCCCTCGCTGGTCAGGAACATATGCGTACCTTGACAACCTTGCCATCTTCTCCTCCGGACTGGTCTCGTTGTCCGAGTACACCAGTCGCGCCTTGGACTTATCCTTCTTGGGCTTCTGCTCCGCGCTTTCGACGGGCTTGCCCGCGGTTGTGGTCGTCGTGGGAGGGGTCGCCGCCGCCGCTTCCACCTGTTTCGCTGCCCCGGAAATCAGATCGTCCACAGAGCCAGAAAACCCGGCGCCTTCCGCCGCTCCTGGAGCCTTGTCGGCCCCGTTCATGGTCGTACTCGGAGGAATCGTGTGGCCCATGTGCATCTGTTGCATCTGGTATGCGTTGACCTGCGGTGCCCCGACCGCTGGACGCTGAGGAAGACCAGGCGCGGCAGGTAAGCCGACAGAACGAGGCGGGAATGCGCCTCCGGGCTGAGGCGGAGTGTGTGTTTGCGGTGGAGGCTGTTGCGTCGGGTATGGCGAGGGAGCACCACCGTACGGCGGTTGGCCAGGGACTGCAGTCGGGTACGGCTGCGGGGAAAAGGCTGTAGCGGGGGAATACTGCGCAGTGGCCTGGCCGCCAGGCGAGAAGGTCGGATACACGGGGCTGGCCGTTTGTTGAGGGGATTGCTGGAAGGGAGAAGCGGTGGCGGCGGGGGCGCCGTAGGGCTGAGGGTATGAGAATTGGGAGGTAGTGGTCGCAGGCGCTGGTGCAGTGGAGGTTGCAGCCTGTCCAGAAACACCCAAGACATCAGCATAAGCCCCCAGATTATCTCGGCGAAAGAGAGGAAGAGACAACTTACATATCCACCCATCGTCGGCGTCTGCCCGGCTCCCACAGGCGTGGCCTCGCCACTGCTGCCGCCCGCACGAGCCTCGGCCATCTTTGCCTTATGTTCCGCCAGCCGTTTTTTGAGATCCGACACGCTCTCCAGCTTAGGCTTCTTCGCCGGTTGTCCGCCCGCGGCTGTCGTCCCGGGAGGCGGATTGCCTGTCACGGCCTGCCGCTCGGCCTCCGCCTGCTGAAATTGCGTCGCGACCCGCTGGTTGTGCGCCTGGATCACATCCTCGGGGACACCCTCCATTCCGAAGATCTCGACATCGAGACCAGATCGATTCGGCAGAGCATTGTCGACCGCCGTAAGCTGTTCCTTGTGTACCTGACTCATATGCACGGACAAGCCTGGAGAACGAAATAACGGTCAGAATGACTTTTCCAACTTTGATTCGTAAAGCAAGCAGAACTCACCACCCGCAGTGTTGAGCCTACGCCCGCATCGCTCGCACTTGAAGTGTTTGGCTTTCTGATGTGAGATAAGAATCTTGAGGTCGTCGAAGTCGCGCTCGCAGTAGTAGCACCACGGGCGAGCTAGTACTTCTTCTAACGTGGGTCCGCGTCTTTTCTTGCCCATTGTGTGATTTGCGAAGCTGGTAGCTTCAAGAAGAGGGGGACGAGAGAAAGGGTGGTGGAGTAGTCTGAGATGAAGTGGTTCTGAGCGCAAGTGAATCGCCGCTGATGGAGATTGAGGTTGAGTGATCGGTGTCACGTGCTACACATGGATGCGTCAATGGTCACATGATACGACATCATAGCTTTTGAACATCAAGCTGTAAGTAAACTACGGGTATAAGCATCAGGGTGTGTGATTTTTGTCTTTTGCTTCATTTCTCAACGCTGTAGAGACTAATGTGTTACGTCAAGCTGGAATCATGCATCCTGCCAGATAAAAGAAACCCTGCACAAGCTCCATCACCGAGCAGCATGTGAAAGTATCTCCTGGGAAGAATAAGTCTCGTTCGAAATGAAAGTGTTCAATGATCATTATATTACATCTACTAATACTTTTCAAGTTCCAACCATCAGCTTCCTTCCGACAATGTACATCTCCCCAGAGCCTTGGGAGCTTCACTGATATCACAACAGACCTGGTGATGCAACGCGGATTCTCACAATAATACAATAGAATAAAGCCCCGGCGCCAATCGCTTGCAAGACACGAGAAAGGAACAAAACAGACAACAAGCACAGTAGACCTAAGAATCTCCTGTCTCTTTCACAAGGATGGTGGTACATATGCACAAAAAAACACGGTAATGTACACGGTGCCTCCAAAATTATCCTGGGGTTTGTGCGGTAGAGTTCAAGATGACAGGTCGATGCTCTTAAGCAGGCCGCGGATGGGCTGGGTGTGGTAGCTGAGGTGGACCGTATGGACTACTGTAGAACTCGGGATAAGGAGTGCGGTAAGGTTGAGGCGCCGGCTGCTGAAATAGAGTGTGAGGTCCAGGGAAAGGGACTCCCCGGGTATCAATGGGTGGATAAGGATTCAGAGAAGGTCGCGGCGCAGGCAGCGGCGCCAACTGAGGATGGGGCGGATGACCAGGAGCCAAAGTAGGGGGTGCAGCAGGCTGGATCGGAGCTGGAGCTGGTGCGATTCCCTGCTCGATCCTGGGCCCTCCATAGCCCGGACTGTCCATTTTCTTCTTGCGTGGCCCAGCTTTGGGCGGTTCGGAAGCCTTTCGAGCAGCTTCCGCTGCGCGGTCCGCCTCAATCTGAGCTTTGGAGCGTTTGGGATTGCGAACCCGCCCCTCTTTGTTAAACCGGGCCCAGTGGTTGAGCATGGCTTCTGTCCGTTTCGGGTTCTTTGAGTTGGCGATCTTCTGTCGTCGAGCAAGCTCGGCAGGATCGATAGAATCCTCTGGGGTGCCTCCCATTGATGTGCCTGCTGGAGGTGCAGCGGGCTGATTAGCACTCGGCGCTGGCTCAATGGGCGCCAATTGAACGGTTCCAGGTCGGACCTGCATAATCGCGGCGGTAGGTTTCTCGATGCGAATTGTCGACGAACGGGGAGGGGCCACTGGCGCTGGCGCTTGGGACGACTCGGATGAGCCATTGATCCCCATTGTTCGAATGCCGCCACGCCCCCGCCCACGACCGCTACCACGACCGCGCGTGGCAAACCGAATTGGCGGAGCGGAGGCGGAATCGGATTGATCCTCGACATCTGTACCTTGGCGGCGGGCGCGGGTGCGTCGTTGACGTGGATAGTCTTCTGTTTCCGCCGGGGCGGGTGAATCTGTAGCAGCCTCGTCTGAGACTGACGACGCCTTCTCTCTATTGGCTGCCTCTAATTCCGCAGCCTTACGCTTGCGCGTAGCCTTACCAACAAAGTCCTCCCGAGGCGGATTCTGGAATTTGGGCACGTGCTCCACTCCGAACTTCATGATAGTAGGCCAGCCATCTGGGTTGGGGTGGTTGAGCCCGAGCTTGGCTGTCATTTTGCGGTACTGGGCTGGGGTCGGTTTGAAGCCGCCTTGGGTGAACGGATTTTGCCAACCGACCTTATCTTCCTTCGGCTCATACTTGTATCCGTAAAGCATAGACTCTTTCTTGTCTTCAAAGACTTGCGGCCTCAGCAGTTTCCTAGGGTCGCTGGTGGGCTTAGCGTTGTGTCGGGTCGCGTGCTTGTTCAACTTTTCGATAGCTAGATACTCATCTTGCCATGCCTTGAGCGCAAAAGCGACATTTTCAGTAATAGCATAGAGCTCCTCGTATGAACGGTGTTCGGGGTCTCGAAGCTGACTTAGAAAATCCTCAAGGGGTGTGATCTCGAGGAATTCTCCTGGAGCGACCTTAGATACCTTGTACGGTTCTGGTCGGTCTCGCAGTTCCTCATGTGCTTCGCGCTTCTTGGGACGCTTCGACTCCTTGACCAATGTGGACCATGACTGTTCAAGATTGGCAGTTTTCTCATCATGATCAGTGCAGAACTTGTGAATGTCATGGACGTTCCAGAGGTTGTGGAGACGTTGATCCAAAGTCACGGGATCCTGAGCGCGCGAAAATTCATGTAACTGACTCGACAAGCCATCGATTTCAGGAGCGTCAGCTTCTGGCTCTTCGCCATCAGCATCTTCTGGGAGTTTGTAGGTCTCATCGTCAACTTCGGTCGAATCGGCCACGCCGTTTTCTAGAGCGTTGTTGACATGGTTGTCGTCGTCATCCTCAGCTTCCTGAAGATCACTTGCGTCAACCTCTGCATGCTCGTCCACGCTTTCGTCGTCCCCTTGCTCTTCGTCGTCTAACTGTGACTGATCATCATCGCCGCCGCCTGAAGCCAGACGATGCATCTTAGGTGCAGTGAGGTATGGATGCGCAGTAGCAATATGGTCTTTCATAACATTATTCTGAGAATCAGAACCTTTGTTGTACTCAATAAGCTTTCCGCACAGCGTGCATTTAGTCCATTGAGTCACAGGAGAAGGGGATGGGGAAGCCTGGGTTGAGGTAGAATGAGCATTGAGTGGCTCGGAGAATTGTCGGCGCAGAGGGGAGTCCTGGCTGGCCATGTCCGAAGTATGGCTGTCCACTTCCAAGTCGCTTTGAGCGACAGAAGCCATTGCGACGCCAGAAGAGAAGATCAGGAGGAGTGGTCTGAAATCAACTCAGATAGGAAAGGTTTATTCCGACGAAGGGAATATCTGAATCACCCTTCTAGATGCCCAAAGTCGGGGTCTAAAGTCGCGTCAGTGAAGAAAACTTGGGGGACGAAAAAGTTCGCTTGTGGTGCCAAGCCGCCATAAGTAACTGCAGCGCAAGCTTCTACACCAGATGTCCCGAGGAGGGAGGGAAGAGACAGACGAGACCCCAGAACACAATCGCAGCTAAAGCAGCAGTAACATGGGTGAAAACATTGGGCAGCTCTCTAGCGATCCATAGTAGATCAAACGTTGACAGAAACGTGGCAGGCAGATTGTTGTAGGCACAAGGAGGCAAAAGTAAGGCTCGGGCAGGTGATATGTAACATACCTTGAACGCTGAAACAGAGCCAGTCTGTGTTGCAAAGCGAGAGATCGACAGTAAGGATAGGAAAAGAGGGCAGCCCGTTCTTGAGAACGAGATATGAGCCAGGAGAACCACGATTTGTTGCTTACAGAGGAGAGTAGAGGGTGGGTTTGGTCGCGAATGGTAGACAGGGATAGTAGGTAGAGGTGTACTTCTGGAAATGGAAAGGTAGAGTTTGAGCGGGTAAGCAGGGGAAAAAAACGATGGCCGCAGCCACGGGCCAAACAGAGATCGCAGTGGGGGGAGGAATAAAGCCTCAAGACCAAGGCTGGCTTGTGTATGAAGGGGAATTGTTATGGAAAGTAGATAGATAGCAAGCAGAGCTTGTTGAGGGTGACGCGAGTGGAGAGCGACTAGTAAGTAGTCAGGTGTGTGGACACCAGTGGTAAGTGTAAGTGGTAACAGTGGGAAGTATGAAGTCTGCCGGAACAGAAGTAGGCAGATGGGCGAAAGGAAGAAGGGAGAATGAAAGTGGAAAAGGGAAGGGAGCCAGCGGTAACCCAAACGTGTGTAGAAGTGGGGAAGACTTTTCAATACAGGATCTGAGGTCCAAAGCAAATAGGAGGAGAGTAGTTGGAGAGAGGATTGTGGGATGTGTGGTAAGTAGTAGTCGAGGATGAATGCTTTGGGGGAAGAGGGAAAAGAAAAAGCGACTAACTAGAGTTTGTAGTCTACTACTTACTACTACAGCCAGCAAGTCGCCTTCACACTCACACTCAAGTATCCGTAGTTCGAGAACACACACACACACACACACACACACAAGCAACAGTGTAAGTTACTAGTAGTTTACTTTAACTAAGGTAAGTACGGAGTAAACTAAACTAACTTCGTACCTCTCCGTGACCGTACCTTACACTTATTACCCTTTCCCTACCAGCTTTGACCCACTTTATCAACGAATCTATAACTCTGGATGTTCCGGAAGAAAGCCATGTTCCGGTCCGATCCCTCACGCAGCCGTTCTATTAGCCTACGAAACCAATAACAGTCATTGTAGCTGTCTACTCCCCGGTGGTTACCGGACGGTATTTGGTATTTGCCTCCATAAAACAGATGGTTTATGGCAGGCAGGACTACTTGTGTACCGCGTCTTTAACCATGTTTTCCATTCTCCTCATCCTCATCTTATGGTCCCACTAGTCTAGAAAGGTGGAGTAATGGTCGAACAGTAACTAATTGCACTGGCTTGAGATATCTTTCCAGGCTGTAGTGAACGAATTCCTTGAGGACTGTACGGCTTCAACTGCGCCCAAGAAGCACAAGCTCAGCGTCTTCCGCGCTATCGTCGGAGTTGATGCTTGGTAAGTCAGTATCGTCACCCGATGTACGTGACATCATCTTGGGTAGTCAAGAATGAGAAGACTAACAACCAGACCAAGTCGTAGTAGTTTTGAGGGGAATCAACCCTCACACCCATGTCGACAATGGCCTGATTGACGGCGAAAAATCTTATGGTTTGTGCCGACTGGCCCCTTGGCCTGTGGAATGTCCCGGAATGAACCCATGGTGAGCGCACTTTTTATACTCCCTCCACCGAAGGAAAATGATGTCCGAGTGATGAACCCCTTGTAGCTCTGTGGAGCCGGGTTCCTCGCGGTCATCCTTCGCTAATCGACTATATCCAGATTGTATGTCATCATAAACAAACCCTCGAACAACAGCTGCAAATATTTGGTTAGGAGAAACAACCTTTCACCTATGATTGACTCAAAAGGACTAGCTTTTAACTCTCTGAATATGCACAAACACTGTGTTTCAACCTAAATTCAAATATGCCAGCATTTACCATGATTTCTCTCTCCCACATCCAGAGCAACCAAGAACCGACTAACACAATTGTACGCAGCTACCGTCGCCGTAATCTCCACCACCTGCTTATCATCAAAATGATCCTTGACCTCCTGAAAGACTGCATCCGGCACCCTGACCGTCTTGGTCATAGCGTCCGTGTACTTCAGCACTGCGCTCTCGGCCTGACTTAGCACCCTTTCCTGCACTTCGGGACAGATCTCGGGGTGTCGAATGGCCTCCATGGCTTCCTCACTGAAACCTCCTGCACGGAGCAGAGGAGCATGCTGCTCCCATTCGAATAATGCATCATTGAGTACAGCCACGCGACACATGATCATCTCGCGGATAATGGTCGAGAGACTCGTTCTCGTGCGGATGACGCCCATGAAGGAGTTCCAGCCATCCGTGATGGGAAATGAGTGCATCAGTGCTAGATCTAAAGGTAGCAAAGTCCCTGGGGCACGCCGGTCTTGTGTTTGTGCTAGGATCTCGGCTTCCTCGGTATCGCGCACATCTGGCGGATTGGCAACGTATGGAAGGCGCATGATGGATCCTCAGAATGTATGAGGTCACAAGCCGAAGTATATTCTATATTCGTTGTCAATAGCTGGAGTGGTGCTGTCTATCCATTGTAGTGGGCTTTTACCTGGATTTGAAGACCAAGGATCGGTAGTTGGACCTGAACCTGCAATGACCTGGCGCTTAAAGGCCTGGTTGATCAACGTATTAGCAAAAAAAAAATCCTAGATCTAACATACTCAGGCCAGGGTCAGCATTGATCCCTCTTATACTACGAGCCCCCTGCTACTGTCGATCTTCTCTTGTTCGCCTGTAGATATTGGGAGGATCCGCTGTGGAACGACGCTCACGGGGGAAGATTGTGGACATTTTGCACTCTGCAATGATCGACGGGGTTTAACTACTATTGTGTCCCGGTAAAGAGACGGCTGATATTGTATCTGACTCCGATACAATTTTGAGAACTCTAATTTTCTTGACGTGGTCGACTTGCGTATAGGATCAACTAGGGTCTTCGCCACTCTAGTCTCATCTATGCGAATATGATCCAGCTGCCTGTCAACTGGATTACAAGGATTAAGCAGCATGTGAAAGACATAGAGGGTCGTGTGGCAAGACATGGGCCATTCTGAAAACAAGGAATGCTGCAATCCAGATGTTACGAGATATAGATCAGATTCGGTGGATCATTGATTGTGAAGTCGGCGAATCAACACCGGGTCACGTCCGTCATCTGTAAGGAGGTCGGTGGCTACGGTAGAGTATGATCTGACCGTGCAAGCAAGCGGACTAACCATCCGCGCAATCTCGTAGTGAGATCATATCAAATGTCAGCAAAGTCTTTTGTTTCATCACATATACTCTTTGTGGACAAGGAGGCTGTGAGGGAGCGCCTCCAAATTCGGTCCAATGTTTTACACCATGCGCTCTGTCAGCGATGTTCAGATTTTGATAGACATATTGTTGAGGGAATAGGCAACACGGAATAGAAAACAATGCTGGCGGTCTGAGTTTTGTGGACAAGATTCTAACCATATCTTAGTGGGATCGATCGATCTACAAGCGGTGAGAGGAGTGGGTTTCGATCATGGCTAAAATGAAAACATTTCCGTGCAGCGTTTGGCGTGACGAAGATCAGCTTGAGCACTGATTCCGATAACTTGAACTCTTTTTAAGACGGAGCCCCATAAACTTTGACTACCCGTGAGGTGTATCTACAAAAAAATTCTCTCTTGTGTTACTAGTAGTGAGTACTCTTAGAATTGTCTCCATCCGTATTGTCTCGGCCTTCAAGGGGAACAAACAAACAAAACATGAGAAGGATAACAACGATATACTCAAAGTGTTCTACTGTACATACACTGACATGAGTACGACATCGTCTCGAGCAACTGTGGCTCAGAAGCAGCTCCTATGACAGCTCTTATCATAGCTAGATACTTGTTACTTGAACTCGAGCAATCACAATGTTATTCATGCTTATTATCAACTAGGTACTACGGTGGGTTTATACAAGCCTTCATCGACCAGGCGGAAAGCGGCCACGCACCTCTGGCCTCTTGGCACAGGTCATCCTGTCTCCACACCGCCCAAAACAACCCAGAGTACGGCCCCAGAGCTTCGCTCCGCTCTTGGTCGATTCCTCTGTCCGTTGTTTCCCCTCATCGCATAGATAACATCAAAAGTGATCTTAGAACACATCCGAATCCGAACGTCACCATGCGTCCCAAGTCCTCGAAGCCCACCAACGATGAGCTTCTAGCTCAGTTCGACGACTTGACCGTGGAGTCAGCCGTTGATCAAGAATCCTCCAAAACTACCTCCAAACCCACCACCACTGCGACACAGTCGGAACAGGACATTTTCGCCGAGCTAGACAGCCTAACTGCTCAGCGCCCCAGTAGCGGCCCTGGTACTCCACGTGTATCGACAAACGAACCCCGTCCAATTATTAAATCACCCAAGCCCGCTACGGTGGCTGCGACGCCCGCGGCCGGTCGGACCAGCGAGGAGAAGCCCGCCCCGTGGAGGTCAGGTGATAGTGTGCGCGCGACGGTCCCGGAACAGAAGAGCGTCAATGTCCCCCAACCCGAGCCAGAGCAACCAGCCGCAAAGGAGGCGACTACCTCGAGCGGCGGTGGCGGCGGTGGCTGGTGGGGTGGTCTCTTCGCAACTGCTTCGGCTGCCATGAAGCAGGCCGAGGCCGCTGTGAAGGAGATCCAGCAGAACGAGGAAGCGCAGAAATGGGCACAGCAGGTGAAGGGAAATGTTGGTGCACTGAGGGACTTGGGTAAGTTCTTCTCGAGGCCCTATCTCAGGAAGGGGCGCGTGTTAAATTATGATTCTTAGGCGGCGAGCTTCGCAACATGGCTATCCCGACGTTCACCTCCCTAATTCACACCATCGCTCCTCCGATTTCCTCCCATGAACGTCTTCAGATCCATATTACTCATGACCTCTCTGGGTACCCGAGCATTGACCCTCTGGTCTATGCAGTCTTCTCGCGCGTGATGGCTCAGGTGGAGGGCGGCGATCTTCTCGTCATCCAGCGCGGGCACGAGTCAGCTCCTAAGCGCGGGCTCGACATCGGTGGAAAGCAATTCTCAGGACCAGGATGGCACGACGGGCCCTGGTGGCGGACGGTCACTCCCGGTCACCCTCGTACGCTCTCGGCCATCCGTGGCTCCGTGGAAGCTACCAAGCTCGCCCGCGCCAGCGCCGAAGCCTATGCCACCGAATTCTTCGCCTCTCGAGGTGGAGTAGAGGAAGCCGCCAGGCAAGCTACTCAAGACCTCAGTGAGAGCAATCCCGTTCGCAGTAGCGACATCTTCTTAGCCATTCAAGCTATCAGCCAGACCACCGCGGCGGAGCTCTTCCAGGCGGGCCCTACGACTGAGAAAGCTAACCCACCAGGAGTTGTTGAGGCTCCGACGGAGACCGAGGAGGAGGTGGTCTTTGCCCTTTATCTCCATGACCCTATCCACGGCATTGCCTTCCACACACTGTCTCAGGCCGTGCCTCAGAAGTGGATCAACTGGCTTGAGTCCTCGGCGGCTCCGGTCGAGGACCCTAACAGTGAAGATGCCCACCTCCCTCAGACAATCGTGCCTGATGAGATCGCGGAGATCATCGAGAACGGCGGCGTGGACCCCCGCGAATGGGCCGCGGAGTGGATCGAAGAGTCCCTTTCCTTGGCCGTTGGGGTCGTCGCGCAACGTTACGTCGCGCGACGTATGGGTGTCGGCGAGCGGGCGACGGCCAAGGGTAAGATGCGTGCTGAGCAGGCCTCAGTGGTTGAAAGCGGAGCAGGTGAGGTTGCGCGGGCGCTATAACTATGAGGCTCCATGGGATTGGTATGGTACAAATCCTGTTCTCTTTTTCTCCTCTTGTCTGCTTCGGTTTTTCAGAGCTTCCGATGATCAAATGATACTCCTTCATACTTCGTTACTGGTTCATGTTGTTCTTCCTTGCCCTGAGCCCATGGCATTGTCATCTCCTCATTACTTTGGCGCCGTAGCCGGCGTGTTTAATTCATTCCCTTCTACTACTGCGTTCCCATCGATTTAGCGCAACCCGCATACTCAAGCGGGAAATAATCCAGAAATCTGCATAGCCTTTGTTATGTTCGATTCATACGAATTCTCTCAATCCTTCTTCCTTCTAATTACATCCAAACCAGATATCATCAAAGTCATCGAATATCTTGAATGTCCAAGCATAATATGCAGCGAAGAACCAAAAGGAACCGTTGCGGGTATCTAATGTCGCAAAATCATAAGAGGGACGTGAATCATTTGCGTCCGCGTCCATGCATATAAGTATGTTGTCGTATTTTCTTCTTGTTGTTCCATCACCGTTGACCAATCCCCTGGAAGTCGTGCAAGAGATTTTCCTCGGTCGTGACTTTGGGCCACATCACACATCATTCAGCTCCAAAGGCCCCTCCAAGCCAGGGACATGCCAGAAATTCGCACGGAGGGCAGTGACACTAGACGAAGAGAAGAACCCAAGTTAGCTAGCCATCCAAGTGATGCGACACGATAGAGAGAGAGAGAGAGAGAGAGCGGCTTTGCAGCGCGCTTCCCTCCCACCAATCTCTTCTTTGTTGATAACAAAAAAGTTAGGTATACCTGGTACTCCCGTTCAACACGGTATGCGCATCCGTCCCTTCCTCACTGGCCTGCAGCGCTTTCTTCATGTCCAATAGCTGCGCACCCCATTTGAAGTCCCGTTGTCTGAGCGTTGTAGCGGGCTTGTGCTGTGCCTCGGAATCACCATTGACTTGCTCTTGTTGTTGTTGCGCATCGGCCTCGGCGTAGAGATACCCCTTAGCCCAGTAGTAGGGCAGGGTGCGCGTCCACAGCACGGGCCGGGACTCGACATCCTCGCGCATGGGGACGTTGATGTTGTAGAGCTCGACGCGCTCGTCCCAATTCCCGATCAAGTGGTTGACGACGCGCACGGCGAGGCGCGCGGCGGTGGCGATGACGGCGGCGGGCTGCTCCTCCTTGCTGCCGAAAGAGATAGCGATGCCGCGCTTGCCGCAGGTGGCGGCCTCGAGGGCGCCGCCCACGGTGCCGGACGAGAGGTTATAGATGGTGGAGGCGTTGCGGCCGTGGTTGGGGCCGGAAATGACGAGGTCAATGGCGGGGCGGTCGGGGAAGAGGTTGAAGAGGCCGAGCTGCACGCAGCTGGCCGGCGTGCCGTTGTTTATTACCACCCATTCGTCGTTGTTGTCGGTGTTGTCGGTGGCAGAGGTGTAGGTCTCGTTCCAGGTGCCGTCGTTATGGAACGCTTGCGGCGGGACGTAGGTGGCTTTCAGCGGCGCTTCGATGATATGTGCCTTGCCGATCCAGGAGCGGGAAGCGGCTGGGATGGCGACGGAGACGAGGTGGCCTGCGGCTTGCAGAGCGGATACTAGCGGTTGGATGTATGGAGACAGGCGGTGGGAAGGAGGTCCGTCGTCGTTCACGACCTGTAAAAGGATCATATGGTTTTAGTAGAGTCCAAGGCGCAATTGGTGTGGTGAACATGTTATAACATGGTTCATTCGGTCGGACAGAATATGAGAAGCTGGAAGCATACCAGGATATGCATGTTGGGCAGACTGTGCGTGTACTTCGATGATAGGATAGACAGTAGGGTATGGTATGGTATAGACGGTACTCTCGTACTATACTAAAGTATAGAGACAGCTTTTGACAAGAAGGCCGACAGGTTCAGGCTAGACTCGCTTTGGGTCGGATAGGTTCGATGAAAGGGGTTTAGTGTGAATAGTAGGCGGAACTTGCGACTCGTATGTAAGATTTCTCCCAAACTCCGATTCGGCTGCGATTCCGCTTTGCGACCTTCTTTTTTTAAATTCTATGTCTTCCCCAGACAAAAACAAAAAAAAAAGGCATCCTGGCTTTTATAGGGCCGATCCAAGACTGGGCAATCTCTGAGCCCGGGAACCCAATCCGTTCTTTTTCCCTTCCAGACCCCATTTTACCCCGACCGGCGAAGAGAAACCGGGGAGAATTGCAATCGCATCTCGAATCTGGTCGCGGTGAAGCGCTTGACGCTGCGGGGGGCCTCGGTGAGGAATGGGCTGGTCTCAGGACAATGGGTATCGTGGTTATGTTATGACGAGTCCATAACAGCGCATTCTTGCAGGGAGCGGGTCAGGTCGAGGGGGCATATTACCGTCCGAAACAGAACATTACCAACGGGAAGCCGAGGGCCCCGCCGAAAAGAGTCTGCGGTGAAGCTGGCAACACCTTCTGGCATTCGCATCGTGGGGAAAAGCATTCCGATCAGCCACGAATCGTTCGATTTCTAATGGTAAGAAGAATGAGAACCTGGCAGAGAGTCACGGCAGTGACTGTGTGCCGCCGGCTGAGGAAGCGTCAAGCCGGCTCTCCTAGGGGGAAGATAGGACCGGGTGAAGTCCCGGTGGCAGAATGAATAACCCCAGGATGGCCCTATAAGTACATGCAGGGGTCCTTCCATGCCCATGGTGTGATTATGTCCATGTGCCCAGATGCTTCATCCCCTATCAAACAACACGCCTCAATGTGTCATTGTCCTCAGGTCGGAAGGCAAGGACCTTGGGAGCAAATCTCCACGGTCAACTGGTACTAAGAAGATGAGAGAAACACCTTCGACTCGGACATCGTAGTTGAGGTGCATGTCTGGGCAGCAAGCACCTCCGAGCAAGAGCAGCATTGACCATACTGATTAACGGGCAACACCTACAGGCAACCCAACTATGGTCAGAATCTTGCCTGCGTCAGTGAACCATGTTTTGAAAAACATGACGATATGTCATGGGTGACCGACGCCGTGACCAAGCTGTGTGTGGTGTCGATGACTAAGATCTAGACACATCATGCCCTCGTCTACGGCCCAACCGGTCAGTCTTATCAATGAAAATCTCTTCATGATGACGGACGGTCAATGGTAGACCCTGATGGGGCCACGATGAATTTTACGGTTGCACAACAGGAGCGACAGGAGGGGCTTCTAGAACCGCGTTCAGGCCGAACCTGCTTTTCTGATTGCTCGAGCCGGATTGTCTTTAGTAGAAACGCCGTCCGTTCCTTGCGGCGGGGTTGAGATGGAGCCAACAAGCCTCAAAATGTGTGGTTCCAACCCATGCGTCTTCTTCACTGCTCTGGCGCCTTCGATTCAAGTCTTGAGTTCTTTTAGGTAGAACCTTCAGGCGAGTCGCGACTAGCCGCTCATCGCTCATCACGCCGCACGGAGGACATCAGCCCGTGCCGAATTTCCCTTGCCTTTACATTCTCTCGCGTAATCCCCATCTGTCATGTCAGCACGGAGTTCTCGGAGGCACTAACTATCAGGTTGTATATCACATCACTAGGCACTTCGGCACTGATGATTTCTTTTACCCCTCTCGTTAATCTGAATTGCCGGGATTAGTGGTTGGTGATTAGAAGGTGAGATGCGTGAATTATGAGTGATGCTTTATCCTCAAGGTTTGCAGGGCAATACAATGATAATAGCCAACCCTAAAAAAGGATCGATTCTGGTGGTGTAGAGGTTTCAGACACGGTTCAAATGATTTGGCTGATCCACGGCAGCAGCAGAACCCCTCCTGCCAAGAAGCCATCCATGCGCAACATCATACAATACTACAACCCATTGTGTATGAGGCTACCGAGTCTATGACTTATGGTAGTATAATTATACTTCATACTCATAGATACTATCAACAAGCTGATTACATGCATATCGACTTGTCGGATCACCACCATTTAACTACTGGTCAGACCCCAAGAATAGCTGAGCTGCCAAGATTCAAAGTCGACCACCAGCAGGAAACCTGCAAGCTGACTGGTCTGTGCGAAAGGAAGATTTGTAGTAGCGACAAGACCTCGGCGTATGTGTATCGTGTACAGTATTATGATTGTATAGTGAGGCCGATCCGCCGCAGCAAAAATCTTTGGTGGGGAAATAATTATTATTGTTCAAACTCACTCACTCCGACCCAAACCAAACCAACCCAGACGGAGTCAGCCACGATCTTCTGTTTGGTTTTCTTGCTTGCGCCATCAGACTATCCTCTTCTTCTCCTTTCTCCTTCTCCTTTCTCCTACTCCTCTTCCTTCTCTTCTACTCTCATAACCTCCTCCTCATCATCATCATCCGTCAGCATCACCACCTTCGACTTCCTCCCGCACTCTTCCTCGACCGCCCCCTCGTCCTCCGCTATCGCAATTGCCCAAGCCCACCCGCCTCGAACGAGTGTGTGCTTTTTCCCGCGCGACCCTCCGCTGGTTCCCAACAAACTGGGAACGCGCTAGAGTTCTGGCCAGCTCGTCGAGGTCTTCTTAATCCACCCCTCGCAGACCCTGTATGGACTGCGGGAGTACTGGCACCGCTGCGGGCATCGACCCCAAAATCCTCGATAATTGGCAAACTGACAACTTTCCCTCTTCCGCTTACGAGCATCCGGGCTACGAACAACCGCTGGAGTGGGATACAAGCCAAGATTCCAGCCAGGGCGATGCCGACATCGTCGAGATAAATGGCCTTCATGGCTCTCTCGCACGGGATCAGCCCAGTGTCTCTATGGTCGCACAGCCCGATGATTATCAAGGGAGTGATTACAGGTGCGGCTATCTCAGCTTTCCCCTCTTTGAACCCCCTCGGGCTAATGCGCAACCCCCCGCCTTCCCCCTTGCAGTAAACAACCAGGCACCTCCACCCCCGACAAGTTTAGCATAGTTGACGGCACAATCTCTGGCACAGTCAGTGCCACCATCAGTCCTAGAACTCTGCCTTCCTCCGCCGACGATAACTTCCATCTGGATGAGTCATGGCCCCAGTTTCAATTGTTCAACACAATCTCGGTTGGCATCCCTAGGGAAGCCGGGCTTCTCTATCCATACATCAAGGAACCCGTTGCCTCCACCAACACAGTCATTGTCGAAGATTCCGGAGACCTTCCGCAAGGACAAGGATTTCCAGATGTGCCTTCCGATCAATTCGTGCAGTTTCAGGCACTGCCGCGAGCGTTCGCCTTCCCTTCCGCGGATTCTTGGCCCGAAGCGCCTGCCGCTTGTACTGACGATATCACCCACCAAACTCCAATGTCGCTTGCTATTGGCCCGCAGTCAGCGACCAAGGGCGTTCCCATGCGCAGCTACCACGCACATGTGCGGTCTCTGGATTCACGTTGGCTAGACAGCTTGGAAGCTCAGTTACCAAGCAATATGACCTCCCCTACGTCGATGTCGATACCGCAGGAGGCTCCCTACTTCAAAGAAGAGCCAAAACAGGACGGCTTTCAGTACAAGTCGGCGAGTTCATCGGTGTCGGGAGATTTCTCCACTATGTACGACCCTTACTCAGCCACGACTGACGGCATTCCCGCTTTTGACGACCGAGCGCTGGACGACGAATGGAAGGATACCCAAAGCGATGATCCGCCATCCGATACAGCGCAACCTCTGCAAAATGCCACTGCTTTCATGGTCAGCGAGAACCCAGCCGATTCCTATTACGTTCCAGTTGATTCTCGACCGCGAGCCCCGTCCGCCCCCCAGCGAGCGCCTGCACGGCCCCAGGCTCTAGCTATGCAGTCCGTAGCGACTGTCCGAAAGCGCAAGCAGCGCAATCTAAGTGTGAACCTTGATCAGGCACAACCTAAACCACTGCAGATTGTGCAGGAGGATGGCCAGGGTGGTTCCATTGCCTCCGCTGATTTTATCTCTCCGCCTCGTGGAGCGCGCCGCAAGGGGCCTCTGTCCATGGTTGGACGGGCGAATGCTGGACTGCGAAGGAAGAACAAGGACACGTGTGTCCAGTGTCGCCTGAACAAGCGCAAGGTTCGCATTTTCCAAGTGAAACACCCTCTTAGGGTGAAATAGCTAACTCTTAAGCAGTGTGATGGGAATGCTCCGTGTGATGCATGTCGCCCTACGCTGCATGAACAGCCTTGCGCTCGCGCCTGCTTTGCCAACATCGTTGAATATGGGGTTTGCAATTATATATGTGAGTTTTGAGTTTCGCGTTGCTCGTTTGTGCAAATGTGGCTGACCTCAGCAGCTCAACGAGCGGTCAACCACCCAACCCTGGATGGAACAAGGAGAGTGCGAATGGAAATCCCTTCGGAATTTGATCTCAATGATCTGATCTCATTCCTCGGTGAGCGCCAAGGCCGGTTCAATATACGTGCCAGCCAGTCCTGGGGATCTCTCTACACGCTGGATCTGGCGGAAACCTACCGGTTCTTGCGTGGCTTAAGCGAGTATAATGGCAACTCCAAGTCGACCTTCCTCGAATTCGTTGACCGACGACTTGTCGAGTCGAAAGACAAATCTAAGAACTGGCTTACTTGCGTGAAAGACTGCGACCCAATGAACAATACCTACGTAAGTTCTTTCTGCTAAGATCCGGAACAGCAAGTCACTGACTTACCTGCTAGACTCTCCTCTCTAAATGGAACAATATGCCTAGCCGTGCGAGCTACAGCATTGTCCCTCTTCAACCAGGTGACCCAGAGAGACAAATGGATATTGATAATCCCGAAGATCGACGAGAGATTCTCCTGGCAGCCCAATTGTCGCGCATCATCTGCCGCATGCTCGAAGTGGAAGGTTTCCGCAAGTTGGAACGCGATTTCTACAACATCAAGTGGAAGCAGATTTCTCAGGATACGCACTTGCGGTTCCTCAACGAACTCGGCCACATACTGTTGACTCTTCGCTGGCGGATGTCCTGGTGGAAGCAACTCGGAGATGGCGGTCGCGAACCGGATCCCAGCAAACAGCATTATGTCGACCGAGTCCATCTACTGTGCAGGATTCTTTACGTTTACTATACTTGTGTGATGGCGAAACTCCCTTCATGGTCCGCCTCGGAGGTGCCTAAGGGGACGTGGTCCACGTACGCGGACTCGGAGAACGCTGTCTGGGATGATTTTCCGAGCGACCCCACTGATGACGGCTTTGCCCGCTGGGTTGAACGTGGGCAGGAGCTGATTGAGCAGTCAGGGGCTCCGGTTCGGGTGTCCAAGATGTGAACATGGCCCGAAAACTGATTCCACTTCAAGCATGCAAAGAACTGCCGGATTGACTGATATTGACTGCACTTGAGATACCCTTTTGAAGCGTGTTTTTGTCTTTGTTTTTATTCTTGGCAATGTTGACGAATGATGATTGTTGAATTGGCCACCTTTGGACGACTGGTCATACGTGAATCTCCTATGGTTATAGTTTATGACTTCTCTTCTCAGACATTTTTTTTGTGTATACCAGAATCTACATAGAATCATGGGACAATTCTTCTCTAGTCTCAAAACAGACTTACAGAAAACCCTGCAGATGAGACCGGAGTAATGCGAGAGGTTAAACAAACAGGGTATCTAATTTCATTACTCGTATGTATCCTTCCCACCGGTAAGTACATATCAAGATATACTCTCCGACCAAAACTATATGACCTGAACGTCCCCCCCCCCGCCCGGCTCATTCAACCCAGACAGACCATAACGGATTATTTCTTGCCCTTACCCGCCTCCGCCTTCTTATCCTTCTTCCCTCCCGCCAACAACTCCAAGTGCCCCGCCTTCTCCGCCAGATTCTTCTCCGTGCGAGCCGTCAAACCAGCCGTGAGTTTCTGTCATAGAAGCGAAGGTTAGATTTCAGATCCCTGACCAATAAGAAGAATTGCCCGCAGCTTTGCTTTTGCATTTGGGGGAAGTTGCGAGCAGCGCGGGTGCAGCTTCTGCGAAGAGCACCCTCCCTCCCCAAGACCCGTGCGGTGGACAGGGAAGTTCATGATCCATCGAACGGAAGTGATGAGGACAAACCTTAGTCAACTTCTGCTGCTTGATCAACGAGGCTTTCTTGGGGGCGATCTGGCGGGGTCCGCGTTTCGGCGCGAGGGCGGAGGGACTTTTTTTTTTTGGGAGGTTAGTTACCAGTTCTAGCTTTGCGATGGTTTTGACTTTGGATTTTTGAAGGGAAGGGATGCGGGCTGGATGGGATGCTGCTTATGAGAAGGGGGAAGAGGGTAGGCTTTGGGTTGATTAATTGAGTGAGTGGATTGGGGTGGTTTATGTCTTGGGGGGGGGTGGTATACCGTTTGGAGGTCGAGCCGCCGGCGGGCTTTTTCTTGAGGGATCCTTGGACCATTGTTTTTCTGTCTGTTGATATTTGTACACTGCCTGCAGCGGAGTGATCAGGGGTAGTTGATTTGGAGTTCGTGATGGAAAGAAGATAGGTAGGGTGGTGGGAAGCGAGGTGTAGTGCTGTTTCGGTGCAGGGGAGTTGGAGATGGATGGAAAAATTGGCTTATCGTCGTCGGAGGGACCGGGGCAGTTCTTATCGGTCACGTGGTGGGTGTTCTGGTTCGGGGTTCGGGTTTGGGTTGGTGGTATTTGTTTAGTTTGGTATTCTGGTTGTTTACATCCTTACTGTATTGTGCATACTACTATATCCTGAGCTACTACGGAGTATATTGATGGGTTTGATCATGTGCCGCTTGTTGTGAGATAGTGGTGCAATGATAGGATGAAGGTATGATGCTGGTTCTTGAAGGCTTGGTGGTGGATTTTATAATTCTTGTGGTCGATGATTGTATATACTTAAGCTGCAGTGCGCTACAAATTTTCAACCATTGTAACGGAGGATTCGAATGGATTTTTTTTTTACTATGATTACAGCAAGAAAGAGCCCCAGCCCTTGAGACTAAAGGAAGAAAAAGGATACAATGCAAACATCATCTAGTCGATAGCCCCGAGATCAAAACTGAGACATCGTCATCCTCGGTCAAGGTTGGTCGAGCACACCCAAACCAAAGTTCCGCATTACAGGGGTTCCAAAACAAATAACAGACAATGCGGTTGCAAATGCCCAGAGTGGTTGGCCTGGAATAAATTGAAGCACATCCTGCGCCCGTTGGAGCCGATCGTGTCATAGAGCTAACACGTAAATATTAAGGCCGATCGGTCCCGTCCCGCACGTGAGCAGCAGGCTTCAGCCCAGTTGACAGAAATACTAAATCTCCGACCCGACCCAGAATGCAATTTCAGTAAGATTAGCACTGCGATAGTTAGCTGGATGTTGGTACAGTGGATCCTCGATATAACGAATTAATCGCGCACGCCCTGCATATTCGTTATAGGGAGGATTTCGTTGCAGCGAGGAATGACTAATTTTGAACTGGCCAATCAGAGAGCTGGATTCCAGAAGGTCTAAAAAGTGCTATAGCTATCGCAATTTAATAAAAAAAGCTGTGTATATCAGTCTGCTTCTCGCTGTTTACCTTCAACGTCTTTAAGGACCGTTCCTTGCGTTTGAGGAGCTGGAGAAGAGCTAAATTAGTCTGATTCTGCTGCTTTTCTCAGGTCTAAAGCTTAAGTAGACCGTCCAAGGCGTCTGAGATAGTAAGGGGTACAACAGGCTTATATTCTTTCTCTTCTTCTTCTTCTTCTTCTTCTTCTTCTTCTTCTTCTTCTTCCTTGTTTATAGCATGTTCCGCAGATTGGCTATACTGTATAGCTTTTAGACGTATGGATTCAACAGAAATAGTAATTGATTTTTGTGCCTTTTAAATCCAGTCAAAAAGTACCTCTTCAAGTTCCGGCTAGTACTTTGTATGCTGCCTTTTCAAGCCTTTAAATTGCTCTGTAATAGTATCCAATGACGAGTATTTGAATAAAAGGGTTTCCGATATAGATACTAATACTGTAATTTATTGATTATATATAGCTTCAAACTATTGCTTGAGGCTTGAGTTGCTGGCTTAAGATATTAGCTGCCTATGAGTATGTAGAGCAGATTTTTGCGAGTTTATAATCGATTGACGAGCTATTTTAGCCTCAAAAATGACGTTAAGAACACTTTATGATATCTTGATATAATAATTTTTGTATGTAGAAAAGGCTTTATCAAAAATGAACTTCGTTATATAGCGAAAACAACGAATTTTGTATGTGGGCGGAAAATTCGAGGGCGGGGAGTCTGCTATATCGAGGAACTCGTTATGCCGAGGTTCGTTATAACGAGGATCCACAGTATTACATTGATCGTGGGCCGTTGGACTTGGCTGTCAACATTCCCCCCGAGGGGCGGGAACTTCATTACGATGAAACATTAGTGGAAGATCCATTAAGTACAAAGGCCCACACCAATCCAACATCATCATTTCATAGCTTGGTGAAACAAACACAAGCACAAGCACAAGCACAAGCACAAGCACAAGCACAAGCACAAGCACAAGCATGGATAGAAAACATTCGGGGCCCATGTCTTATTTCTCTTTGCGTTTTCTCTTTTGGTTTTGTGTCATCAGATCTTGTCTCCCTTGGAGGTTCATTCATGTTGTCAAAATAAGGGGGTATTAACTGAGAACTAGATAGTACAACAAGAAAAAAAAAGAAAATCATGTCGAAGAAAGGTAAGTCCACATGCGGGAACAATGGGGGTTTCTTGTACAGGAAACTTAAAAACAAAGCTTAATACATCTGAAGTCTTAAAAATTTGTCCTTGTCGAATAAGTATCAGAGCATATGAACAACCAACTAATTCGTCACATCCACAGACCAATCCTGCCAAACAGGGTTTAGATGGCAAGGACGGCGACAACACCGGCAGCCAGGGCGCCCATACCCAGGTTCATGGCCTTGCGGTCAGCAGCACCAGTGAAGATGGGGGCGACGGAGGAGGAGCTGGCAGCGGGGGTTCCGGAGGGAGCAGCGGAGCTGGCAATGACACCGGAGGGCTTGGAGGTCACAAAGCCGGTGGGCTTGATAACGGGAACGGAGTTGACAGCGGGCTTGGTGGCATCAACAGTCTCAACAGCGGTGGAGGTGGCGGAGCTGACGGCAACCTCAGTGGTGGCAGCGGCAGCAGTGGTAGTAGCAGCCTGAGTGACAGCGGAGGTGGTAGCGGCGGCGGTGGGGGTGGAAGAAGCAACAGCGGAGGACGAGTAGGCGGGGTTGGTGATACCAAACTGGGTGGAGTACTGGTACTGGCCGGTACCCTCGACCACGAGGAGGAGACCGTAGTGGGTGACATCGGGCTCAAGGGAAGTGCTGGGAGTCCATGTGAAGGTACCGGTGTTCTCAATGGAATCGGCGATAGCGTACATGGTCTGCATGTCGGTGCTGGGGCCACGAAGGAGAACCAGAGAGATCTTGCCAGTGGTGGTGGGATCCCAGGTGACAGCGTAGGGCTTGCCAGCCTCCACCTGGTCGTTCAGACCGGGGGTATAGATGGCATTGCCAGTGGGGTCCTGGGTGTAGTCGGGCTGGGTGTAGGCAGAAGCCAGAGCCGCAAGGGCAGAGAGGACGGCGAAGAAACGCATTTTGATTTGTGGTTTGGGTGGTTAGGGTTGGAGAATTCCTTCGTGAAAGTGGTGTGAAATCAAGGAGTGACTGAAGTGGGATGACTCGAGGTCGTAGTGCAAAAGAGTGACTACCGTGGGAATGGGTTGGAAAGAACGAAGGACGCGAAGGGTGAGAAGGAGAGAAGAAAGGGAAGAGAAGAGAATGAGGGGGCGAAGGAAAGGTTTAAAGCTGAATGAGACACATAGCCCCCATCAAATTATCTCACTTCATCATCACAATCTCACACCCCTATGGAGGGGGGCAATGGATAGGAAAAGCTTCCAGGCTCCCAGACCATCAGACATAGCCCAATCTGCGGCTCATTTGCGATGGTGGGTCAAAAGTAAAATTAATACACAGTATGCTGGCCAAAAAAAAGAAAGGAAAAAAAAAAAAAACAAGCGTTCAAAAGAGCGGAAAATAAACATGAAAATTGAAAATAGAACAAAAGAAAATCTAATTTAGTAGTGAGGTACTCAGTACAAACATGATACATACTCAGGTGAGTCCATACATACATGCTACGGACTGGGGGATGCCAGGCCAAAACCCTGAAGAGTCATGGAATGTCCGGAGTATGCAAGCCTCCTCAGCCACTGCGCCCACTGCGCCTACGGAATAGTAAGATTTAGCGATGTCACCTCAGTGTGATCTCTGTCATCCCACTGGCTCATCCGTGAGGATTAGTCTGTGATTGTGGATAAGTTAGCTCGCGTGGGTCACAGCACCTAGGACTGGAGGAATCAACAATAATAATGCGAACATTGGGCAGGCAATTTGGAACTCCTGAGTCGATGATGATACATTTGGCAAACCCATGATTATAGGGGATGGCCGAGATCCGAGGACGGAGGCGAGATGACTCCAGTCTCGTTTAGTGGTTGTTGATGGACTAGAATCGTTAGCAGATAGAACTAACCCAGGCACCCATGGTACCAGCCTGGATGGAGCCAGAGAGTATCTAGTAACTAGAGCCTATGAGAGTACAAGTGAAACACACACATAACCTTATGTGATAGCTGGTTCTGCAAAAGGCATTACGGAGTAGATCATGAATGATTATTTGTAAACTGTTACTAAGTGCTGATACAAGTCCAAGTATACGGAGACTAGACGAGGTAAAAGTGGCCGAGGAAGAGAGAGAGAGGGTGTGTGTGAGGGAGGAAGGAGAGAGAGAGAGAGAGGAAAGAGGCGCGCGGTGGACGGCACTTTCCCCTCTCTTCCCCCTCTCCCAACACACCCTCCTCCTCAGTCAATCATTCCATCCACTCTCCAAAGTCCAAACTATCCCGAATAGTAAATGTCCGCCCATTTCCTTCCAGCCGGGACTATGTGAGATTTCATCTCTCATCTCTTCCAACCCCGATATTACCCTGCCTCGACGTATTCGGTAAAGTGCAGCCCTCCGGGAAATGAGGCAGGCGCCACGAGGTCGGAGCGTTGAACAAATTGTACTTCCGTATGGCGACATTGGCTCCCGCAAAAACTCCGAATTACTTGGGCTTGGAGGCGCGAACACTAAAACCCAGCGCCAAGCCTTTTCTCGTGCACAACCCCCCACCATCTCTACTTCAGAGTTCAGCCAGGTTTGTTGACTGTCCACGGTGCAGAACTACTGTTGTTCACTGGAGCCTAGTGGTGCTTGATGAACTGTACTTTCTTCCCCATCATCATTGATCCGCGCATTCTTTCAGGAGTGAGGATGTTCCACTACATCACAATCATCTGGATGATACTTTGTAAGAATGATGATCGCTGATCACCTGCTCCTACAGTTGCACATGAAGTCATCCTCCTACACAATGGTTTGATCCGCGGCGATGATTTTCAGGTTCCGTTCCTGTCGCTCGTTTCTCGTTCCTGACCGGATGGTGTGGGGACCCTATCCGAGTGGCAGCCACACACAGCCTTTGGTCCCGGATACAAAAGAACATAACTTTTAGCGCAATGGAGTGAACAGACCCGTTTTCCTGGCCAATGGTCTCACGCAATGACGGATCCTGGTCGACCCTCGTCCGTCATCCAGCACTGTTCCTGGAGCCTGGCTGGCCTTCTTCCCCCCCATTGGGCAAGTAACACGAGGTCGATTCCAGAAAAAGCAACAAACCTGACCTCTCGACCATTGGGACTGTACAAACTAGATGCTCGATGCGTATCGCTGAAGTGGCTTTTTCCAGGGGTCCAGGTCCAGGTCCCCTCGCAGGCGGTTCGACCAAAAGAAAAAGCATGTAACCACGTGCTTCGACCTGCTTCGACCTGTCTTACAGGCTTACAGTTTAGCTCGAGTATCGAGCTATTGCTCATGCCTCGGATCTGATCGCAGACTGCAACCTGACTGATAGAACTAGTCCCTTCACTGGTGGGGAAAAGTTGGCCAGCCCTGAACGGGCTTAGTCGGCGATGCAGGGCCGGTTCACCGTGTCGGTTCTTTCCTAATGCAGATGACTTGTCTTACACTCCTCCGAGCTTGGCAAGCCTTGTGGAAGACATAGATACAACTATTTACGGCACTCCTCTATGTACTCAGATCTGGATTCTGGTCCGGAGAACACCCGCCAGGAAGCGGCTGTGACAGGCCAGGAACAAGGATCACAGGCTCAAAAGCCCGCGGCCTATTGCAGCGTCGGGTGTACTCGTCAGATCATATATATATACTTCGAAGTCAGGGTCTGATACGCCGCCAAGCTACCTCGAGGACTAGCGGCTGAATACGGTAAACCGGCTCAAAGAAGAAATCCGTATGATTACTAGGCTCTACCTGTTGAACCCTGCTGCAAGTGGGTATCGTAACAAACAAAATCTCCTCGACCGTCGCTGTAATCCTGCCAGCTACGGTCCCAATTGCTGAACTCAGAAAGCCCGTCGCTTCGACCTACTCCGTAGTCTCTCATTCGCGACGATGGAGACCCTGAGCTAGCGAGGCTCGAGCTACGTACCAATGACCGTGGGCCGTTGCGGTCTGATCAGACTATTCCACCCAGGTCACGGTCTTGGTTTGCAACCACTCATCGTATCCACCCACGCCTCCAAATCGGCCGTATCCGCTACTCTTCCAGCCGCCGTGCGGAAGAACCGGCTCGTCATGCACAGTTAGCGAGTTGATATGAACAGCTCTGGATCATAGCAGATAAGGTTAGCAACATGTACCCCTGAGAGAAAAAGAACCTTAATCAACTTACCCGGCTTCAATCTGTCTGGCCACCCTGAGTCCCCTGAACAGGTTGTTCGTGAACACGGCGGATGTAAGGCCGTATTCGGTGTCGTTAGCCAGTGCGACAGCTTCGTCCTCGGTATCAACCACAATCAGGGACACGGTGGGGCCGAACGACTCCGTGGCATATAGATCCATGTTCTTGGTCACATCACCAACGATGACGGGCCGCATGCTACGGCTATTGGGAACAATATTTTGAGGTTCACCATAGATGAGATTGGCGCCCTTGGAAAGCGCGTCTTCCACCAGACTCTTATTCTTGTTCACAGCAGCCGAGTTGACGAGACCTAAGGGCGGCGCATGCTTTCCGAAGACCTTTTCGGACGCTTCGGCCACAAGCTGCTTGAACCGGTCGGCAATCGATCGCTGCACAACAATTCGTTCGGTGGACATGCAAATTTGCCCGGACTAACGTACCATCAGCAAGGATCACTGGTAGGCTGACAGCCTGGTTGAGACTTATGTTCCTTACATGCAAAAATGCTCCCATGGCGCAGCACATCGCAGCTTTCTCTAAATTGGCATCATCCAGAACGATAGCCGATGCTTTGCCGCCCAGCTCAAGGAGCACCGGCTTGACGTACTTACCGGCCGTCGAAGCGATGATCGAACCAACGACGGTGCTTCCCGTGAAGTTGATCTTGCGCACAGCTGAGTGGGCAATGAGGGCAGTTGTAACGGCTGCAGCATCCGAGGTCTGGTGGTAGACCACGTTCACGCAGCCCGCAGGAAGACCCGCCTCACGAAAGATGTCCCCAATTGCCCAGAAGCATTTCGGTGCTAGTTCGGAGCCCTTCAGAATGGTGGTGTTGCCAGCAGCCAAAGGGAGAGCGACCGCGCGCACCCCCAGAATGTAAGGAGCATTCCTAAAACAAGTGTTAGTTGTTGATTCACCAGCTGCTTCGCTTCTGGTTTGGGTGTTTGGGATGGTGGGCACAGTACCAGGGCGCGATTCCTAGGACTACTCCGTACGGCTGCTTGAAGACCATCGCAGACTCTCCATTGACCGCTGGGATTGTACCCTCAATGGACGGGATGAGTGCCGCAAAGTCTTTCAAGAAACCGACACCGAGCATGAACGTCTTTTCGACAAACATTCGCCCCGCGCCAGTTGACTCCATCTGGTACCGGATCAACTCTTCCTTCCGGGAGAGCATGACCTCCGCAGCCTTGTTCAAAATGTCTCTGCGGTCGGAAGGTTTTGTCTGGCTCCAAGCGGGAAAAGCAGCCTTTGCAGCGGCCACGGCACGGTTAGCATCGTCAACAGAGGCGCCGGCGCAACGCTCGATGACTTCACCCGTGGTGGGATTCTTGACGTCAAATGCGACGTCGGTCACGATCGACTCATTGTTGACAATCAGTGGAATGATGGCTGGCTGACCATCGGTGTTATTTTTTGCGATCATCGTGGGCTTGGTCGATCGACAAATTGCCTGAGCACTTGGAGGAAAGAGGTCGAAGGTCGGTGGCAATCAGTGCCGGGGGTGGGTGGAAGAGTAGAGAGATTGAGATCAAGCGGCAGGGATGAGAGTGGAGGTAGAGGGGGAGGAGGGGGAGTTGTGTTATATCGATTGAGAAGTGAGAAGTGAGAAGTGAATGACCGAGCGACGATTACGGAAAAGAATTGGGGAAGGACAGCGCAGTCCTTCACCGTTGCTTACGCTTGTCTTCTGTGTTGACTAGCTGCAGCCACAGAAGTGAGGAGACGAAGTTGCCGGGAGATTCACTCTGGGGCGAGAAGGGCGGGGGAGCGAAGAGGGGGCGATGGAGCCGAAATTTTCCCATTCTATGGAACGGCCCAAGAAAGAAAGAAGAACTGTCAGTCTAGCTCGCTCATCGGCCTTGAAATTCGGCTCGAGGATGTGGGGGAGATATGCCGAACTCATCCATCGTCCATCATATCGAACATTCTTCCCTCTCTTGCGCTACATTCGCAGCCAATTGAGTATGCTTTACCTAGTAGTTACCATGCATATTTAGTCACACTTGGTCAGTTTCGCAACTGACTGCCTTGTGGCTTCCATGAGTGCATCGCGTGTTTGACTGCATTACACGCTGCATGAGATGCCGGGTGTCGTTCTGGTTCCCCACCAACGGCAAAGGGAATATTAAGGTTGACGGCCGGATGACTGTTGGAAGACGCCCAGTCCTTCGTTCCTCTGCCGCTTCCCCTTAACTACGGAGTAAGACTCCTGGATTGAGCCAACCATTATTTTATTTTCAGGCGATTTTCTGCGAACAACAGTTGACTACCAGGTAGTAATTAACTTAACCACGCATGCTTACAAATCACTCACTTCTCCCATCAAAATTCATGTCTCCAACCGACAACATCTTGTTGGGATCGTCTCCAAGCCTGCCTTGTCTGCTGCAAACTAGGGTACTTACTCCAACGGTCCGGGCAACTCTCTTAAGATAATTCACTACAACTAAGGAGCCAGTGGGGAAGATAATTCATTGCAATCCAATGACAATTAATAGCTGAGCCCCTCGCATGGCTGCTGCATTGGCGATCTTGTCCTTTATTGGATCCCGTAACTTGTGGCGTCCCCGTCTCTTGCTCCATCAAGCATAGCTCAATCCTGGAACTTACTGAGTACTGTGACTGACCGGTGACGGAGTCGAATTGCTCCAGCTTTCCAGCAGCTGCCAGTGAGGAACTACTACTCGTTCTTGATGTATAGGTATTGCCCATACCCAAGTTATCTACCTTTATTATTGCCTCTATAAGTCACCGACAGCTGAATCAGGAACCATCGAGTCAGTCACGGTCCCGCCCCTTTTCACTGGCATGTCGATCACACAACGTTAATAGAGGCGGGTCACTGTGGGTGACATGCACTATCAGTAATTCAGTAGTTATGCAGGACCCCCCCCATATTTCCTATCGTGTGCATTTACGACTGAGCTGACACGACAGTCATCAAGAGACAGGTTACTTAAAAGGCTTAGAAAGTGCAATATCAGCGTCAACGAAAGAGGAGGCGTCATAGTGCCCGGAATTGATGTCCTTCTCAACCACGCCCACAGGGCGCGTGCTTCCTGCATTACTTTATCGAAATAGAGAGAATTACACTCAAAGAAACGGACAGACAGATCCATAGAAGTCAATCAAACAATTCCCGGGAATATTTGTACCGAACGCCCGCTATGCTCCTTGTTCCTTTATAACCTTTTAACAAGACGTTGATGTATACCACTGCCTGCCTCACAAAGAGCCCAGCAGCCTGTCAACTCATTTGCCGGCCCAGATCTTCGTCTGAGAAGAAGTTGGTGCCATGTCCGCAAAAGGGCATGCAGGAGTATGAGTAGGCACATTACCACTTCGGACGCTGGACCGATCGTCCTCGCTCGAAGTTCCTGAACTGCTATCGCCCAGGATTTTCTTGTCGCCCAAATAACCTTCTTTGTCATCAACAATGATTTCTGACATCTCGTCGGCGTACTCCTCGCCATCTCTGATGCGCCATCTCGCCACAAGGTCGTTTTGGATCCAGATGATCTTGCCGATGGCCCGGACCAAGGCGGTCTTGCGTGGTAGGGAGAGGTGGGGGTGTGACATGAGAGCTTCGGTGAAGATATCCTGGATGAAACCGAGACATGCGCCCATGTGGATGTATTCGATGTTAAGCGAGTAAAGTCGTTCTTGAGCAACATGCATCATCCTGGGCTGGTCAGGATTCTATCTCACAATTTCACGGCATATGTCCTGCCGTGGTTGGAGCCCAGGGTCAAACAGTGCACTTACCCAACTTTGTTCAAGTATCGCCAAAATTCCATCTGGGACGGGTCGGAGCAGAGCTTAAGCAAATACCATCGCAGGAACATCTTCCGGCGTTGGATCTGAGGGCTGTCCTCGGTGAAGAACTCTTCTATTGGTCTCTCGTCGGAGGTGTCTCTGGTGTGGAAGGCACGTGCAGTGATGTCGCTTTCGAGGAGTTTCTTGTATACAATGTTGACGACAGCCGGAATCAAAGCTTTGATGTACTTCGAACCTGATACCAATGCTTCGACGTCGCCTTAACTCCCACCACAAGGGTCAGCTTCGGAAAATGTTGAGAGATAGATGAGATGAGCACTCACTTGAGTTGAAGTCCAGGAAGTCTCGAAGGTAGTTGATGCGCGCCTCCAGGCGGGTATAAAGAGCCTTCCGATCGACATGCTTCATATGCCGACCAGGTTCGAGCGAATAATCCATTGTTGGGGAAAGGCGTCTGTCTCACAGGATCTCAAGGTATGACCGAACTAGATCCAAGGGGGCGTTCTGAATAGGGCTATGTGACAGCGGATGCTTCTCACGAACCTCTGGGGTTGGATCGCGAGATAAATTTGGCGAGGATGGAAAGATAATAGAAGAAAATCGAAGGATGATTGGAGACCCATGTGAGGACGGCGACATCATGCAATTATATATGTCAACGGGCGAAGGGGGGCGCCGATGGACGGGGATCAGAGATCATTGGGCATATCAAGATCCTGCACTGATTGCCAGAGCAAAAATATCCGAATCCGAAAACGACCCTCCTCCACGCGGGAAAGGATCCATCATGGTAATTGTGGGCACTTGATCAAGAGGAGACGAGGGGAGTTTCACTATGCGACTAAGAACGGCGGCGATGTATCCAGCACGGGTCACAGGCTTGCAGCATCAGACCAGACAGGGACCGTCCCCGTCCAACGGCCATGGAGGATTCCGAGACTTGGAGATTACTCTGCTTTGCATCTAGGTGGTCTGATGCGTTGAGTCACTTCAGACCAATGGTCTACAGCCCACTTACTACCGGCTATCCTCATATCAACATCATATCATCATGTTACTCTCCCTTTCTGCAATTGATCTCATTGTGCGTCCTCCGACTGCAGCCGGGGTGCTGGGATGCATCAACCCGGAGTTCGTATTGATGTGCATCCGCTCCTCGCCGCGTCGCTGCCTGGGTTTCGGAAACATATGCTCTTGGACGAATGGCATACAGAGGATATCTCCACGAGAAAAAATCAGAATAGGGGAGAAATCGAAGAAAAAAAAATTGGACGCTCAAGTGTGGGGCGTTCGACGTGTCCATGTTCCACAGAATGGACTCAATCATCTCAAATTAAGTCCAGTCCAAAGGAGATTGTTTAGTGCAAGGGAAGAGCCGAATGACTACTGTCAGTGTCAGCTCTGTCGGATTTGAGTGGTCCACGGTTGGAGGCAGCGAATCTGTGCTAAACCATTCCTAACTCAGGTCGCGGATGTTGCCCAGCGCCCGAACTGGATAAAACCTGCACATGGGAAGGCCAGAAAAGAGAGCTAAGATCTTTTCTTTTTGCAACATCATACTCCGTCCACACGCATACACCTTCGCAAATGAGGAGAGCAGGCCTGAGGTCTCCTACTCCGTATTTCTGGCTTCCGTCCTTCACCGGACCCGAGAACCTCGTCGGTCGGAGCCGATGGCCGACCGACAACGCCCAGGAGGATCATAGGTGAAAATATCCAATGCAGCTAACTCTCTGACGCCCAGTTCTTGTTAGCGATGCTTCTGAACTGGATTTTTTTTTTACACTACAGACACTTTTCTCCAGCCACATTCGACATTAGGAAGGTGCTCTGTGAATGCTCGGCTTTTGAGTCTTCACCGTCAGCACCTCGTAAATTGACAAAAGTTTAGACACTGTCGCAAATATATTTATCGAACTCAAACTAAGCTCCTGGATCAGAAAAAGCGATGGATGCCTTTGACTCTCCTCTCGAGCGATCATCAGGGGCTTGCAAGGAGAAGCTATTTCCCATGCAATGTGAGCTATCTTCCACGACGTAGAGTTTTATTCGGCCGAGGGAGACAGGATCAACACTAACAGGAGATCAAGCTACGTACTGTAGATTTGGAAAGTCCGCATTACTAATAGGCAGAAATAGAACCGGGACTTTCAGAAAGTTTCAGAAACGAGGTAAAAGAGACGATGCAAACGAATTTGTTACTCGGTTGTTCTATTAGGAGAATACAATCGAATACGTACCGGTTTCTTCCTACGATCAGGCCACTGCAACGTCGCCGAAAGTAAAACCAAACCCGGGAAGAACATGCTCGAATTCACACTAGTTAATGACGAAGAATCGTTCATTCACTTAGTTTGAAGCAGACAAAAGTGATTAATCAGCCAGCAACGGATCATCCCATGCATCAGTGGTCCCATTGCTATTTCCTAGTGGGCATCACGCGACGGTCAAAGTATGGCAGTATAGCTGACGGTAGCTCCCTGCGCATCATCTTGAGCTTCGGCACTTCGGATCTCTGATCATGATCGCGGCTTTAGCCCGCCCAAGCTTGAGCCGCGGTTGATTCTGATTATACCTCACTTCATCCCTCCGAGTCTTCGAGATCTCAGTGACATCACCCGGACTGGCTTCAACGCCCAGCCGCATCTGATCCACTATTGATGATTCCTTTGATGGTAACCTGTCACTTGACCACTCCGGTAGCCATACGGAAGATCCTTCTCGGAACACCAAACAGGCGATTCACTCAGCCCTGCGCAATCGATTCCATGTTGGGCATCGGGGGAGGGAGGGCTGACGCCAAACCTCGGATTCAGTGTCAAGAATGGAAGCAATTGCTCCGGGCTGTTCTTGGATTGGAGAGGGTCCCCCTATTCACTGTCTTGTCAAGCGACTTTGCACGGTGCCTAGTTTGGTAACATCCTCCGTAACTCCCCTCAACGCTCGAACAGCAACCATTTCCACTTCGTCAAGACATCAGAGTGAACATGATAGAGCCTCTCGGTGAATGTCTATAACCAACTGCCCAGACTCATATGGAGTATGAGTGTCATCCCAATGCTCAACATACGGTTGGCAAAAGGGGCGCCAGCGACTCGGAACTGGCACAGTGGCAAAGGACTCCACTTTCTAGCGTTGCTTTCAGTGGGCTAGACAAGACAGAGAATCCCGGTCCGCAGCCGACAAATGCTGTCGGCACGCGATGGGGTTCGGTGGTCCACCCGAAAATATGGATCCTCCCCAGTCCCGGGCTAATTAGCCTGCTTCAGGAAAACCGGTGGCCGTCTGCAGCAACACAGCAATGGTGATTATCACCATCTCCCTCATTGGCGTATATTATCCGATACCAGAACTAATGGCATGGGGTCAAATCAAAGGCGAGCGAGATGACAACCCTGGCTCCTAGACATTATTGCCAAGTCAAGCGAGCCTTAGCTTTCAGAGGAAGGGTCCTGGAGCACCCAACAAGCCGATAGTATGGTTCCTCTAGATCGCCTAGCTGTATCACTAGGCCAGTAGGTCGTTAGCCTTGGTCTTTTGGAGGTGTGCAGGCTTGCGTCAGTTCATTGTAGGGCTTGCAGATGCTGATCTCCGGATTTGCTCACACCGAAAATGGCTGCCTGCTCATTCCATGATATGCAGCACTGACTTGACGGCAACGGGGCTTCATATGCCATCAAGGTCAATCCTTGACTGGCTTTTCAATTGATGTCTAGTAATGAACGGCGGCTCGGAACCGAGGATCCAGTGAGAGCAGCTCTGTTCCGCCAATTACCATCAATCGAGGATTGAGGTCACCCCGTTTCATATGTTTACGTGTTTACTTTGTCTGGCGGCGTCCAAACCGATTCTGGCCATCAACCCGCCCTATTGCCCTTAATTTTCGACAGAGGAGCAAGTAATGTGAACCTCTTCAACAACTGAGACGGGTCTGATCGCAGCCTGAAACTTCTTACTGCATGCTATCGGTCCTACACTACGTATTGACGGAGACTATACGTGGTGCAAGCACCATAGTTCCAGCGTCAGACTCACCTATGGCACGGTGTTCATCAAGGGTTGACGAACATGAAAATGACGGAGTCGGTCTCGTCTCGGTTTGGTTAACCGCTCGATGGCACCAGCTCCGCTAGGATGAGCAGGATCTGGGAGTCTGCAAGACATATCGCGTATCTCATTGCCCCTGCTCCTTGGCAGAGCAGTCTCCGACTGGACAATCTGGCAGAGGCGCAGTAATCGGTTACCAGATCTGAGCGAAGAGGGGAGAAGAAGACCTTTAACTATAGTTGGCAATGGAGCACCGACTTAGTCGGGAAGTTGGCCCTCCATCCGACCCGCTGTTGTCCACACTGCCGAATCAATTGGAGGAAGCGTCGGTCCTTGGATTTAGATCTTGACCACAGTGCTCCGCCCAGGATTGGGAAGAGAAGGGGGTTCAAGCTGGAAGGATTCGGAGCTCGGAAGGCTTGGAGCCTTGGGAGAGTGGTGGCCCGAGTAGATTTTTCAGGTTCCTCCGGATGGCATGAGGTTTTTCCTGGACCGGGGTTGTAGTGGGTAGATCGTAGCTTAGCGTAGACTAGACTGCCAAACTAGATCGGACTAAGCCTCTGCAGGAGTGGCCGCTTTATATACCCACAGGCGCCTATTTCCTTCGACTCTCGAATTTTTTTGATTTCTCCGCAGAAGCTTCAGTGGTGGTGGTTCAAACTGAGGAGTGTACATACTCCGTAGTACCGGGTCCTCAGTTGGTGCAAGTGTAGTTATCGAAGGCTCCCGAGCCGCCTCTCTTGCCGAAAGCTGACAACATTGCGGTTCTTGACACTAAGGTCGGAGTGGCCTTGATGCAAATCGAGATTCGAAGGGCGTGTCCATCGTCCTCGTGCCTCCCGACGAGAATGGTGAGACAATCAAGGGTTGAAAGTGGGCAATCTATTCCAGGTGCAGGCACCCATCTTTCGTACACACGATCGACAAAAAGTCCCGCCTCGTTAATCTTCTAGTTCAGGGCCCTCAGGGATAAAGTGCTGTTCGTTGAAAAATATCGACGATATCGGCAAACTCTAGCCAAAATTAAAATCGTACGGTCACACTGAGACTCATCGACAGGCTACCTTAGCCTTTGAGAGGGGGCCGGGGTCTGGCAATCGTAGTACTACTGTACTAGTGGGGGATTTCATGTTCGGTGGGGGTGAAAGTTTGAAAAGATCGATCGTTGTTGAGACGATAATCTTAGATTGGAGGTGTGCAGGTCGCTTTCTCCGCGGAGCAGTGACTCGAATATGTCTGGGAGAAGGATCGGGACGTTCGCTTGGTTATCGTCAGACGAACAGTACCGTGCGTCGGTTTGTCGGCTGGTCTGGCACAAAGAATTAACTCTGCTGAGTAGAGGCAGAGAGGGAACAGTCCTCTGCGCCGAGATATTTCACCAGTCGAAAGGTGTTGGTGGTATTGGAATCTCCGTAGGATTGCCTGATACTTATGGAGCCATGTATGTGGTTGTGGTTAGCGGGTTGGACACAATGCAATTGGCGGGAGACGCGAACTCGCGGACTACTCTTTTGTGCTTGCATTGATGATTGCATAGCAAGGGCAACCACCACTTATGCAGTTCAGAGAGGGCCACCACTTCGGTCGTTGTCCCATGGATCTGAGGCAAGAAAAGCAATGGACGGGAATTGCACTCAAATTCACATGACGGGAGCTGCCGCTCGAATCGAAGTGGGGCACGTGACATTCTCCGCATCCGGCCCGTTCAGCTTTCCAGATTTCTTCCTATGGTCCAATTGTCAATTCTCCCTCCAAGATGATTGAGACTCTCTTCTCGCCGCATTCAGAGTTATTCCCAGCTCTCGGACCTTCTTGACCTCTGCAGCATATTTGCCTGCTGACATGTTGTACTCAGGGATACCAATGGCTGCCCGACGATAGCTGCATAAAGAAAGGAGACCGGGGAAAGGGGGGCGTTGTTCGTTTTCGAGGGCGTTCAGACGCTCATGCTTCCAAGCCGGGATTGCAATCCCCCCTCTTACTCTGAACCAATTGATTCAAGACAGGAATAAGGTCAACTGAAGGCTTGGCCAAACTCCTCACTTTACCAAGACCATGAGCAAAACTTAACTGTCCCGCCTGCCTCTCTCTTGCAAAGGAGGAAATTGGCCGCTGATCTACATCTGATCGCCATCCGTGACGTCCTGTTTAAACTACTGCGGGGAAAATGGGAGCAAAAAGGGTCCAATGCTCCCAGAATTGAGGGAGTCTCGGCCCCAATCTCATGGATTGCATCGCGGAATCGGGGTTGACCTTGCATGCTAATTCTCCCTATCTACTTCTTCTTCGTCCCCTCCCCGCGCCTCAGTAACAATGCATGGTTCATCCACAATCTCAATGGTTCGCCGGATCTTTTGAGCTCCTCCTGCATCCGTCAGGGTGACTTCACATCTCATTGATTATGGGATCAGGTGGCCGGTCTGATTCGCAAGGTGGGTAAAACCCTCCAATTCAAAGCGGTGATATGTCACTTTTCATAAGAGCGCTCGTCCCTGACTTGACCCTAAACCTGTCACCCTGTGGCGCGCGCGCCTTGTCGTAACATCGTGATCGATCTGGCAAAACTTAACACTAGGTTTATTTAAAGACTATTCTCCTAATTATGTTTTATTTTTATTTTTATTTTTACTTTTTTTGTTTTTGTATACTCCGTCTTCATCTTCCATCGTTGAAGAAACGAATTGAGGAATCAATCGCTCTAGATTTTTTAGCCGATTCGTCTTCGCTTGTTCGGACTATCTCTCCTGAACTGCTTTCGGCGTCTCCGTATTCTCTGCTGGCATCAAGCCGTCGACAAGAAGTCTGGCCGCGAGGCCAATTCTTCTGAACGCAGCCCCAATTGCGATCTGTGCAGATCACTTCAAGATCCCCGCTCTGGCTTCGGGGCGTTTGTCTGCTTGCGGTCGTCTGACTTCCTGCTCTTCAGCTCGTTTTTACTTAAACCAGGGGAATTCCATTCCTGTTCAATGCAGATTACAGCCAGGATTCCTTTCTGCATCCCAGCCTCCTGATAATCTTTTCGAGACCATCACTGTGTGTGTTTGCAGACATGTTGGGTAGACGCATGCAAAAGGCGCTTCTGGCGCTTAGCCTCGCCGCCGTGGGCGTTGATGCCGCTGCAGTGTGAGTGTTCTTCCCTCCCAGTGCTTCGGGGTTGGTTTGTTCGAGTGCGACTGACACGCTCGTGTATAGGCGCTTGGAGAACCGAGCGAGCACATTCGACTACAAGAACCAAAAGGTCTTGGGTGTGAACCTTGGTGGTTGGCTGGTGACCGAACCCTGGATTACACCTTCGATCTACGATGAAGCCGGGGGTGCAGCCGTCGACGAATGGACCTTGACTCAAACCTTGGGCAAGACTGAAGCCCTGGCTCGTCTTTCGGCACACTGGAGCTCTTTCATCACGCAGGATGACTTCAACCGGATTGCCCAGGCCGGGCTGAACCATGTCCGCATTCCCATCGGCTACTGGGCCCTTGCTCCCATTGAGGGCGAGCCCTACGTCTACGGTCAATTGGAATACCTTGACCAAGCTATTACCTGGGCACGAAGTGCCAACCTCAAGGTCATCCTCGACCTCCATGGCGGTAAGTTCCAACTCCACGAGCCCCCACCCAACCCAAGCAACACACCCACCCCCTTACTCCAGGTTTCGGAGAACACAATTGATGCTGACGAATGGGGTGGTTGTCTAGCGCCGGGATCCCAGAACGGGTTCGACAACAGCGGCCGCAAGGGCCCCGTGCAGTGGCAGCAAGGGTCGACGGTGAACCAGACACTGGTCGCCTTCAACGAGCTGGCCAAGCGCTACCTGCCGCAGTCGTCCGACGTGGTGACGGCGATCGAGGCGCTCAACGAGCCCAACGTCCCCAGCGGGGTCAACCAGGACGGACTCAAGCAGTACTACTACAGTACCCTGGCCACGGTGCAGAGCCTGAGCCCGGACACCGCTCTGTTCTTGCATGACGGCTTCCTCTCCGTCGACTCGTGGAACGGCTTCATGTCCTCCTCCAACGCTGTCATGGACACGCACAACTACCAGGTCTTCGACAACGGCCTGCTGGCCATGGACACCAACACCCACGTCCAGACTGCCTGCGCCTTCGCCTCCCAGCACCTCGTCTCCACCGACAAGCCCGCCCTCGTCGGCGAGTGGACCGGCGCCCTGACCGACTGCGCCAAGTACCTGAACGGCTACGGCGTCGGCGCCCGATACGACGGCTCCTACGGTACCTCTGCGATCGGCAGCTGCGCCGGCCGCTCCACCGGCACCGCCGCCGGTCTCTCCGCCGATGAGCGCACCAGCACCCGCCGTTTCATCGAGGCCCAGCTCGACGCCTTCGAGAAGAAGACCGGCTGGATTTTCTGGACCTGGAAGACTGAGGGCGCTCCCGGCTGGGACATGCAAGATCTGCTGGCCGAGGGCTTGTTCCCTAGCCCGCTGTCGGATAGACTCTACCCCGGACAGTGTTCCTAACCTTCTTTTCCCCTCCTCTTATTCCCTCTCTCTCCCCCTCCAATCTCTCTCTGCTTATTCTCCCTGGCCACTTATCGATTTATATCTTTTCCCCTTTGAGTTAGCTGTCTTCATTTACTTTGAGCCAATGAGGCCTTAGGTGCCACTTATTTTTATTGTCACATACCACATGAGAATGAATTACTGACATGCATCTTAATTACTTTGATACTTTGGCTCTGTGAGTAGAGGTGTAGACCCTTGCTTTCATTACCATATAAATGGAATTTTACAGCGAGGATGACCGCAGTGGACCAGTGTCACCCCCCACAATACCGAAATTTGTGTTTGCTGGTTGTCTCGTCCCTGGGAACTTCTACTCTTGCTTGCCTGGCCGCTCCTGCTTCGAGGGTGTGGCTTATGACATCGTAACTACCGTTAAGCTACCCCCTGCTACTACCTTACGCGCCGACCATTCAGTCCATCCAGATATCAATCAATCATAAAAAGCCAACAACGACCCCGACGGAAACTAATTGACTAGCCATTCATTCATTCAAACCATGTGCTTATCTATATGTATGAGGGGTATTTTAGGTAAAAGTTAAAGTCAACAGAGCAGAATGCAACACAGACACAAGGGGCTGGAAACTGAAAGCTGAGGGAGACAGTCTGGGACATGGGTTGGATAATGAATGTAGTAATGGCCCGGAAAACATGCAAGCAAGCAGGGCATCTGGGATGCATGGGAATGAAATGCAGTAGCAGACAGACAGGCAGGCATATGCAGACAATGAGTCACATGATTGGCCGGGGGCTATAAGGAAGACTTGAAAGGGGGTCTGAACGGACAGCAGAGGCAGGCGGAGGAGAGTCCTTTCTAGAGAAGCCCAAGGGCCCCAAAAGCCGCAACGACCTCACGATCAACGTTCAGCAGCCAGTCCTCCTGGAAGCGCTGCTCGCCTCCGCAGCCGACAATAACCGAATGGAGTCGCTCGCGGATAAAGTCCCGAATGTTGACCTTGTGCAGGATGTCCATGTCATCCCATGCGCGACGACGCTCGTTCTCCGGCGGTTCGTGCTCGTCATTTGCAGCCGTTTGGGCATTGTTCCAGTAAATGAGGTAGTCGTTGCCGCGAGGGTCGTCGGGGTTCGCGCCACTGGCGTCTTCGGAGAGCTCGGTTACGATGTCGGTCCACATGGTTATGTAGGACTGGAGATTGTTGAGAAGGTAAGCTGGAGGCTGAGAGTCGGGTCCGTTAAGAGTGAGAAGTTGAGTGAGGGCGAGGGCATGAAGTTTCTTTTGCGTGCTGCTGCCAATGTTATCGTAGTGGAGGAACCACTCCGTCAGAATCCAGGCCAGAGCCTGTTCCTCAGAACTGTTGGTGGCAGAGGCCACGGCGGAAGTGAAGATCCTCGGATGGGCAATAGCGAGACGCGCAAGGACGGAGAAATAATCTGTCTCAACGACTCCGTAGACTGAGGTTTGCTTGCGGTTAGGTCCTGTCGTTTGACTAGCATCGTAGGCAGAGTGGAGTCCCTCGAGGATAGCAGGGAGGAAAGAACTGTCGAGGAGGGAACGGGTGATCACGTTGTAGGTGCTCTCACTGCCACCGTCCACCGTTTCGGCGCCGCGGAGCATCAGCTCCACGAGGCGCGGTACGACACCTAGCCGCTGGCGAGTGGTGACTTTCAGAAGCGTCTCGAGCGAGACGAGGAGTGGGAAGCGGATACGATCACTGAGAATCTCCTGGGGGGCGAGTAAAATGTAAGATTCGACAATTTGAAGCGCCTGAGGAGCACTGTCCGTGGCCGCCTCTAGTATGGGCATTAGGGCGGGGATAAGAGACAAAATCTCCGGAGAGGCCGGAGAGGGCGTCTGCATGAGTATCGCAGCCCAAAGGTCGAGAGCTTCGTCGAGAAGATAGATGAGAGTTTCCTGCAAGTGTATGAGTATGATGGATTGAAACGGCGGAATGAGCAGCTTACAGAGCCTGGCTCGACGGAGTTTTGGATTAGAGGCAAGATAAGCGAGTGGTACCGGACTGAATCTTGTTTGAGAGAATGGATGAGGGATGAGAGAAGGGTGAGAATGGCCTGCTTCATCAAATGTTCTTCTCCGGAACTCTCCCAAAGAGGCGGCAGCAATGACAGGATTTGATCCGAGAAGGGAGCAATCTGGGCGAGATTAGAAGTGATCCAAAAACTCAGTCTATGGGTACACTTACATGATCTTCCATCTTAACCACCGCCATGCGAACAGTATCAAGAAGACCCATCCGGGTCTCTGACAGCTCCACTTCTTGAACAAGAGACATCAAGTCTTGAAGAATAGTCGGAGCGTATGGCAGGAATTCAGTGGGTGAGAATTCGAAAGGGTCAAGCACGTTCTTCAGCTGTCTACCAGCGCTAATGCGCACAACCAGATCATTCAATGGATCCTTCCGACTGAGAAGATGTTGGAATATCTGGTACACCGCGTCTCTGTTGAGCTCGCTCGACTTGACTGGAACCCACTGGCCAAGCAGAATAGCGATTCTTCTTCGAAGAAGGTTATAGCCTTGCTCCTGAAGCTGAACTTCCGGCACGAGAGTCCCCTGGAGGAAATTGTTGAAGTCTAGGTGTTGCTCTAGACTTGCTGCAGAAAGCCCAATGGCCGAGTAAAGTGAATCCTTTAAGAGCACATCGCGGTTTTCGGGGCCTAAGAACGCATCGTTAGTATATCTTTGGCAGCATGGTCGGGTCTTCACTGCTTACTTGCAAACCCGTAGAAGACGTGCAGTAAACGGGGAATGAGCAACTCTTTGAAGTGGATGACAAGGTCGAGGAAGAGCTTCTCCGAGCAGGACCGTATGGAGAACTCCCAAGCATCGGAAATATCCTCTTCTTTTCTCTCCCATTCTTCTGGGTCTTCTTCCCATTCTTGAAAGTCGTTCTTTCTGAATCGGAAAAATTGGGTGACTAGGAGTTCCATAACGCTAACGACAAAATCTTCGGTGAATAGTTCCGCTTTGATGAGCTCGACCGATTGTTTCTTCTCTTCCTTGTCCTGTGGTGTCTGGTATTTGAATGTCTGAGCAGCATTGAAAGCCATTTTTGAGCAGGCTCTGATAAGGAGGAGTGCTCTGAGCCCGGTCTTCTCCATTAATGACTTGCCCTCTGATTCTCCGTCAGCTCCGAGCTCACTGTATTTCTCACCCAGTTGTGTGACCAGGGTCCAATAAGCTTGAACAAGACGGATACTGTCGGGTAAAAGTGCAAAAGAGGCCGGGCGGTCCTTGGCCATCTCTACATGGAGCTTGGAGAGTTGCAAAAGATGCTTTTCAACAGCCCTTCTCAACTGCTCTGAAGCGGCTGCCGGGCCATTGACAAAGCCCAGGAACCTACTGAAATGGGAATGTGTCAGGACCCAGAATTCTCGAACGTCCTTATCCCGATTAGGGTGCTCAAAACCAGCAATAACCAGGCGTCGAATAACTTTAAGAGACACAAGGCTCTGTTCTATTGTCTCCAGCAAAGTCGTCTCATCGGCGCCACCCTGCTCTAACCACGCTGCCCAGGTATTCACTTTATCCACGTATATGCCACCAAGTAGATGGAATACCTCAGGCGCCACCGACTGGAGATTGGCACGGGTCCGTTGTAAACGAGCTGTCGACAGCTCCTTGATAATCTGCAGCAATATGACAAGGGTGCGGGGAAGTTGTAACGGATTGGCGCCAGGCTGGGTGGCGGAGCGAAGGAAGGCAATAATCGAGGAGATTCCGTCAGGCCTGCAAGTGAAATCAGCTAGCTGCAGGCTACGAGGGGAGGCAAAGATGAAAGAATATACCAGTCTTGGGGAAACTCATAACGCATGATCTTAGCCAGCATCAAGGCATTGTGAAGGGCAAGCAAAGGAGCAGGTTCAACGACACCCGCTTGGAGCGCCCTCAGCTTAATATGTTCCTTCTCCTCCTTCTTGATGGCACTTTCCAAGCATGTCAGCCATTGTATGTAAGCTTGAAAGATTGAGGCTAGCTTACTTGGTAGCGGTCTTTCGCCAATACTTGTCGATGCCGTTCTTCAGCTGAATTATGGAGAGGTATCGGACTTCCGATGGGACAGATTGGTCTAGAAAAACATCCTGCACAGGTAAATATTGGTCGTAACGACAGCATCATCTAGGGCCTGTACCTGAAGATATGTGTAGTAAAGCTCCTGCTTTTCCCAATTCTGGAGTTGTTGGGTACCCGTCTGCACCTGCTGCTGGGTTGAGCTCGCCGCGAGAACCAGTGCATTGAGCACGTTATGGGGCGTCAGCGGGTTGGCTTCGCCTGCCAACTCAACTATCGAAGCCATGTTCCGAGCAAAGGGCTTCGTCGCCGGCTATATGGCTGGCGAGTCGGGGTGTTGTATCGGACGCGTCGTCCTGCGAAGCTTGGGAGCTATTTCGATCGTTAATTGGACGCGGGATCGAGTCAGCCAAGACAGGAAACCTCAACAACTCGATGAGCCAAATGAAGGTAAGGAAAGCGACGTCCAGAAGTCCTGTCCTGTGCTGTTGGTGCACAAAGAATTGAGGTTGCGGGCAGGGAATATATTGTTAACAATGACAACAAGGATCAACAAGCAGTAGAGAAGCTCTAGGGCCGGTCACCTGCCTGACCCATTGATTCATCTTCTAACAATCTTGCGTCCCCGCCCTCGGCGGGACACTCCGGGCTGAGCGTTGTTCCGCTCCGGATAGCCCTAGGGTCCGACCCTGAGCGCTAGGCCTCATTGAGAGCCAGTCTTCTTAGGGCATGATACGGCATGAGATCATACACCCAAGTCAGTAGATCAGAGAGTCGAGGCAAAGGAGTGTTACATACCTATGATGTCTTATGATGCAATGCTCTTTAAAGTCGAGAGACCTGGACAATGTCCAAAAGGACATATATAAACCATAAAATCGCTGGCCTGTTCGATTCATAATCAGAATCTCATCATCCAAGCTCTATCCTCAAGAATCCCAATCATTCTATACCTTTTAACAGATACATATCCAGGCCATCAATACCGCAAAAATGAGCGATTACGACAAGGTTCGCGTGGCTTTCGATGCCGAGAAGGACTTGAACTCCTACCAGGCCAAGCAGGGCCTTGGGAAGAAGAGTGACTCCAGTATGCTATCTACCATGTCATCCGCTTACGCCTCATTGCTGACGTGATTTGCAAAGCTCTGGAATCCGGTGTGGACGAGATGGTTCAGAGAAGGTTCGAGACTGGTATTCGAACTGGCCGAGAAGCCAATGCTACGGGTAGCAACCGTAAACCCATTCCCGAAGATGAGGGTGGCAGCCGTGATGACCGCGGCAGGTAAGCTTCGGTCTCTCCTGACGTGTATGATGTTGAAGCTAATATAGGCTCTGTCCTAGACTTGCCCCCGCTGAAGCGTTCGAGGGCCCTGGCGGTCCTGAGGACAAGGTGAAGCTTGACTCGGAGCGTCGTCCTGGCGACCAAGACACTCTGGATATTCAGGATCTGAAGCGTGCTGGCCTTGCTGAATAAACGATTTAATGTTCCTATACCTGTAATGAAAATATCATGAGGCATGTGAAGAGTATCAATTTCTAGCCTCGGGAGTTATCCCTAGTAGACCACTGCTATTTGTACCACTTATACCTAGGGAAAGCAAAGTATGCTCACTGGATCGAAGTGTCACAGAGTATTTCTGACCTGTCCTAACTAAGATCATGACTGGGCCGTTGATGTTTACTTGAGTCTGACTTAGCCTGGGTTACACCTTTGCTATCCAACACCAGCCATGAATGTAATTCGAACCTTACTTACCGAACATGACCCCACCCCTTGAATCAAATTATAAGGTACAGCAATGGGTTGCCTGCGTGATCATTTACTTGGACCGATGCCATTCGGCTCAGCACTGGCATTGAGAACTAACGCTGTCTAGCACTGAACCGCACAATGACTGGCCCATCATAGGTACCGACGGAGAATTGCCTGTTCATAAACGGCAAGGTGAGGGATGTCTTACGAGGCGGGAAACACTTGCGGCCTTGAGAAGCAGTGAGAAGTCGCCTTTGGTTGTAAGGGTCCTCTGACAAATTCTCATGCTTGACCATTTTCCTGACCAAACTGATTGGATTGATGCAGATTGCTCCATGTGGTGAATATCCTTCATGGCTATGGCCCTACCACTGGCAATGCAATCGCGTCGCACATGGGCGTTCGCTGTCTCAGCTCCACCGTCTCCAGCCTGATAGACCAACTGTTCCAGGCCGCTGCGGTCAAGTCTAATCTGAAGACTGTACACACGGATCTAGGCGGGAAAACTCCTGCCATTGTCTTCGACGATGCGAACCTCGAATCCGCCGCTGAGCAGACGCAGTTTAAGGTGCAGTTCTTCGCGGACAGACCTGTATCGCCAAGTCACGCGTCTTTGTACATGAAGCAGTGGCAGACAAATTTCTCGCGTTGTTCAGGAGCTAGTATGGCGCTGCTGTCCCCAGATATCCGTCTGATACGGCAACGACTCAGGGTTCGCAAGCCGATAAATTTCAGTACGAGCGGGTCATGAAATACCTCACCACGGGCGAGAAGGAGGGCAAGCTAACTTTCGGTGGTGATGCTGAAGATGGAAATTTTATTGAGCCCACTGTGTTCGAGAACGTGCCAGAGGAAGCGCAGATCAGACCAAGTAATTGGCCCTGTTGTAGTGATCAGCAAGTTTCAAGACGAAGGGGAAGTCATTCGGAAGGCCGATGATAGTGAATATGGCTTGTATGCTTCGGTCTTTACCAAGGATACTGACCGGGCCATACGAGTATCGAAGTTGCATGAGGCCGGAACTGTTGGTATTATTGCACAAGTCCCTCTATGGCGAAAGATATGCCATTTGGAGGCTCCAAGGGCAGTGGTCTTGGTTGCGAAGGCTATTTGCGCAGTCTGGATAGCTATCTGGAAATGAAAGCTATCCTGAGTAAGACTGTATAGGCGGAGTATGGTCTTGACTACCTGGTCTTTCCTTTTTGATCTTTTCCCCTTGGGTGTAAAAAGCTTCCAGACTGACTTGATTCAACTTTTGATGAGAATATGTCTTTGACAGTTGTCCCCGTTAGTAGTGGAAATTTAAAATCAGCAAAGTAAGAAGTGGGATACCCTGGTCTCAATACGAAAAGAATCAAAATTCAGTTAGGCTGTAGTTTGGATCTCGTGTGGCACTGGATTTGTCATTCAACTCGTAGAGGGTAATGGCCAGACTAAAAATGAGTCCTATCGATAATGCTCTGTGTGTGGCCCAGTTCCTATAGTGCGATGTCACTGTCATCGATTTATCACAAAATACATACACCCGCAATTGGGTGGCCATACGTTCTTTGAATCATGACAAGCTACTAGTATTATTGGCATTCTCCTATCTCTCATTGTCACCATTCGTAACGTACATTAAGTTAAGCCTTCTTCATCGTCAACCCTTCCTTTATGCCCTGCTGAAAGTCATATATTCTTGTTCATCATATTTTTGTTCGAGCTTCTCGCATCGCTTACAGATTGCTCAAGAGCAAAGCTGCAACGGCGCTAGCGAGAGTGGCAACACCAGGCAGCATCATAGAGGTGCCAGCGTTGGCAATAGCAGATGCAGATGCAAAGGAAGAGGTCGAAGAGGAGTTAGAACTAGTCTGCTTCCTGGTGGCGGTGACGTCAACGTTGTAGTTGGATTTGGTATCGTACGGGAAGGGGCTGGTGTAGTTGTAGGTGGGCTCAGTGTTAGCAAAGTTCTTCTTCACGATGTCAAGGATGCCATGGCCAGCGGAACAAGAGCCATTAGTCAAGGGAACCGGCCACACAGAGGAGTACTTCGAGTAATCGTCGTCAGAGAGAGGGCCAGGGTAAGTCTCGTTAAGATGCAAGTTAGTAGTGTCAACATCGTAATTGACATAACCGGTCTTGTTGGCCACAATTTCGAGAATGTTGGCGCCACAGTCCCAGCGTCCAAGGGAAGGCAGCCCCCAGTTGGCCGAGACGGATGCAATGACAGAGTAGTGGGTGTAGAAAGTGTCGTCCTTGGTGCCCTTAAGGTCATCGGGAATAGCACCGCCCAACAAAATACTGAAGATCTTGTTTCCCTTGGAGTAGGTCTTGTCCTCGTCAAAAGTCAGGAGCAACAAGGTATCGTTCGTGAAGTAAGAGTTGTTCAGCAATGGCGGCACCCAGCTGCGCTCCCATTTGGCAGCAAAGGTGATGTTGGTGTCATGAGCATCATTAGTCATGTTGGGGGTGATGAAAGCCCACTGCGGCAGCTTCTTATTGGCCAAATCGTCCTCAAAGCTGGTAAAGTTCTTGATCTGGCGCAGGCGAGTGCTGTTCTGGGCAACTGAGTCAAACAGGACCAAGGGATTGTGCTTGCGCACGTAGTCATTGGCATAGGTGACTTGATTAGAGTAATTATACCCTTGAAAAGCCCGGATAGGGAATGTGTTCCTGGTATTCTCCCCAAGCAATACTCTTGGTGTCCAGTAAATCAGCGATGGTAGAGACATTGGCTGGAATTTGGTGAAAGTCATCATTGTCCATGCCAAAAGTGTCGCCAGAGGCTGAAGCGCAGTAGTTGGGCTCGGAAGGGTGGGTGACCGCATAGAAGTTGGTCCTATTTGAAGCGTAATGTTAATAATAAAGCTTCCGGTTGCCACTGAGCTCCTGACATTACTTACAGTGTGATACCCTGCGAAGCCAGCCATTGCACATTCTCATCCGCAGCGGCATCATCGTAGTCCTTCCAAGATACTCAGTGAGAATTTGTAATTGCAGGGATATGTCAAGTACATACAATGTTCTCAAGCCAGATTTGATAGAAACGGTTGAAGGCAAGACCCTCAACATTGGACACGGGAGAGTATGGTTCGGTGGTGGCAGCAGCTTTTTCGATCTCAGCCAGAGTAGGTTCGGAGACATTGGCGAGCTGGGCATACGCCAGGGAAGCTGTCGCAAGCAAAGTGGCAGCGGAGGACTTCATTGTGAATCGGCTTCTTCCAAGGCAAGGATATCTTAACAATTCCCAAGGGAGGAATGGTAGATGTAGGCTGAGAGATCAACGCTTAGTTCAGATTCTGAGGGAAGGGTTTCTGATTGAATATTTATAGGCTTTGATTGGGGAGAATCGTATTCCCGAGCCACGCGAGGCCATGTGTGATGGCCACAAGTTAGTACCTAGAAAGAGGTTCCTCAGAACAACTCGGAGAGAATAGTCGGCCGGAATCCGAAGCGCAGATTGAAGCCGAGTTGAACCACGCGGTCGTGAGAAGACGTTTTATTCGACAATTCACTTCTTGCTTTAATCTTGTTCAATCCTGGTCTGATATGCAACTAAGGTAACATCAAAGTCGTTCGATCCCACTGCAGCCCTCTCCTAGGCTGGCGTCCAGAACAATTGGAGTGGGTAATGGGAATCGGAGACTAGGAGGATAACAAGCAATCACTGGCCAATTCTGAACAAGATCTCCACAGTGATAGGATGTCTTGAGCATGGAGAACCTCAGGTATGCCGACGGTCGGGTTGTGTTTCATGAGCTAATTTCCAACTAGGACTAGTGAATCCCTGATGGTGGGGTAAAGTGGACGGACATCCGCAGCACGTGCGCCTGTGGCAGGCTCTCTGAGAGCCTGCATTCCATCCTGCCCGCTGCACTTCCTACTCACAGGGCCGCTTGCGCCTTTTTCTTCCACCCAGGTCTGACTCGAGTTTCTCACGAGGTTGACCCGTGGGCTGGAAACTGGCCAACCAACTTTGTCGAAAAACTAATGAGAGCATTCAAGCCTGAAAGCCAAGTGTGATGGGAGCTCTAGCTGGCTGAGTCTCGCCGGTCATTGCCGTTCGAAGATATTGACAACATGGATGGCTGCATCTCTAAGCTGGGTCCCTAGCTTTCGGTCATATGCCCTAAAGGCCTTGTGCTTTACAGTCTCTTGCTCAGGTGGACACTTGCACAAGGCGACCTGGACCATGTCTCCTCGATCGCAAAGCAGTAGCTATAACCATACACCCTTTGATTGCAGTCACCAGACATCTGCATGCAGATGTCCTCCAAGCCTACGGTTGAGACGTCCCTACAGTGCTGAACGATGTACCAGTAGAAGAACTTTGGTGACTTGCATTGTAGACTTCAGGAACCTCAAATTTTTGTCTTGAGATAGTTCAACTTGATTTCGCCTTTAGGTCTCCGAATCAACACGATGACTTGAAGGTTTGTACCAGTCAGCTGCATCACACCCTGGACCTTGAATGAATATATATCATTACTGCCAAGGGAAAGACTCCGCTGAGTGTCTCAAGGAGTTGTTGTCCAGAGAAGCCCATATAGGGCTGAAACTACGAAAGGAAGAAGAGCCAATGCTTCGTATCTACCTCGGATAGAACATATTGAATGAAGTTATGAACATCAATGGCATCCCGCCCATCTGTCTATCAATGTCACGTGCTTGATATCCAACCTCGGCAATTTCCCCTCCGATCGGAGGGCCGAGCGAACTGCTTCGCAGCATGAGCACCTCCGATAAGACATTCGGGACTCTCCTCAGAATTGCACTACCATCGACGCGACGTCTACAAGACTAGCCTTTCTACCCACAAGGAAAAATCTGCTTTTTACAATGATTCTGCGATGAGTTCTACAAACTTTGCCGCTGCTCAGGAGCGGGTTTTGGAACGCCGCCGTCTCCGTGAGGCCGAAGCTTGCTCCAGACTTGCCGAACAGCAACGATCTCACCCTTTCAATCATGCCGCGCTTCAAAATCTCCCATACCCTCTCAACAAGCTACCGTCGTCGGGAATCTCTATATGGAATGCTATAAGAGGCCGGGAAGGCCTGAGACCGGCTTATCGCGTTGGCCAGGTGGATGCCGAGTTGCTGGATGAGGAGTTACTGGGGCTGCTCAAAGGACAAGTTGGCGATGCATTGAAGTACTATGGTGTTCGTCGCCCCATCAATTCACAACCGCTCTTATTATGCGATAGACACTGATTATTGGTCATTTCTAAATAGCCTCAAACGCGTGAAGATTGGTCTCACGAGATCCAATTGGTCCTCCGAGCAGCTCTGTTCAAGCTCTCAATCTGGGATCATGATGCCTCGTATGGCGCGGCTTTGCAGAATCTGAAATACATCGATAGTCGTAGCAAAGGTCCTGTGCACTCGGCCCCTACCAGGTGGCAGAAATCTTTGTATGGTCTCCTCACCGTTGGGGGTCGCTATGCTTGGGGAAAGTGGGAAAGTTGGTTGATTGACCAAGAAAGTGGATATGATGAGGTAAGTTCGTCGAAAAATGGGATCACAGTCACGCCTTGAACATAGCTTATGGTTTTCCAGCCATCACGAGAAGTACGAATGCTCTCCCGGATGACTGATCTCGTGTCCGCAACCCACTCGATCGCCGCATTCATCTCATTCTTGGTATTCTTGGTCAATGGTCGGTACCGAACCCTGGTAGATCGCATTCTTCGCATACGCTTGATGCCGCCATCTGCACAAGCGAGCCGCGACGTATCATTCGAGTATCTGAACCGGCAGCTTGTTTGGCACGCATTCACTGAGTTTCTTCTGTTCCTCCTACCATTGGTTGGCATAAGCCGATGGCGAAGATGGCTGTCCAGATTATGGAAAAGAGCAGTGTCTGCACTCAAGTCAGGCAATGAGGATGACGAAGAAGCTGGGAAACAGGGTGAACTTGGATTCCTTCCGGAGAGAACATGTGCGATCTGTTACAGGGACAATAACCCTACTGCTGCAACAGAAAGTGACGCCTTTGCAGCTTCAGCTTTATCGGGAGGGATCATCGGATCTGCTCAAACCGATATCGCCAACCCATACGAAGCAGTTCCTTGTGGCTGTATATATTGCTTTGTATGCATCGTGCAGAAGCTCGAAGCTGAAGAGGGAGAAGGCTGGATCTGTCTCCGATGCGGTGAGATTGTCAAGAAGTGCAAGCCGTGGAATGGCGATGTGCTAGAAGACATGCGTCCCCAATCAAGTTCGGGTAAAATTGTGGGTTTCGCTATGGATGGCAATGCAGACACGGACGGCAACCGGAGGGGAAAGGAGTCAGAGCGACATGTGGACACAACGACCACATCGTCAGAGTTATCATCAGATGAATTGATTCATGATTCCAGCTGCTGATCTACGATTGAGAAGAACTCTGTCGAAGGATTAGACACCAAACAACCTGAATACACAAATTGAGCGGCTCTTGGTGCGGTACGAAGATCTGGGATGACCCAACGAGCTTCATATATTGACGGCATGTGACTTGTGACGGTGACTCAATTTAAGTAACTACCATTGAAGATACCCAGCAGTACATAGAATTGAATCTTGCTGCAGCGACTTAACCACTCCCAAAATATTAAGCTTATCTTCAGAGGTCGGTTCTCTTGCTACCTGAATTCAAGCACTGTTTGTGGGGTTGAGGAGCACTTCCCTTCATCGAGCTGTTCCCTACTCCAGTGGATCCCGGTGGAACTAGAGAATATATGGGCTGCGTGACGAGATTTGTCATCCTGGTGATCCTTAACTGTCAAGAATTCTGCCATTTCATAAAGCTTTTATAAGGCTTTTATACTTGACTAATTTTGACTAATACTCAGTATAGTTACCATATGTCTGTATAACGGCTTGTCATCTTGCAGACAGATCTCCACGCAACCCACAATTTCTACAGGTTCACCAGGGTCAACCGGAGTACACCTGTGGACGCAGACAAGCAAAACCTTTCCCATCATCCAAAACAACCATCATGACATGGTGGGACCCACTCAGCCGCAGCCGTCTTCGAATCACAATAAGATTGAATCCGATTACCGCTAAGTGCCGCGGATGTCGTCCTCCCCCCACAATCGGACTCTTCGCCGATGGCGGGGTCGCCGCACTTCCGATCGAGGAGCTCCCCTCATTAACTTGGACACGAAGCACAAATTTTCATTCCTGCATTGAAGTCTTGATCTACTCGCTACCACTCTTGCGCGACTTCAAGCAGAGCAGACTTGGGACATTTATCTTCGACCGTTTCAAAACATCGATTGTCTTGTTCAGCAAGCTCGAACATGGACCCCTCCAAGCCAGCCGTGGCTCCCTCTACTCTCCAAGAAGCCAAATACATTGAATTTCCAGCTCTCCCAGCGGATGCAAAGCATGAGGATGGCACTCCTGTGCTAAACAGATGGTCTTCGACTATCACAAAAGGTCATGACTTCCCTGGTGCCAAGGTTCGTCTGCTAAATCCCGATCACCTACTGCATAGCTTTGGTCGCTTATAGCATATTCAATCTAGGCAATGCTTTATGCGGCAGGCATCCCTGACAACAATGCCATGACGAAAAGCCCCCAGGTCGGAGTCGCGTCTGTATGGTGGGAAGGCAACCCGTGCAACATGCATCTTTTGGACTTGGGCAAGACGGTAAAGAAGGCAATCACAGACCAGGGCATGATCGGATGGCAGTACAACACAGTAGGAGTGTCAGACGCAATTACCATGGGCAGTGAGGGTGAGTGTCATATAGCGCTATGCTGGGAAAAATGTCGTTACTTACTTGAGTATCAGGCATGAGATTTTCTCTCCAGACCCGCGAATTGATCGCCGACAGCGTCGAGACCGTCACATGCGCTCAGTATCATGATGCCTGCATTGCCATTCCCGGATGTGACAAGAACATGCCTGGTGTAGTAATGGGTATGGCCAGACACAACCGCCCTTCGATCATGATCTACGGTGGCACCATCCAGATTGGATATTCCAATCTTCTTAGGAAGCCCATTAACGTTTCTTCTTGTTTCGAGGCTGCCGGTGCTTATGTATATGACACCCTGCGTCAACCAGACGATGGTGGTGACACTAGCAAGACCAAAGACGAAATCATGGATGATCTAGAAAGACATGCCTGTCCCACCGCGGGCGCGTGTGGAGGCATGTTCACAGCCAACACGATGGCCACGGCCATTGAATCTATGGGTCTTTCCCTACCTGGCTCTTCCTCTACGCCTGCTTCTTCCCCTTCAAAAATGCGGGAATGCGTCAAGGCAGCAGAAGCTATCAAGATATGCATGGAAAGGGACATTCGCCCAAGGGATTTGCTGACAAAACGCTCCTTTGAAAATGCTCTTGTCATGACGATGGCTCTGGGAGGCAGTACCAACGGTGTCCTCCATTTCCTTGCGATGGCTCGAACAGCCGGTGTTGATTTGACCCTGGATGATATCCAGAGGGTCAGCGACAAGATCCCCTTCATCGCTGACCTTGCCCCCAGTGGAAAATACTATATGGCAGACTTGTATGACATCGGAGGCATTCCGTCCGTTCAGAAGCTACTGATCGCAGCTGGCCTGCTCGATGGTGATATTCCCACTGTGACTGGCAAGACTTTGGCTGAAAATGTGGCATCTTTCCCTTCCTTGCCGGAAGACCAGGTTATCATTCGGCCTCTCAGCAATCCTATTAAATCCACGGGACACCTTCAGATTCTTCGGGGCAATCTTGCCCCGGGAGGTGCTGTGGCCAAGATCACTGGCAAGGAGGGGACTCGCTTCGTCGGCAAGGCTCGGGTGTTTGACAAGGAGCATTCACTCAATGAGGCCCTGGACCAAGGTAAAATCCCTCGCGGCGAAAACCTTGTCATTGTGGTTCGTTACGAAGGTCCCAAGGGTGGGCCAGGAATGCCGGAGCAGCTCAAGGCCAGTGCTGCTCTTATGGGAGCCAAACTCACCAACGTGGCCTTGATTACGGATGGTCGGTACTCTGGAGCCAGTCACGGGTTTATTGTAGGTCATATCGTTCCTGAAGCCGCTGCTGGGGGGCCGATCGCCGTGGTCCGGGACGGCGATGTCATCACTATTAATGCAGAGACAAACGAGATCAGCATGGATGTTTCTGACGAGGAACTTCAGCAACGACTGAAAGAGTGGAAGGCGCCGGCTCCTAACGTCACACGGGGTGTTTTGGCCAAGTACGCCCGACTTGTTGGAGATGCTTCCCACGGAGCGATGACGGACCTTTTTTAAAACCTTGAACGGATCCAAGTGAATCTATGTTCTATTCTTATTGTATACACTAATCCAACTCAAATGATCATGGAGACAGAGAAAGGTATAAGACTATATTCAAATGATCTCGCATACTCGAGATACTTTTCCTCCAGTAGACAATCGGCCTAGCCTTCCCATACCACATCTGGGGTTGAGACAGCTATGAACCTCTGGCTGAATCTGATACCTCGTCACGGCCTCGAATGTCTGAAGAAAATGCAGAATCAACTTATTTGAGACAGCTTGATGGTACAGGCAGATCCCAGTGTTGTGTACGGAGTAGATTAGCCTTCGATTGGCACATTCCTCAGGCATCCACCCGTGCTTAGTCAGACCACGGGATGCAGCGTGACGCCATGAGTGGATGTGAATCATCGCCGGCAAATTTGCGACAAAAAGAATCCCAGAACTCCTCCACGGTGTTGCTTCCGAGCCTCTGACAGGCCCGTTTGCCTCTGGTCATTCCAGTCTGTCCTCCGCCGAGAACCTGAGTTTCCCTTCCGAACCTCTTGCCTCTCAGCATTGAATTTCCGCTCCGCGGTTAGTGTGCATCTGGTTCCCTTTGCTTAGAGTTCGAATCGCAATTGGTGAGTCTTGTTGTAATCTGGTCGCATTTGCTGATCACGCAAGGTATGTTAGCTATCTTCCCATTACCAGGCCTGTATATGTCCTCAGTCCCTTGTGTGACTGACTGCTGGTCTACTTCGACACGTTGACTAACCACCATCGATAACTAGTTGCGACGCAAAGATCCATCGATCCTTTGCGACCCCGGTGGAACAACGCATAGTCTTATGTGATCAGTTCAGTCCTCTTTTGTGTCTTGTCGTCCAGGATTTGAGAATATTGTCGTTATCCGAAGTAACTGGTATACGAGTACCACTCCTTACTTGGTTTCGTTGAAAACTGGTGGAGCTGTCAGATCCTCCGGCGGTGCCTAAAGCCAGCCAGAAGACCAACGTGTCGGGCAACAGCCCCTCATTGGTGCATTCATATTTCGGGGTGCACTTAAAGTGGTTACTAAGAACGCCGGCGTAGGGATCGGTCGTTACCTCAGACAACTTTTCCAAACCGGCGCAGGTTTGTAGCGCGGATCCATCTCACTGTGATTGCCTCCATCGACCCGCTTCTTTGCCTCACTATCGGTCCAAAAGCGAGGCCTAGCTGCCAAGGAGGTGTTGTTCTTCCGGCTCCTGGAGGGTTCGACTCGCTTTCCAGAACGGATCTTCGTCACCCCCGATTCTTGGTCTGGACACTAGTCGGCAGGGGATCCCCGGCTCAGGGCGTTGGGGGCTTGGAGGACGGTAAGCGGGTAAACGAAGCTCTACCGGGGCTGAGGGTACCTTACTTCTGGCCAAATCATCAGTCATTTAAGTCTCAGCAGCCCACGGAAGGCCCCCTTTGCTGGGATGGATTCATCAATTGCACCCCCGAGCTCCCCTATCACATTACGTCCTGGTATCGCAGAGAGTGGTGCCCATCTACGCGCTTGGAACACGATTTACTCTACAGTCTTTCAATCTGGAGCTTTTGTTTCTCTCACTCAATTTCTTCGAATATCGCGTTATGACGGCTCATTGAACTGGGGAAAGATCGTGCTTCTGACTATCTGCATTGCCACAATGATGGGATGTGGGTTTATTACTTCCTTTTTGCGGCGCAAGGGCTGGAGAGCAACACCGGTCAAGAAGCGTTTTCGTCGCGCTCTACGCAAAGACCACTCTAAGCGATCTGCTGGTACCGTGACTTCCTCGGAAGATGAAGACTACGATAGTACTGGCTCCCTGCGCTTCGGCTCCGATGAGACTATCTTGGAGAAACGGGAAGCGTCTCAGCATCATGAGAAGGCTGAAAATGGTGAGTGCATTTGCATTGCGACTGCTATCTTCTGTGACTGACGGGTCCATAATAGCCCATGATACGGATCCTGGTCTATTGAAGAAACACTCGACATACCTCTCATACACAACATCCGTTGCGACCTATCCGTCCATTAGAACCTTCAACCGTCCCCATCCGCAGATGGACAAGCTTCCCACCAAACCTGCACCAATCCCACTGTTGGTTTTTGTGCATGGGCTAGGTGGGTCTTTAGCACAGTTCAATCATCTCCTGACGAGCTTGTCGAACGTTGGGCCTTGCTTTGGTATCGATCTACCAGGTTGTGGATTGTCGTCGTTCAAGCCAGAAACCTGGGATGCATATAGCGTCGAGGCATTGGCCGAGTTATTAGCGACGGCCATTGAGCAACACCGTGACAAAGACGCTGAGCAAGGTGTGGTTCTCATCTCTCACAGTCTGGGCTGCTCGCTATCTGCGCTGTTGGCGTCTTCGACCTCTAGGATTGGATCCACTCTGAAGGATCATATCTTAGGCCTCGTTGCTGCCTGCCCCCGTGCGACACCTCCACCTCCCCATGAGGTCACCCAGTTTCGTCGCCTGCTTCAAATACCCGGGCCGGTCTTTGATCTTTGGCGCTACTGGGATCGACGTGGTGGCCTGCACAGCAGCAGCGTCAACAGACTTGTAGGTGCGGCAGCTGACCCGGATACGAGGGAACTCCAAGTACGTTACAACAAGCAAAGCAAAACGCCGGTATGGCGTCGGATGGCTTGGGGTACGCTTCCTACCTACGACAAGTTCGGTAACCCCGTTGGGGGCATTCCGGGCGAGGCGGTGTGGGCGGGCGTTGAGGTTCCTGTATTGCTGGTGGCTGGTGAGGCCGATGCTGTGACCAAGCCCATTGAACTCCGAAAGATTCTCGAGTTCTTCGGTCAGGGCGGGCGGAGTGTTGGGGATGGCACGGATACCATTCCCAATGCCTCTAAAGTACATGACAAGGTCCCCTCATCCTATGATCTTCGGGCACATGAGGAGAGCTTTGGGCTCGAGGCGCAGATTGACGAGAAGGAGCTGACAAACAAGACGGGTGAAGCGACCCTCCATCGGCGTGCTGTGAAGACTGTTATTCTTCCAGCCCCAGCATCTCACGCGCTGATCTACGATCGGGCGACGTATCGCACCCTGGCCGGCATCATCCAAGACTTCCTCAACCAGCATGTTGACAACCGTCTCAGCATGGGATGGCAATTGCAATATCTGAACACTTCCGGAAAGTGGGATGTCAAGAATCTGGCCAAGTGGAAGAAGGTCACGCCTGTCTCACAACGCATTGCCGATACTTTCGTTGCCATGAAGATGCTGCGTGAGGTTGACGAGGAACACAACCCCGTTTTGTTCTCGCAGACGTACCGCGGCCGTATCTATGCTGTGGTCGATATCAGCTATGAAAATCCGGTGTACAACCCAGCATCGATGGAGAAAGGCGGAATCCACTACCACAAACATCCAACGGTGTCTAAGATACCTCCGACGCCGGATGAGGTTCGAGATTTCATTGCTCTGATTGACCGCCTGCAGAACGAAATCACGGAGGCAATGGAGAAGTCAGACAATTCGGCAGGCCCGCGTCCAGTGGTCGGAGTTCACTGCCACTATGGTTTCAATCGTACCGGGTTCCTGATCGTCTGCTATCTGATCGAACGACGCGGGTTCAGTGTCCAAGAAGCGATCGAGGAATTTGAGCGACAACGCCCGCCGGGAATTCGACATGAACACTTTATTGATACCCTGTTTGTGCGATATTGCGTTGGGCTGAAGCGAGCGCCCACGCTCTGAGAAGTGGCGTGCATGTGGTTCTGGCACTGGCACTGGCGGTTAGGAAAGGAATTGATGATTGATGACATGAATACCATAATTAGACTGTACATTGCGGCGTTTGTTAGGAATAAGTAATGTATAGAGTTTGCGTGCTCTCCAAAGGATAATTAACTACAAATTGCAAGGTGTTCGCGAAGTAGACCTGTTCGGCTAGAAGGCGGAGGAAGTAGATCAGGCATCCATATTGTTCTGCCTTGCAATGCGGGAAGCCACCAGTTGGTTGTAGCAGCCTCAGGCACAAACCCCTTAGGGTACGGCTAGTCCCGAACAGGCTAAGCGAAGCGCCCACAGCCAACCGAGAGGCACTACGAGCGCGAATGTTGTGTGCGATTCCGAAATTTCGAGGCTTGAAACCTGCCGACTCTCAACGACGACAACGACGACCCATCCTCCCACCTCGTCCCTCTCTTCAGCTCCCTCTTCGATTTCCCCGTTCGAGGTCCACAAGTCGCAAAAATGGGTGGTGTCACCGTTCGCGATGTCGACGTAAGTCGCTTCTTCATGATGATGATAATGGTTACGGGGAGTTGTCGGTCGGGGGCATGGATGGCATAATATGGCATGGCAGGGGCACAGACGAGAAACACAACGCACACAACCGGCAGCATTGTCGATAAACGCAGCGATGAGCACAATGCGAAAATCGATGGGACAAACAAGGAGGCATGGAAAATTCGACTAGGTGGAATATCGGGCAACACCGTTGTTTTTGTCCTGAGCAAAACAACGCAGGGCATGCGACGAGTAACCAGGGATATGAACGGGAACAAGTTATCGCGACGAGGCGAGAAATTCAGTATGATGCAGCACATATATCTCAAAATATATGAATCTTCAACGAGCAAAGTCGACTTGGCGATTTCAGCACAAACGACCAATCCCCCCCCCGCGAATGATCTCTCCGACTGTGTGCCCTTTGCCATGCCATAGAATGCTTGACATCCACGGATAAAGACAAGGCTTCGCCGCAATGATGTTTGGGGCAACTGTGAAACGGGTCGGCTAACGAATTTCTGATGATACAGGCGCAGAAGTTCATCGCTGCCTACTCTGCGTTCTTGAAGCGCCAGGGAAAGCTCCCCATTCCCGGTTCGTTCTCCACCACACTACGGACTGTGTCGCAATTTGCGCAGGCCATCAGAAGCATCCGACCAGCCAACTAATAAAATCTGCAAAATAGGATGGGTTGACACTGTCAAGACCTCCGCTTCCAACGAGCTTCCTCCCCAGGATGCCGACTGGTACGACTTGTTCCCTTCCTTTCAAATATCTCTTGTTTGCACCACCAGGGAGATCTGACCGAAGTCCCCGATTTCGCACTACAGGTACTACGTCCGCGCTGCTGCCGTCGCCCGTCACATCTACATGCGCAAGACTGTCGGTGTTGGCCGTCTCCGCAAGGTCCACGGTTCCGTCAAGAACCGTGGCTCCCGCCCCAACCACCACGTCGACGCTTCCGGCTCCGTCGACCGCAAGATCCTCCAGTCCCTCGAGAAGATCGGTGTCCTCGAGACCGATGAGGAGAAGGGTGGCCGCCGCATCACCCAGAGCGGCCAGCGTGATCTTGACCGTATCGCCAAGACCACCGTTGACGAGGAGGAGGACGACGAGTAAATTAGCTCCGCTGGATTTCGATTCTAAAATAATGAAAAAGTCCTGATGTTACCCTCCTCCTTCTAACCTTTCTTTTTTTCCTCTTCTTGATCTTTTAACTTTCCGACATCGGTTTTTGGGGGATGGAGATGAAAAGGAAAGGGAAGTTGGGGGCCAGGGCTGGGTCAACCATTTCCTCCACCTCACATCCAAACCATGTACGACATTGTCTGTGGTAGAAGAAGGGGGCATGAGGCAGGCAGGCAGGGTTTTCATGGAAATTTATTTTCGAATGAAGGAGTGGCTTTTTTCCAAGGAGGGGCAGCAAGCATCTCGAAGATTGAACAAAGACTAAGAACAAGAAAGCGAGAGGATGAACTGAATGATGGTTTTTTTTATTTTTTTCTGACATATATCTTCCTTCAACCTCGAATTCAGTTGTTCATGCCGGGCATTGCAATTGGCCAGTCGTCTTTACTTGCTTGACACAGTGTCGTGTGTGAGTTTCGCTCGAAGGCAGTAGCTGTAGGCAATAGGTTTTAGTATGAGGAAGCTTGATCGCGGACATTTGTTTACCACCGGCCTACCCATCTACTCGCATTGCAGGGTGATGGCATGACTTTCAGCATAAGTAAGGGTGACACACAGTCAATGCGCCGCGCTCGAGCCACGTAGAGAACGTTCTCCGTGTGGTCTGGGCTCTGGGCTTGGGGCGCTACTTGTTACTGCAAGGGCGGTTGGCGGTTGTGCTTAGTATAACAGCTTCAATTTGATAATTTGTGATGGTAGGAGATGCCTTGCCTGTGTCAAGGTCATGCAATCTCCATTTCCCTGCATAGGTTCATGGTGGATCCTTTATTCTCAGGGCACATTCTGTTCCCTATTCTAGTACTATGATTTCCGAGTCCTGCAGCTTATAGACATCACATTCTAGGCTTTTGTTTAGTTCGTGTTCTACCCACAAGATTTAGGTGCTGTCAAAGACGCGAAACAACCAGGTACTTACATGATACAGGCAGTACAATAAAACCCACCTCCCCTTCAACTACACGTCTACCTTCCGTCCACCATGCCAACCACCCTCACTCACCCACCGAGCCAAACCCGACCAGGTCATACCCTTTACTTCCTCCCCGACTGCGCACTAGGATCCTATTGAACATATTAGCTTCTCATCGCCATCCCCATTCTTCCCCCCTCCCCCGGCAACCCAAAGACCTTGCCCCTCCCCATAACCCCAGGGAAATGCAAACCTACCAAGTAAACCTGATAAAACCTCATCCGCAAATCCTTCTCTTCCTCACCAGCAAAAACTACCCGTCCCGCCCAGGGCACCTCGACCTCCTTGTTGGGATCATTGCGTAATACATACCGCACCGTCCCGTAGAGCATGAGCTCGCCGTCGCCGCCGAAATACACCCGTTCTGGGGTGTGGTTTCGGGAGGCGACGTGGGTCCAGAGGCCGTGGCGGAGGGGGAGGATTTCTATCTGCCCTGTTAGCACTACAAAATCTTGAGAAGAAGTGGGTTTGTGGTTTGGGCTGGTTTGGTGGGTGTTTGGGTATGCGCGTAGAGGTCGGCGGTAACATTCGTCGGGGGATTTTTCTTTTGGGGGGTTCTCTTGGGGGTTTCTTTTGCTGGGGCTTACCATCCTTCCCCTTAGCAACCTTCGACCCCATAATCAAAGTCGCATCATCCGTAAAGCTCTGGACGTATTGCTCGTGGGCGGATTCGGTGTCGCTAAGCCGGTAAAAGGATTCCAAGAAGGAGATCATGGCCGCGGCGTTGGCAGGGCGGAGGGTGGAATGGCTTTGAATTTGATAGGACATTTTTCTTGATTTGGATTGTGCTTGATGGGATTGAGAGATTATATTTTATTGTTGAAGGCCCTTTTTTATGAAGGTTATTTATTCTCAGGAGAAATAATTACTTGTTGTTTGTGGTGGAGATGATGTCAAGCCATAGTATTAGAATTAGTTGGTAGTCGGGGAAGGGAAAGTTTTCGGGCCGATGACTTGAGGGGTTGCATTTTGATGTCTATCCGATGAGTGAAGGGGTGGTCTTCCGATATGTGGATGCCACTGGATGGAGACAAGTACGTACCTGATATCTTTTCGGAATAGTAATCCTCCGACGCCGACCTACTCTTAATCACCTCTAATCAAATGTCAGCAGACGAGGAGCTAGTATAGTTACACAGTAACTTCCTCATTTGACTCGTTGCCTGAGGGGAGTAGCAGATAACAGTTTCTCTTTGTGGACAACTCCCCGCTTCCTTTCATACAGTCTAGTCATCTATACTATCTATACTATGTAGGAATTCAAGTATTATTCCGTACCTAACCTTGATTTACTGGCCAGCTACAGAAAATGCCGCAGAATCTACCAAACCTTCCCCCCCGCGCCCACTGCTATTTCATAACTAATACAGAGCAACGCCAGCCACTGCAAAGTGTGTATCCCGGTCAAGTGTATTAGCAGTCTGTCTTCGCAACACCGAGCATTACGAGAGAAATGCTGAACATTCCATCGACTATCTGTTCAAGTATGCTTTGAGAATCAGAGTAGACCTTTACGATAGCTGCCGCTGCCATAAGATTAAATATCGAAACAGGACTGGCTCGTCAGTTGACTCTGGCTAGGCTGAGCAGGCAGGTTACTGGACAGGGTGAGCAGGTCACACCGGTCCACAAGTCCGAGCCTGCGGCGAGCAGGGTACCTGATTGGATAGATGAGAATAATGAGGACAAAATCTATATCAGAAAGCCGGATAGTGAGCTCCAGTTCAAATAGTATTCAGCAAGCTATTATTTCAAAGATTTGCCTCCCGAGGGTCCTTTCTCAGAGGCCCATAAACAGTTTCAGTAGGATGATATTGAGTCTTGCAAGTATAATTCTAGCTTAGAGAAGATGATCATGCAGCATTATACTCTTTCAGCTACAGGCCAGGCAGCTGATCAGATCATTATCAGAACCTAGTATTGCTGGCTGAATCATCTTGAACATGTAACTACTAACAGTCGGTATCACATCTTCGTTTCCTATATTATGTAGGTCTCTAGACACTATTTTATATACCAAACTTCCCTTTAATGATTCCACCAGCTAGTAATCATACGACCCCTGTACCTGGATCACATCAGCTGATAGTAATACAGAAAGAGAAATTTTCCTGTTGACCTGCCGGGCTGCTACCTCAAAGTCTACACAACCTCACCGCTCTCTATCCTGGCAGCCGAATCCTCCTAGAATATCTCTTGAGAGAGGACCAGTAGTGTCAGAAATCGAATCCAATCCTAGTGTCAACTCTAGTCAATTGACGCGAGCCTCGTCTCTACAGAGTTCACCTGCCAGCCCGCAGCACCTCCTCAACCCTTCAAAGAGGAATTGCTACGACTTACAGGCCTTCCTGGCTGGTTAAGCTACTTTCAAGCAGCTAAACAAAGGTATAGCGTTCACCACCGGCGGTCTGGTAGCAGCTGCACATTTTCTCAGGTCCATCCATTACAGGGACAACTGGCGTGGAAAACGGGCGTGCTTGTACTTGATTGCGGTATTTATCCGTGGATGCTTTTGAATTCCACTTGCTGCGAGGCTCAGTATTATGATTGACGTCTTGAAAAGGTTCATGTTGCTCTCTTTAATTGTATATCCTGTTTTGCTGGTTGTATGCGGCAGACTACTGGTTTTGAGGTGATTCCAGCTTCTACTCCGCCACTATACAGCTAAATATATGTACATGGAAAGCGAAGCTATGACTAAACCTTCCGGAAATCCTCCTCTGGCTTGCCGAAATCTTCCCAGCTTGCCCGATCCGAGCCGTTGGGCCGGCTGGCTCGGATGAACGTGTTCTCCACGCCCTCGATCTCCGTAATAGGCCGCACAATCTCAATTTCTGCTCCATACGCCTTGGAGTACCACGTCTCGGTGAGTGCCTGCTCGCCCGCCTGCTCAGGAGCCGCGTAGAGGTGCGGAAACCGAGCCTGCATGATCTTCAGCACCGTCGAGGAGATCCGGTCCACGCTGTCGCAGTGTCGCAGCTTGAAGAACTCCGAGGGCTGCGCAGCGCGCATCTGCTCTTGGACCGCGTCCGGGTACTTGCCCACCGCGAAAAGAAGCAAGTCATAATGCAAGAGCGAGGCTTTGCCGTGGTAGGAGCCGCCCTGCTTGGCGCGGTGGTAGAGGCCGGTCAATGCTGCAATCGCTCCCATGCAGCCGGTACCGTAATCAGAGATGGGGAATGGGGGAACCATCGGGCTGGACAGCCCCATAAATTCGCCCTGGGCCCATGCAATACCACTTACCTGAAACAAACAGTCAGTCAGCTATGGATTTGCAGCATCCACCCGCGAGGACGAAAGGGCAACTTACACAATCAGCGATTTGTTGCCAGCCCGGACGACCAGCCCATTCCCCCTCGTACCCAAAGCAGTTCTCATTCACTACCACAATACCCTTGCCACGCTTCTCAGCCAGTGCGGCAAGCGCCTCGGGTCCGTATCCTAGCTTCTCGAGGGCTCCAGGACGGTATCCGTCCACCAGAACGTCAGCGTCGGCCAGGAGCTCTTCGAATTGACGTCGCCCCTCCTCAGACTTGAGGTCCAAGTCCGCAGCATGCTTGCCCATGTTTCCATCCACCTGAAAGAAGGGAACATCCGACAGCTTGGGGCTGGTGATCTTGAGAACGTCGGCACCGTATTCGGCCAAAATGCGTGCCACCGTAGGGCCGGCAATGATACGACACAGCTCCAGGACCTTGACACCTTCGAGGATTCTCTTGCTACCGGTGCGGTTGGCAGGGAAAGGTGTGGGGGCCAAGTCGCCGCTCAAGCGGGTCACCTTCCATGGCGGCTCCTGGACGTTGAGTTTGCCCTATAGATGTATGTTAGCATGGATAGCTTCCGCCAGGGTTTTGGAGCATTCGTACATGGGGAGTGTTGATGAAGTCTTCGTGCTTGAACGCCGTCACACCAGCCTGTCTCCTCTCCTGGTTCATTTCCTCCAATTCTGCGGCAGTGTATTTCTGCACATGGCTCTCAATGACCTTGATGATCTCCTCGTAATCAGTCAAGTCCGGACGATGGCCTTCCAACCCGATCATGTTCAGCGTCGTCGTAGCCTCGAGGGAGCCATGAATGTGGAAGAATTCGTCCTTGTTCTTGGTCTTGTACAAATTCGCCGACATCCGACGGTAGCCGTTCGACTGTGCTGCAAGCAAGTCCGTGTCTAGGACAGTCAGCCACACGAATCCAAGCGTCCCTGATGAGAGGATAACGCCACACACCTTTCAGCTTCTTTTTCACTTCCGGATCCAGCTTGGACAGTCCATCCACCTTGGCCATATATGCCTGGCAACCGAATGCGGTGGCCCGCTCAAGATTCACCGTGACCTTCCGCGCTTGAGGAGCTGACCCATATCGCAGATCGGCAATTGCGCCTGCCACTGCGCCCTCCACACCCTTCAATGCAGCCAACGTCTCGGTCTCCTTGAACGGAATGGGGTAATAGATCTGATCATAGCCGGATGTGAAAGACACCGCATCTCTGCGCTCCGCTACTTCCGTAGGCAGGCTGAGACGTTCGGTTTGGTTGCAGAGGTGGCTGAAGATGCGACCTGCCTCGCGGACAGGCGAGTATCTCACTTCGTTATCTGAGCTGGTCGCCATAGTGATGTATGTGGATTGCAAGATTGACTGCCCCAAAATCCTGAGCTATACCGCGAGTGCTTCTTAATGACGGAACACTTTCCAGAGTCAGTATAGGAGAAAGCAAGCAAGGAAGAACCTACACATTCTATCTAGAGAGGGAAATGGAGTCGGATATATATGTAGATCGAAGAGACCCCGCCAGAGAAGCGACTTTTCGGCAAAGGAAGTAGTCTGGGTAGCTCTCTACTTATTGACGGTTACAGTGGGTTTCATCGTCCGGGCCCATTCCGAGGGATTGTCCCGTCGGGTGGATGCGCATCTGAATGACCGATCGGCAAGCATAAAGTCGATGGTAAAGCACATGATTTCTGTTCGAACTGCAAGGTAATAATAGGTGAGTCTCCTGCTTGGGATTCTTGAGCAATTGTGTCGGAGACTCGGAGTGTAGGGAAATACTCTAACCCCGCAGAGGAGAGAGAGGCTGATTTCCGAAGGGTGGAAACGGGTTGGAGAAGTGCTTTTCGGATGCGAGGCCGATAAGATCGGAAGCGGATGGCGGTCCGGTCAGATGACGTCGCTAATGTCCGCATGTGCTTCGATGCCTGGTATGTCAGGCACGATAATTAGTTGATTGAATTGACCAGTAGTTTTAGTTCGTCTTGCGACAACTACTACGGAGAAGAAATAATATATTGACATGTGGTATCTCAAGAGACATGTTCTGTTCGGGTTTTCCACCCAAGTATGTCCTGCTAGGAGTGATTATTTGACCCAGCACAACGAATGGAGTCAATTGAAATGAAAAGGTATATAAGGGAGAAACCATGTACGCGTCATGAAAGCACGTCCTAGTAAGCGAGTATCCAGCAATCTGACTCGGTACCCTTTCACTGACACATACTCCAGCCATAGAAAACCTTGCACGACATGCATTTTCTTGTCGGTGAGCTTTCAGAATTTACCCTTTTGCCCCATGCATGTCATAACGACAGGGAGTTCAGACAGGACTCATCTGATACCCTTACGGTAGATCTCTGGCCGGAGATGTATCAGTTTAGCGTGAGGGTCGGTCTACGGAGTACATTGAATGATGATTGACAGGTCTTACCCCTTTGTGGTATGTAGATGTAAATCCTCGAACTATTACCTGACTAGTTTTATCCATCATTACATGACAGGCAGAATCTGTAATTGTCGTATTCCATTTACACTGAGTGGATGAGTCCTATGCTTCTAAGCAGAAACCAAAGGAACCATAGACTGCACGAGCTACGATGATGCATGAACTGCAACGGAGGTCTTATGGAACCACCTGAACATTTAAGCTCGCGATGTTGTACCGTGGAGTCAGCACATACATGGGCCAACTGGGTTGATTCAGGATGAAGTCGGATGGATGCTAAGCACACAGTACAATACTGAGAGATTTTTTGGCACACTCTGGATCAATAAGAAGTCCTTCGACAACCACGTTGACCCAGCCTAGTCCCAACGCTTCGAATACTACACTGCTGACGACCATGATGGATGGCAAAATTCCCCTCTCTTCAACTTATGGAGGGGGGAATGACCGGCCACAAATGAGCCATTCAGCCAGTCAGCACAGGATCCTGCGGCGCATGTACATCGCCCGATGCCCACGTGCCGTAATCATGGCCGGTTGTCGCCGACCAGAGTTTGACCAAAGAGAAACCTTAGGGTTCCTGCCCTTACCAGGTTTTGCAGGCAAACCCTACCTCGTACCGTAGACGCGGGGGGGGGCGCACGGGCACGAGGCACCGGCCTTGATATGTCCGTCGATCGGTGGGTTCAAGTGGAAATTGTTGCTCGAACCGGAGATCAAGGACACCATACTACGGGCGGTGGGCTACGGGGTGCGAAGACCAGGGCACTTACATCATCGCATTGAGATGTTGGGGACTGACTGGGAGGGATTGGCCGCGGGTATCGCAGGGTTACCGGAAAGGGGACCGGCTGTCCTGGATTACGAAGCAGAAGTTGTAACTGACTAAGTGAGAAGCCATCAATGCGGGGAGGGAGGGACAGGAGGGGAGAGGGGACCTTGAGAATAACAAGCTGATCGACAAGATACTCATGATCTACTCCGTATTCGCTCTGTGCGACTTTCAGGCTACCACCGGAGAACGGTGTACCTTGGACCTCTTGATAAGACCGATACTTGGGAGGTACATTCACCGTACCTCCGATACGGTAAGAGAACTGAAAAAAGCGGTATCAGGACTGGTGGCCCCGGATCCTCCCGGTGCGACTTCAAGCGGGACCGACTGGTGTCCACCAATCCTCGAGGCCACGCCCCAAGGACTCGGCTTCGTATGGGCCCCGTAAGGTATGGGGCGGCATGACGGGGGGGGGTTGCAAGAAAGAGGGAAAAGAGGAGAAAGAGTGACTTTTTGTCCAAGGAACATCCCGCGATAAGAGGGTCACACTCTATTCATTCACACTTGGATTCTGGATTTTTAAGGCTGGTCATTTTCTCGCTCTCCCCTTCTTCTCCCTGCATTTCAGTTGGAAGAAGAAAAAGGAGAATAAAGAGCACAAATGACCCGAAAAATAACACCGAATCCAGATAATATAGAGGTACTTCCTGGGTACTTGACCGCTGTGTATCATCCGTCCATCCATCATCTGCAATAGAACGGACATTTTCCTTCTAGCACGACTTGCAGGAGCTGCGCCGGCTGACAAGAACATTCCATTGTGCTATTCTTACTATTCTTACTACTATTATTGACGGACTGCAACCACCAACTCCTTGCGTTTCCTTCCCTCTTCCTCCTTTCCCCCTCCTCCTTTCCTTCCTCCTTTTTCTTTTCTTTGACTGAGATTCTTCCTCTCCTCTGGAAATCGTCAAGGAACTTTTTTTGCTCGTTTACCACCCGCCTACGTGGTTTCTTGTTGCCAACAACGTGAACACTGTTCCCCTGGATCTACCTGTCTCCAACCGTCGCGTTCCTCCACTTATCAACCCAACCCTACGCCCCTCTTAGCGCGTCGCATCGCATCTGGCTTGCATAGGAAATCCGTTCACCGTTGCGTCTGCACCACCTCTCCGATCTGCTATTGACAGATTACTGTGAGTCAATGATCCCCCAATCCTTTGAATTATCCAACCACGTCTTTTTCTTTATTTTCCATCCTTGAGCCTGAACTTGTGGCTTTCTAAGGGCGTGTTTTGGCAGGGTCTGGATCTTTAGTCAGCCTGTCCATTCATTGTTGCCCGTTGTCCGCCTTGTGCGCTATGGTTGGTCGATCCTTTTATCTGACTCATGGGATTACAGATCAATAATTAGCCACCGGGTTGAATAGAAGCATTCCGCTCCCTGTGTTCGAAAACATCCATCATGGCTTTCCCAAATACCACATCCAGCATCGCTATGGCCCTTGCTGCTGGCAAGACCGCCTCGGTCGACATCCCCAAGCCCCGTCCTGGCTTTCCCATGGCTGGTCGCGACTCGACTCACCCTGGAGCCCCTGCTTTGTTGCCCACACCGCCCAACTCTATATCGCCAACTCTGCCGCCTCAGGGTTTCCGCCGGGGAGATGTCGATCAGCCGGGTTACTCTCCGCTTGCCTCTTCGCATGTGGACTCAGATGTCGACCTTGGAGATGCTTCGGGTATTTCCCTCGCTGCCCATGAGCTCGATAGCACTGGAGCTATAACTCCTGGAATGTTGGCTAAATGCCATCTTCCCGAGATCATGTTGCAACATGGTCCCCTGGCGATCCGCCACTTGATGGGTTATTTGACCTCCTCTGTTCCCGGTTTCTCGGGCATACCTCCGGCGAAAGCACGGAGACTGGTGGTGGCCGCACTGGAGGGTCGAGGGTGCGACGAGAAAAGCGCTATGAGTCAGAGCAACGTGATTTTTGAGAAGGTCGGATGGGGTCGCTGGGATGCACGGCGCCATGGCGAACCGTTGCGAAGCGATCCCCAACGCCAGCACATGTCGCCACCATCCAGTCCCTCGGACACGTTCTCTCAGCGGGGTATGCAGATTCCCATAACCAAGAGAGATAATTTGCAGCCCTATGGCACCAGCGTGGCGGGTGATTCCGCCGTGTTTTCTTACTCGACAGAGATGGAATTTGGTCGTCCCGATGTCAGCATGTTGGAAGACGAGGCGGATAAGATGTCTCTTGATGGTCACGATCGCGAGTACTGCTCATCTTCGGAGGCACCTGATGACGAGATGCCCATCGAAGATTGGGGTGAAGAGGATGTGACGGACGAGGAGGATTGGGCACAAATAGGTGCTGATGCGCTTCGAGCACGATCTCTCAACGCCTCGGGCGGGTTTGTCTACGGCAGTGGCAAGTCGCCTCACTTTCGTGGAGGAGGGCCGGCACCCTCCTCATTAGCGAAATCCGCACCACGCAATTATCCTATACAGCAGCTCGGGTTCAATCCACCTGATGGTATCATAAACGACGGGGACGAGCGCGCTGCAGCGGCGGCTGCATTGTTACGACTTGGATCGATGTGACGTGATACGACGATCCATCGTTATTGGCGATTCTACGGGTACCGGTATTCTCGGGATCCAATTCAAGGCTGGTCCAATTTCTTCTCAGTATATATTTCTGCTTTAGATGTTCATCTCTGGGGCCACCAGCATGCTGCAAGAACACTATCGAGTCGACCGGTTCGACCTCGGGTTGCGTTTGGAGTGGGCGTGGTTTATTTGGGATTGATATCAAGGCGTTCTTATCCTTTCTAACGATTTCTACATCGTCAACGTCGCCAGCTCAACACTGACGGACGTTTCGTCAAGTGATGGCATGGACTTATGATTATGATACCTCCGCTGCTATCTTGACAGCACTTTCTTTTCTGCATTGAGCCGAAGTAGGCTTTGCAATACGCAACCATATATATTCGATGGCAAGGGACACTCACCACTCCACATTGTGCATACATACTTTGACGAGTTCGGGAAACAGTCAAATTCGGTCTCGCATGACTTGCGAGGCCATGTGAATAATATCTATATAGATCATAATATAAAGGACCATGCTAGTCATAGGTCAAAGGACATACTTCTTTCACGCCGCGTGCTGGCATTGACTTGGAAACGTAGTCTCGGGGTCGAGGTAGGTTCTGGTTGCGAACTGGTTGTGAACTGGTTGTGAAAGCTTGTATACGGTTTGTGATAGGATTGAAACAACCCAAACCAGTACGTATCTCGATTGATGAGGAATTGGTCCAACTCTTTTACCACCCACTTAAACTGCTTCTGATGTGAATCATACTAGAACACCACATCCTAAGATGCAACTGTTACAACGATCTACACTTATAAATAACCGGGTATTCAGCATGACCCATCTCGAATGCGATCTCAATTCCACTTAATCCACATGGTTCTCCTGGCAAATCCATTGGTCTTCCTTAGTTCATATGTGTCACAAGTATTCATGGTTCAGCCGGGCAGCTTGACATATGGTAATCATGAAGGTCAGAAATCGATTCTAGCTAAAAAGCTTTCTAAAACGTTGGATCCGTATTCTACTCCCCTTTGAGTACAAGGAACTTGATATATACCACCACCGTCACCATCTTCTCGGTAACCTTGATACAAACCCCAAGCCCACTCAACTCCCAACTCCATACAAAAAAAACAAACCATGAACACAGTTAAGTAAAACAGTGTCTCCAAGTCTCGGATCCCCCATTTTTTCCATAGCCTAAACCAAGCGAGCACTATTGCGCACGAAGACCCCGAAATGCAAGTCACTCAAAGAAACCCTACCATCACCCAACAGCTAAAACATTCAGGGACCACCACTCCCTTCACGGAGGGAGATCAGAGGCAAAACCCCGACAAGCAAAGTGAAATCCACCACACAGACAAAAACAACGAGGCATCATTTATCATGAGCATCATTAATCTTCTTCCACACCTCCGCCTCCACCTCCGCCAACTTGTTTCCCGCGCTGCGGAGCCACGACTTCGCGTTGGCGAGGATGCCCTCTTCGGGACCCTCGTCGTCAAGGTCGACCCGTCCCGAGACGCCCGGGTCGTAGTGCAGGGGGAGTTGGGAGGTGGTTGCGTTTGCGCTTGTGCTTGTACTTATGCCTGTGTTTGCCGTCGGGGGCTGGTAGAGGGAAGGGTAGGGGGTGGTGGTTGCGTTGGGGATCGCGGGGGGTGGGATGTATTGGTTTTGGCTTTGGGGGTGGGTGTAGTCGGGCTTGGAGTAGGGGTACGGGACCTGGTGGACCGGGTGGTAGTCGGAGGGTTGCGGTAAGGTGGCGGTGGTGGTGGTGGATGCTGCTGCTGCTGAAGATGAGGTTTCTGGGGTTAGGCCTGCTGCTGGTGGTGCGGCTGGTGCTGTGGTCGTTTGACTGGGGATTTCGCCTGCTTTGGGAGGCGGTGGTGGGTGAGTGATTGAGGATACTGCAGGTGAAGCGGAAGTAGGAGCGGGGACGGGCTGAGCTCCGGGTTGTGGTTGGGGGGGAGAGGTGGTGGTGGCGTTGGTGCTGGACATGGTTGTTGTCGGTGTCGGTGTGATTGCTGTTGAAGATGAGGGGGCTGCTGGAGCAGGCGTTTGCACGGGAAGCGAAGGCATATCGCCAGGTTGCGCGGTGGCGTAGATGGGAGAGTATGATGGTGCAGTTGAAGTGGCAGCGGAGGTTGTAGGAGTAGGCTGTACTGATGGGTCGTTAAGGACCTTCTGTTCTAGCTCCGGGGATGAGGCTTTGTTGGTAGAATCCCCGTTCGAAACCGAATCGTTGTTCTTCATGGTTGCTTGCGTTGCGAGAGTTGCAGATTCCCAAGCTGTAGAAGCTATAGAAGCAAGGAGCTGTTGCTGAAGCTTCAACAGTATGATCGACGTCACCGGACCGGGCAAACGACACGTGATAAGTCATCAGGTGACCGACCAGAAAACTCTACCAGATACGAACTACGGAGGCGGAATTACCGGGAAAAAGGATGAAGAAAAAGAAAAGCTTTGCAGGCAGTAAAATACAACTGGTACAAGAGGAAATGACACACTACTCTATGCTCAAGACAACGGTATCATTCTTGAGGCATATTTCTATCCTCCCCAGCATCGTCCAGCATCCGGTAGTTACACCGGTCGACTGGCCAACCCCTTCCCCAGAAGGATTACACCGACTCAAACAGATTTGACCTTTTTAGTCAAATCGTTTAGCCAGAGCCACCCTTGTACTTCTTTCCGAAGAGCAGGAGCTGAACCTGGTCGTAGATGGACAGGACACCAGCACCAGCAACACCACGGAGGATGTTAGCACCAGCACCCTTGAAGAGGGACTTGACACCCTCACGGGCGACGATCTGGCGGAAAGCATCCATGGAGGAGCTGTACTTGACGGCCTCACCGGAGGTCATCATCATACGACGACGAACGGTGTCAAGAGGGTAAGAAGCGATACCAGCACCAGTGGTGACAGTCCAGCCGAGAAGGAAGGAAGCAAGGAAGTTACCCTCGAGAGGACCAACCAGAACAACGGGCTTGATGGAGTCGTACATGCCGAAGTACAGACCACGGTAGACAACAATACCAGCAACAGAGGGACCGAAACCACGGTAGAGACCGGCAATACCGTCGGAAGCGAGGGTCTTCTTGTAGACGTCGACGAGACCGTTGAACTGACGCTCACCGTTGCCCTTGGCGGACTTGGCGTCGTTGGCAAGACGGGTACGGGCGTAATCCAGAGAGTAAACGAAGAGGAGGGAAGTGGCACCAGCAGCCTGTTCATCGAGTCAGTTCTTGATCTTCTCCAAGGTCTCGCGATTTGGATATACGTACACCACCGGAGGCAAGGTTACCCATCATCCACTTGGTGTATCCATCACGCTCCTTCTTGTAGGCGAACATGGACTTGTAGGTATCACGGAAAGCGAAGTTGAGGGCCTGGGTGGGGAAGTAACGGATGACGTTGGCAGTGTTACCTCTCCAGAGGGAGACAACACCCTCGTTGGCAGCGGTACGGCGGAAGCAGTCGACGATACCGTTGTACTTCTTGTCGAGACGGCCAGCGCGGAGCATCTCATCCTGGTTCTGGATGAGGAGCTTGATACGCTCGATGGGGGCAGCAGCAGTCTTGGAGACAGCGGCGGAAACACCACCCACTGTGGACAGTAGTCAGTATCATGGATTGGAGTAATCGATAACATTGGGCCATTGATGCATGGATGAAAGATCGATCGATGGCCGATGATCCATCCGCGAGACCCGAAGGATGTACGTACTCAAGAAGTCGACGACGAAGCCCTGTGAAAATTTTTATTAGCCATTAATTCCGACTAAATGGATGAAAGTCGAGCAGATTCTCTAATCACTGCCCCCTTCGATATAATGCGAGCTCGTCTCAACTCATTCAGAGTCGTTTCCAGTGGGCTATCGAAGGGCGCGTGATGCGAAAAAAACCGGTCGACTCTCGAACAAGGGACAGATGGCAACTTACGGGCATGCCGAAGACCGACTTGTCGGCCTGGTTAACGTCACCCTGGGCCATTTTGACGGCTGTGAGAAACGAAAACTAAACAAAAAAAGAGAGGAGAGAGATAGTGCCGGACAACACAGGACACTTCACGGGGGGATGGGGAAGAGAAAGAGAAGAAGAAGGGGAAGGAAGGAAGAAAAAATAGCGAACGGAGGGCTCTTGTAAGCGGGAAGAAGCGAGCGGAGGCGCTAGGACTCTCTTGGGGGGGCGAAGTGAAATTTTGTTTCGCTGGCCTGAATGTGCAGTCAATGCAATGGCAGCGGCGGCGAAGAGCGGCCGCACTAGTCCCGATTGGAAAGCCTGGCTGGATCCCGGTCCGGAGTAGGGAGTTTTCCCATTGTAGGGCAAAAGGGATGAAAAAGGGAGGGAGGAGACCAAAGGGCGAAACTGTGAAAGGAGGCGGCGACGGCGGGTCTCTACCACCAAGCAAGAAAAAAAAAAATATGGAACAAAAACAAAAAAATACAGAGAAAAAAAACTGGGTCTGACGCTAATGCTGGCCCAGGCAACCAGAGCCGATATCTCCCGATCGCACCAGTAACCGTCCCGACCGCTGCTGATATGGGAAAGAGGGAAATTTCTCACGCATGAGTTATTTAGGGAGCAGCAGCAATTGATTTCCTATCTATCAGTCATTGCAGAAAAAAAAAGAACTTAATAATGGAGTTGGATTTGGGCTCGCCTAATGCCAGAAGAGCATTCGATTCAGACATGACAGTCCTGTTGTTGATTGCTCAGAGCCTCCGCTGGGGAGAGCATTTCGGAGGCATTCGGCACCTTTCAAAACAACAACAATAATGCATAATCCTCATAATCATAATCGCTGCCTTAGTGCCTCGTCAGCAATTCCGCCCATCTTCACCGAACCAACTTTTCTCTGCGTGCAGCAATAGTTAGCAGCCGCAGCCGCGCAGTAACTCTCACGATCCCTTTCTTTCTCCATCTCCCTCCCGATTACCCGATGGCGAAATTCCTCCTTATGCGGCCTCTGGTTCCCGGAAAAACTTGTCTTTTGCTCGGGCCAAGGATGAGGATATGACCTTTCCCTGGAGATGCCCTCCACCGGAAAAGCCCTCCATCTACATCGAGTACAATCAAGATAGTAGTTCAATTTTGCGAAGGCGCGTGCACCGACTTTCGGCTGTCATCCCGCGTTTTCCCCGTCTTTCGCTCCGTACTAAGACTCGGAGAGGTTGGGCCAGAGGCACGGGATTGAATAATGAGAAGTCCTTCCACTCGGTAATGCGGAGGAGCTAATAGGTTCCAGGAGCTGGAACAAAATCCCTTTCATCTAAACTAGATTGTCAATTGTCAGTTTTGCCTGCTTCAGGCTCAAGAATTCTGGGCCGCAAGTTGCTGATAGACGTAATGCTCCGACTCTAAACAATCCATTGATGACTCCAGAAAAATGCTCGAGGCTCTCGGATGCGTCGTTCATCAGACACAGCATCTCTCGATAGGTTTGCTTATCGTCTTTCTTCATGCCCCAAGAGAAGACCCAGATTCGATCAAAATTGAAAACGGGCAATGGCATCTTGCTCCACTATCAAGTAGATACTATTGTGTAGACTAGACCTCATTGCCCCTGCTTTCCTGCCATGGTGATATCCACTTTTTCGCCTCTTTCACGGGACAGCCCAGAGTACCGAGTTGCGCCTTCACAGAGGGGCCCACTGCGCCTGACTGTCTGCCGTGCCCAGTCTACTGGTTTTCGAGAAATTAAAAGTTAACAGTGCTCGATTTGTTATCAACCCGAGCACGCCTTGAGGAGGGCGCTGAGTTTATCAGCGTCCAGCCTCGAGTCACGAGACCCATATTCTACAACATTTTTACAATTGTTCGAAGACCACTAAAACCAGTATAGTAATACGCAACGAAATAGGTATATCTTGCATCTAATCTATCAGAACAGACGAGTGTATCGCTAAATACTTTTTCGAACTAAAACCATTCAACAACCATGTGGTGAAACACATATGCGAGACAGGAGGTCGATTCAAGCATTTAGTGCTTCTTTGACCTCTTTCTCTTCTTCTTGCTGGGCTCACCGTCACGAATATCGACTTTGCCCACATTTTCCGTGTCTGGCGTAGGGGCCTTGGGAGCCTCCTCGGAGATACGGGGACCTTCTTCATTGCCAAAGGTATCCTTGCGCCATTGCCTAAGGCGGGCTTTCTTACCCAACTTCCTTTGGTCCTTGGCCTTCTTCTCCGGATCACGGTATGATGCAAGTTTCTTCAGGCCGGCAAATTGATTGAGCTGGTTGTCATCAGCCATGAGAATATCCCTAGCAGTAAGTCCGAAGCTCTGGGGCGAGGTTTCGCGGTAGCGGAATCCAGTAGCGTTTTTCTTTGTTGCCCCAGGAAGCAAGCTGATGTCGAGATCAAGATTGCGGTCCACAGCTTCCTCGACACGCATGCGATCTTTGCGAGATTCCCGCTTCTGATCTCTCCTCTCCTGTGCCTTGCTCTTCTTCTTCTCGCCTTCCTGCTCATCCTCCATGTCGACGTCCGAGTCGGCCATGACGGCCTTCTCTTCCTCATCCTCATATTCTGGCACGAGGTCTTTAATGTCGATATCGTCGTCCCATGTAGGCTTCTTGGGATGCTTTGTGCCATCAGCGCCAGCTTCGGCATAGTAGTCTTCACCGAACCGCTTTTGCATTTCGGCCTCCCAATCCTTGCCATCCCAGGCATCGTCCAAGAAGTGCGCCCAATCCTCGTCCGTCAATTCAGTTCCATGGATGCCGGCAACCTCCTTGATTTTCTCAACCTTCTCCTGCAATTCTTCCATCTTAAGCTTGCGAAGACGGTTCTTCTCGATCTCACGCTGTTTCTTTTCCTGTTCCTTCTGCTCTCGCTCCGCGTCTCTGCGTTTCTTTCTCATGCTCTTCTCCTCCCGTCGGACAGACTGCTGGTTTGTGGCATCACGAGAATGCGTCATAAGTGTAGCATTCATCTTGCTGGGATCCTCAAAGCGGAAATTATATGCCTCCTCGAATGCCTCCGCGCGTTGATCCTCCTCCTCATCGTCAGACTCGAACGGCTGAAGTTCCGATCTGCCAGCGGGGATCCATGCCCGGGATGAGAGGAAGTTCGACAAGAACGTCTCCGGATCCTTGTCCGCATTCTCAATGTCAAGGTTTGCATCAGTCTTGGTTTCAGGGAAAGACTCGGGCTTAGATTTAGCGACAAGGAAGTCATCTTCCTCTTCCTTCTCGGCTGCATCCTCGTCGCCAATAGCAGCGTGCATTTCCTTGACTATGGCGTTCTTCAGGTCAGCCTGCTCCTGAGCATAGGTTTTGGGAGCATTGCTCGTGTCTTCCTCGTCAGCCAAGTTCGCGCCGCTGAGTAGGTTCTCCCGGTGGTAATCGCGAAGAGTCATCGGTTTCTCCTTCTTTCCGGTGTTCTGTGGTTGTTCCTCCTCATCGAGTTTGGTGAAGAATTTGGCGTTCGGGTCGTACAAGCGGGGATCCTTGGATCGGATTGCCTTGATAGTTTCCATGATCTCGACATCCACAGCCTCAGTAGCCAACTCTCCGAAATCGTCCTCTTCTTCGGATGATGACTCCTCTTCTGAATCCTCTTCGTCGTCACGATCCCGACGTTTGCCGAGTACCGAGGACTTGCCTAGCTTTGACTCCACTACAGCGGTTCAAGAGTCAGTCTCAATTACAGCGAAAGAGTAAAGACAATGAAGGGGCCTTACACTGTACCATCTCTTCTCTCTTCTTGTTATACTCGAAGCGACGAGCATAATCTTCGTTGATCTTGAACACGACATCTTCATTGCTGATGGGAACTCCGCCAGACTCATCTTCCGAATCACTGGAGCTGTCATCCAGCAGCTTGCGCGACCTTTTCGAAGAGGGCTCCATTTTCTGAGTGATATTTCCCCGGGATGATAGGTCTCAAGTAACTTGAATACTGGATTGAATGATTGCTCCGCCGAAGGGGAAAAAAAAAGAGCGGTTGCCGGCAGAAAAAAACCGACTCCACTCTTGACCGCCTTGCGGGATCCATCGACCCTGTTCTGCCTTATAATCCAGGCTGCGGGACAAAGACACTGACGTAGCCAATCAAGACATGCGCGGTCCTGTATCCGCCTAGATGGTCAGAGGCGCTCGATCTCCTAAAGCTCCCCCCTCCTCCCTGCTGCGACATGCCCCCTCCTATCCCTTACTGCTGATTCTGCTCATTCTTGGATGCTGCTTGCTTGTTTGTTAATGCGCATGGTGACTTGGAATCTTTTATCTGTCAATTCTCCACGTTATTCTCCACCGCATCGGTGTATGGCTGGTGACATACACTAGATGTCGACTCAGCCGCAGATCCCATTACCCCAGGTTGGGAAGCTTGTCAGTGTGGTGTAAGTGATCGGAGTCTCTACCAACTCATCTATGCGCTTCTTTCTCTAAGCTCTGTATCATCTAACTCTTTTCTTAAGTCCGGTCGGTTTAAAGGAGGCTGCACTCGATTCCCCCACGTTCCGCGCCACCGCCCTTCACTTCTCCGACCAGATCGAATTTCTCGAGAGATGGCTCGACGGCTATGCGAGAGCTGCCTCAAAGCTCTCCGCAGAGCTTGCGGCAATAGAAGGGGCTGTTAGCGTCTTTCTGTCCTATTCTACGAATCCCTTACTGGTTTCTGAAGCCGTCCTCGACCATGATTACACTCTACAATCGATGCGGAGGTGTGGTGATAGCTCAAAGGACATGTGGAATGGATTAGTGTCTACTGTTAAGAAGATGGAATCTCTTGTGTCCGAGCCTATAAGGGGATTTATTCAGGAGGACTTGCGCAACTTCAAGGTATTCAATATGAGGACTCTTAAATTAAAGGATCGGTATCTGACCCCCACTAAAGGAGATCCGGCGCACGCTTGGCGAGACACAGAAACACTACGACTACTTGCTGGCCCGTTATTCGTCACAGTCCAAATCGAAAGAACCTTCAGCCCTACGAGAAGATGCTTTCCAGCTCCATGAAGCTCGCAAAGCTTATCTCAAGGCCTCAATGGATTTCTCTGTCCAAGGACCTCAGCTACGCAATGCGCTTGACAGGCTTTTAGTTCGCGTCTCCTTCGACCAGTGGCGGGAGCTTAAGACTATCCATACCAATAATGGTACCTCGTTTGCGAAATGGGGTCAAGAGATGGACCGGATCAAGGGCTGGGTGCAAGAGATGGATGGAAACGAGAAGTCTGCCAAGCGGGAGCTCTTGGCTTCGAGGAAGCATATAGAGGAAGCTGCAGAAATTGCAGCGAGACCGTCGCGTGAACTGGATGATTACTCTGTATCTACCGTCCCCTATCTCGGCTCGCGCCCTCTTTCGACAGATAGCATGTCCAAAGAGGCAAGACCCGAGAAGCAAGGGTGGGTGTACCTCCGAACCCTCTCGGGTAAGCCTACACGCACTGTCTGGGTTAGACGCTGGGCATTTTTGAAACACGGCATCTTTGGTTGTCTTGTCCAAGGCACTCGTACCGGCGGCGTTGAGGAGAGTGAACGAATTGGTGTTTTGCTTTGCAGCATCCGGCCGGCTTTCCAAGAAGAGCGAAGGTTCTGCTTTGAGGTCAAGACGAAAAGCAACACAATCATGCTTCAGGCTGAGACACAGAAGGACCTGATGAACTGGATTGCCGCTTTTGAGGCCGCGAAGCGCAAGGCTCTTGAGAATCCGTCGAGTACCGACCTTTCAGTGTCCGGCAAGGTCACCGTTCAGGATCCCGCATTTGCAATTTCCCAGCCTCCAGCGCCAGAATTCGCTGCTGACCCTGCCGACTCTCTCACGCCTCATACAAGCGATGAGCAGGGCTCGTCCGATCGTAATGGGATGCTCTCACTTCCAGAGAAGGATTCCTCTGCTCTTCGCAACAGTAGCGACTTCAGCAGCTACCGGAGGCTAACGACGCTGGATTCCGACAGCCCTGCCCGCGAACATGCATCTCGTCTCATGCAGAAGCTGGATCTTCATCGCAAATCAAACAACTCCGTGCAGCCCTCCTCATCGATCCCCGGGGTTGCAGGCGGGATTGCTAGCCTCATTACTGCGAGTCATAGCGCGATTGCTTCTGGAAGCACTTTGCCAGTTGACCCAGATGGAACCCGATCCCGTAGCTCGACTCTTGGTAATGATTCTCCCACGACTCTCGCCCCGACGACATTGGCCAATCCTCCTGCCCCCACGAGCATGAGCAAAGCTGCTGTATATGTGAGTAATGAAAGGGGTATAGGGCTTGGTCAAATTGACAAGACAGGTGGAATGCCCAGCGGCATGATGGCAAACTTGTGGGGTAGCTCCAATTGGGGCTTCTTGAACAGGTTTGAGCCCGAGCGACTGGGAATGCCGGCAGATCAAGACACGGACAAGTCATCCTCTAAAGCGAAAGATCCCTCCAAACAGTTTTTGACAGCGGAAGCCGATCCTTCCAGTGGATCTATTACGCCTAAACCGCAGAAGACCGGGTCGCGTCATAGACCGACAGTGAGTTTGGACGGCGACTCGTCCAAAATACAGCAAGCGCTCATGAGAGACTCGCACGACTATCCTAGTTTCTATCCTCCTCAACTTAAGATTCACGATGCCCAATTTCGCTTACTGTTCCCCGATATCAAGAAGGAGGAGCCTTTGGTCATGGTGTTCCGGGCTACATGGAGTCCGAACGACCAGCAAGACTTCCCCGGAAGAGCTTTTGTGACTACTCAGAACATATATTTCTACAGTCATCATTTCGGTCTGGTACTGACGACATCCGTATCGCTGGAAAGTATCAAAGAGGTCACTGCTGCGACTGGCAGGGATTGCGACTTCCTGTTCTTACATCTCATACCTGCTCCTGGTGATGACACACCGAGCCGGGGAACGATAAAGACGTTCCTAGAACCATTGAGACTCCTCCAGAGGCGGCTCAACTTTTTAATTCACAACATGGCAGCTGCTGAACCTTTGGGGCTTGATGCGGTTTTCAGGACCCTGACCAGAATGGAGACAGAGGCCATGACAAGGACCCCCAGCTTGGATAGTTGGGAGGATGTGGGTGCTGGGGAGGACAAGAACGATCTCAGTGATGTGCCGGCGGGAGGTTCCAAGAAAGATTCTCGTCTGCCCATTTACATCGACAATGATCTTAACCTGCACAAGAAGCACGGCAATGGTAAGGATATGCCAAAGTTTCGACTTCCGACACAGCCGGTTCAGTATGTTCCTCAAGGGAACCTTCACCTTGCTGCGGAGAAGGTGTTCGACATTAGTCCTAAAGCTGTTTTCCACATCTTGTTTGGCGACAAGAGTGCTGTGTGGCAGCTTCTTCTGCATCAAAGGAATGCCCAAGGTGAGTCATGGCTCAAAATCTGTTCGGCGCTTGCTAATTTCGTAATAGGTATCAAGCAAGGGCCTTGGACTAGACACGAGTCCAATCACCTGAGAAGGGATTTTCATTACTCAATCGAAACTAGCGATATTTTTGGTAGATACCTGAACTATTTTGAACAGCTCACGCCGATACTGACTTTCGTTAGGGACCAAGCATAGCAAAACCATCTCGGACTACCAAATGATTGATGTTCTTAATGACCACCTTTGTTATGTCATTACGGACAAGCGCACACCTTGGCACCTACCATTCAAGCGATCCTTCAGGTTGGTTAGTAAAGTTGTGATTACTTTTGTTGCAAAGGGCAAGAGCAAACTCTCCATTTACACGAAAGTGGAATGGCTATGGTCACCGTATGGTCTGCAGAGTGAGTTACACTAGATCAATGGGAAACCTACAAGGTGTCGCTAACTGCATCAGGAATTGTGGATAAAAGTGCGAGCAGTGACTTGGAACAGGACGCGCTGGACCTCCTTGACCTTGTCGGTGACCAGGTCCGCAGATTAGGTGCACATAGTCGAACGAAGAAAGCCATCACGATCTTTGGTCATGTCGGACGCCAGAGTTTCGCATCTCAGTTTTCACCTTCGGGAGACCTTAAGCTAGAGTCTCGCAAGCCTCGCACACAGAGAAGCATGGCCTATCTCCTATTCGAAACTTTTCTGTCCTTCCTTGAAAGTGCCGCATCATCGCTCCTCATGTGGACCGGCGCTTTCGTACGCTGGGCTTGGAAGACCACCAATGCGAACACGGTTATCCTTTCACTACTCTTAGCGAGCGTGCTGATCAACGGGTTCTATTCGTCACAAGTTGTCCATGAATGGTGGGATGACAGGAGTGTTGGGAACTTCATGTCCCGTATCGGAATTGGTCCCGACAATGTTATGAGTAGAGCTATCTATATGAGGGACATTGACGAGGCTGTTGCGAACGCGACCATTGGTCGCGGAAGCGGAAACGTGAGTGACTGCTTCGCAACGTTCCAGCAACAGACTTTGAGGGAGCCAGGCACGGCCTTGTCGTTGGGATCAGCCAGCTTCAGAGACTCCATGACCAAGAGCGCAGCGCGCAGAATCCAACAGACCCGTGAACGGCTGGCTACCTACCGACACAACCTCCTAGTTGCTCTTCGAGTGGTGAACAGCATTGAACGAGAAGTCATCGAGAACGAATGGCAACGGTGGCTCCGACAGGAACTGCGCCGTTGCCGTCAGGTGGGAATCCTCCTTGGTCAGAACGATGGCCTCGATGATGCCGACCTGGAGGTTGAGCGAACCAGCTCGAACGCATTCACCAATCTGAGTGACGATGTCAAGCAGTGGTACGGTATGTACTGCTCGAGTTGCCAGTCCGAACAGTCATATGTTGAGGACGACCATGCCTTTGGTGTTCTCTAGACAACGGATGAGTGGCGCATTTCCTTATGCTCTCATTTCCTTCTCAACCCTGAAACAATACCCGCGCGGCAGCGAAGCGATCTGTCTGTCATATCCAATGTATCTTTCTTCGAAGGATGGAGGCCCTGTTCTATCTCCGTTGCCGTAATCTCTCGGCGCATGTATATAATGTTGGTTGGGTTTGGCTGTAATAGTAGAAATTGGACGAGGCTTTTTCTTGCTGTGCATAACGTTCGTGATCGCGTGTCTCCTTCGTCCCTCCCTCATTCCAACCCACAACCCCAACCACTCAGCTTGAAACATGAGTACATCAACCAGACCTCAATTTTGTCGCGGCTTTACCGCTCCATCCTGAACGACATAGTAGACCACCGTACTATCGCCTCCCATCTGCCGATCCACCATAGCCAGAAGCATCCTCTTCCCACCCCACTCCTTCGTCATACGGGCCTGTTTCCGATACTCGTAATACTCCTTTAAGTTGTCTGCCTTGCTGCTCCCGCTACCGCTGTTGCTGTTCTCATTCTCCATGCCCACATTCCCCGCCCGCTCCTCCCCCTCTTCCCCTTCCAGACCCTCCGTATCTTGCCCCTCAGGCAGCGCATCAAACACCCCCGCCAACCTCCGCAGACTCCACGTCTGGCCCTGCACAGTAGGAAGCACAAACATGCGCTCAAGCTCGAGGTCCTCCTCACGGAGCCCGCGCTCGAGGAGGTAGAATTGCTCGTCCGGGTGTGTGTAGAGCCGGTGGGGTGGGATTCCAGAGATGAGGTGGGTCTTCTGGGTCTGGTCAGTTGTGTCTGCTGCTGCTGCGGAGGGACCGGAGTGGAGTTCGTGGATTTGGAGGGAGGTCCAGAGTTGTTGGTGCTGCAGATTGTGAAGGACTTGGAGGGTGAGGGCGGTGGTTTGGGGGTTTGCGCTGAGGGTCTGGTGTTGGGTGGGCTTGTGAGTTGGGGAGGGGTTTGATGAAGGTGATGTTTCTCTTGTGAAGGAGGAGATGAGGGTTGTTAGGGCGGATGGAAGGATTGGTGAGGTCATGGTTTGGGGGTTTTCTCGATCTGATTTGGATTGCACGCAGTGGATGGAGGTCGAATTGTATGGCTTGTGGGAGGTCTATTGGATGATTAGTGTTAATTTCATAATATTGCAATAGAGACGTCTCAACCCATCCTTTACCTACCCGAGATTTTAAGGGTGGGTTGAAAGGGGAAAAGCTCCTAAGTGGAATCGCAGATCATAAAAAAGTTGAAGGAATTCATTCCCAGGGCCTCGGCGGGGCGGAAGAAAAGAGGGCGATCGATCAAATGCGCGCCGAAGTCCCGCGGCGCGTTTTTGGGTTTGGGGGGAAGGAAGCTGCTGAAAAAGAACAGAACACATGGCATCATCTGAAACATCTTTTTTATAAAGTTATCTTATTGATCCCCTTCCACTTTCTTTCCCTTGCTTTTTGAAGTCGCTCTTTTGCATGCGCTTTTGCCCGCTGTGCGTGTTTGAAGTTCCTTTTCATTCACTACCTTGTTGGTCCTATCGACACGATCCTTCCTCGGTTTTCCTGGCGATTGCATAGGTCTACTTACTGTACCTACCTCTAAAGCATTGCGCTTCCGGTTGTCAATGGCACGGCAAAAACAAGCAGCGCCCTTGCAACGGGCTACTTCTTCCGAGATCATGCATGCTCCGCCGAACGATTCGGATGCGCAAGTGCTCAAGCAGCAGAATGGAGCTGCTGGCGCGAATGGACATGTTGCTGCACCGAAGGATGCGGCACAAGATACCCCCGGGTTGATGCAGCTTGCGGTCTGTGTCTTGGGAATCTACGCTTCTTTGTATGTGTCTCTCATGCATCTCACATATCGCGTATTCAACTGACTTCTGCGCTCAAGCCTTTCTTGGGGTGTCCTCCAGGAAGCCATCACCACCGTCTCCTATCCCGTTCAACCTCCGAGCGCTGAATTGCCCGAACCGCCCACGGAGCGCTTCACATACTCGATTGTCCTGAACACGATCCAATCGACCTTTGCAGCCATCACCGGCTTTCTTTACCTCTTCTTCTCCACGCCGTCCGGCCAAAAGGTCCCCTCCATATTCCCTACCCGGAAGATCGTCTTTCCCTTGCTCCTGGTCAGCATCTCTTCTTCGCTCGCATCCCCCTTCGGATACGCTAGTCTCGCCCACATCGACTACCTCACATTCATCCTCGCCAAGTCGTGCAAGCTGCTTCCTGTCATGTTCCTCCACTTGACCATCTTCCGCAAGCGCTACCCGCTTTACAAGTACGGTGTGGTCCTCCTGGTGACACTCGGCGTAGCCACCTTCACTCTGCACCACCCAGGCACGAGCAAGAAGGTGGCCGCCTCCGCGGCCAAGGGACAACCCGGCTCCAGCATGTGGGGCATCTTCCTGCTGTTCATCAACTTGCTTTTGGACGGTCTCACCAACACCACCCAAGACCACGTCTTCACTTCGCCGCAGACTTACACGCGCTTCACGGGCCCGCAGATGATGGTCGCCCAGAACGTGCTCTCGACTCTCCTGACCAGCGGCTATCTGCTGGTGATGCCCCACCTCTCGGCCACGGGGCTTCTGCACAATCTCTTGCCGTTCCCTATTCCCCCGTCCACGGAGACGGAGCTGACAGGCGCGATCGGGTTCCTGTCGCGCCATCCGGAGGCATTGAAGAACGTGCTGGGGTTCGCGGCGTGCGGAGCGATCGGGCAGCTGTTCATCTTTTACACGCTGTCGCGGTTCTCGTCGCTACTGTTGGTGACGGTGACGGTGACCCGCAAGATGCTTACGATGCTGCTGAGCGTGTTCTGGTTCGGACACTCCCTGTCGGCCGGACAGTGGCTGGGGGTGCTGTTGGTCTTTGGAGGCGTTGGCGCCGAGGCTGTCGTGCAGCGACAAGAGAAGAAGGCGAAGGAGAAGGCGCGAGCTGCCGCTGCAGCTGGAAAGAAGGAGTAGTTGTGCTCTGTATGAGTATTTACTCTGCTTGAAAGGACTGATCAATAAAGTTTCCATTCATCTTCTGTACATATGGTTCTATAGAAAATTATCCTCTCCCTAGACTGACCCTTTATTTACCGCTCTTGGCATCAATGTCTTTCAGTCACAAATTCTCCTCATTAATGGTATCTAGTATGTTATCTAGTTCTTCCGACTCCAGCCAATGGATTTGATCACCGCGACGCTTGCGGCGCCTTTGCATAAGTAATTCAAGATACTTGCAATGGAATAGATCTACTTCCTCCCCTCAACCATGATAATATGATACCCAAACCCGGTCTTCACCTCCACCCACTTAGGATTCGCCGTCGTACTGGGCTCCAGGTCATACGCCGCCTTCTCGAACTCCCCATTCAAACTCCCGCGAACTTTCCACCCCAAAGATCCGCCTTTTTCATCAGAGTCAGTACATCAACCACCTTTCGCCGCAACCAACCCACAAGGAGCAAAGAGGAATAGACATACCCTGACGAGCCTTATCCTCCGACATCTCCCTCGCCACCTCATCAAATTTGGCCCCATTGCGGAGCTTCTCCAAAGCTTCTTCCTTCTTGGAGTGTTTCTCGCACTGTTGTGTGTGTTGCCCAGGAGGATTTGAATTAGCTGAGTTTCGCATTTCAAAGAACACGCTGGGAGATAAAAACCCCCCAAAAAAGCGTATATGACACGACTGATCTTTCAACATCTAGAGAACAGGGGAGATAATCTAGAACTACAGATGGGAAAAGCTGAACGTACAAGAATATGCCGCACGTTGATGGAGGTCGCGGGCTTGAGGCCCTTCTTGTCGCCTCCACTGTCTTTGCCCTTTTTGTCACCACTGCCGCCGCTGCTGCCTTTATTTTTACCCATGTTTGGTGATTAGATGGACAGAGTTGTGAGGGATGATTTATAGCAAGGCTAGTTGATTTATCGTACGTGTTGGGTGCCGTGATGTGTATAGCACAGTTGGTGGTTTATCAGATGGGGAAGTTATAAACTTAACTCAGGTGGAGGAGGGTTGGAGGTGGGGGTGCGATGTGCTGTGGTGCCTGAGGCTGCCACTGTAAGAGAAAGTTCCCGCCCCCTCCCATGTCTTGTAGATGCTTGCTTGCTTGAAGTAATCGGGATGAGCTGGTGCTTATACCGTGCACTTGTGAGGGGGGTTTTCCTGCTAGCAGGACACTATTAGACATTCGTTGTTGTATGATAGGGGTTATATAGTTGAGTGACTAGCGAGGCGGTGTCCTCCTAATCCGATCGATACAGCACGCTTTCTGCCATATTTTCCTTGGGCGGCTGTGATTACCGCTTACTATCTTTGGCTCAGTCAGCCAGGTAGAGCTACTGATATACAAGCGCGTACTCATGTCACGTATACTTGAACGAAAGCCTTTTCCCGCGGTGAGCAATGCTTGTCTCTCGGAGTAGGTATTACCATGTCTCAAAGTTGAGAGGGTTGATTTATGTCATAGAGACTAGTAGTAAGAGACATGAATTTATCGAAAGCATGGTCCCCCGCATGGCGCACGTTTCCAATGATGTATTATTCTGCACCGTCCTGAACAGATCGCTCGAGCATACAGCTGCGATCCCGCTGAAACTACTGCACAGTACTAGTAGTATCTTTATATGCCCGGGAACTGCTTGGACTTGAAGCTTTTTGAGGCGGCAAATGCTTCCCCCGCGGATAGTATTCAAGCACACTGGCAGTGGATACGGATCGGGGCCCCACCACCGTGGCCGCATACCAATCCGGCGTCTCCTGACTTCATTGACCTTCGAGCTGACCTCTGCTGAGTAGTAGCTTAGGATCGGTGGAAAAGCAAACATCCCTTTGCCCATCCCTGCTCATTCCCCCTCAACAATGTCAACAATAAATCATTGCGACCAGTTGGACTTTGTTTGAGTCAATAACTAGGTAATCACTCAGTAGAGGTCAGTCAGACAGGCTGCTCCTCGTATTGCAGTACATGATACTATGATAGGAGTGCTATCAACTATTGCGGGCCCGCTTTCGACAAGTTCTGGAGCTGTGTTGAACCTTCCCTGCAGCACACTCACAATACTCGAGTCAGAAAGATGTTCCACCTATGTGGCTACCCAGCAACCTAGCCGATCATTCACTTCGACGTCACAAAGGGCGGGGGAGTGCGGGATAAGGGCTATGTCATGATCGGAGCGCAGGATAAATAGCTGTCTTGCTCACTTCAATTTGTTTCCTGCCTATCCAATCTACTCAATATTCAGTGCAAACCACATTGGCTCCTCATTTGCCCCCTTACGAACCAATTACCTTTTCCCATATCAACCATGTCTCTCGACTTTCCCAACGAAAAGACTATCGACCTCAGCCTGTGGGACTATCTGACCGACGTGGACGGCTTGAACGCCGACGCGCCTAATCAGTCGAGATTCAACCTGGCAGTCGAAGGATTCAAGAAAGCTTCGGAGCACTTTGTGTCAGAGCACGGAACGGCAGTGAACGCTTACGAGCAAATGAAAGACCGGGACCTCACCGGGGGAATGAGCTTTGAGCAGTGGGCTCAGCAAAATGTCTGTTTTCACTGTGCTATATATATACCCTATTTCTCCTTCCTTCCTTCCTTCCCTCCCTCCCATAGTATTGTTTGATCCCTCTTTAAATCAAGCACACCCTTTGGATTCCCCCCCTATTAACCGATTAACCAGGCCCCAGCGTTCAGAATTGCCCTCCAGGAATTTCAAGCGACTCGGCACCAAGTCAGGGTGAGTGGAGAGCTGGCATACGGTGCCGAATACTCGAATCGGATTAGTCAAGGCGATGAACGCTCAAAACACACCGCATACGGTAAGGGTCTTTACTATTAGCAATAGCTCTTGGAAGGAGAAGGTACCGTGCGCTGTCTTCGACCCGGTTTTCAGTGCACGGAGGTGCTTCGCAAAGGATGAATTTTCCCTCAGCTAGTAGGAGGATGGTAATGCGAGGAGCATATTCACCATTGGACTTGTTGGGACCCTTGATTGATAGATTGACTCAGTTACTGGAATGATCAAGTATACATGTACATATAATGCTTATTGGAACATGAGCTTGTTACCTTGCTGCGGACTTCACACTCAGTAGGCTCCGGTGATTCGCATAATGAAGCGGGGGATGCTGCTTGCAAGGGCCACAGGCAGCTAGAATCTTGAAATCTTATTGAGTGGCTGCTGCATGAATATCTGATTCGCCTGGACAGGGCTGGGGATGGATAGTAGCGGTAGACAAGCGAGATCCGAGATGATCCTTGTGCTGTATATAGAGACTTAATCAACAGTAGTCTCCCTCAAGCTCTCAAGCATAGTTAATCTTATCGCACCTAGAGTTGTTGTCCAGCAGGGGGGAAGATTGTCAAAGTTCGCTGTCTCCGACAAGCAACTTATCATCTCTGTATCGCGTGTTGATCTATATCATTCTGCCAAGCCGCCATGATTGCCTCGACCATGGTATCCCAGGACATGAATCGGGACCTCTAGCATTGGTAGATCGGAAGATAGTCCAGATAACACCATGTTTCAGCGCAAATCTATCGCAATGAATCTCATTACACCTCGCAATCGACGCCAACGACTAGCTTCTCATGTTTCGCTCGGAGCCCTCCTCTCTTTAGGACGGTTGAAGTTGACTCCAAGTCAGCGCCATTGGCAATCTAGCGCTCGAGGCGGGGAAGTATGCCAGACTGTGCATGCGACCTGAATGAGATGCAATGGCTGCTCTTGTTTCAGGTGAGGGGCCCTCACAAGTATAGACTGACTGCCATACATGAAATAAAATGGAGATTCGACCTGGTCATAGTTTAGAAAGGCCGGTGTCGAGCACGTGACATAGCATAGAGCGTGGGCGGCGCAGCTCTCGAGTTGTGTACTGTACCAGGACCTCCTAGCATGAAGATTCTATTGAACTTCCCTCTTATTGCTACTACTAAACGCTGAGATTATCTCCCTCGTATCAAGTTGGATCTTTCGTAATGACGCAAAGAGGAAGTAAATTGAGTTCAGTCAGTCGGACTAGTACCAACAGCTTGAAGCGTTCTTCGACACCTGTCAAGCCTCCGAAGCTAAGTAAACACAACACCCGGAATATATCTGCCAGGTCCACCACAATGGTATTTTTGGGGTTTGATCGCTGCCTACCATAGTTGTAGCGCACCCTACCAGTCAAAGCTCAATTTAGCAGCAGCTGCAGCCGCCGCCGCTGCCGCTGCCGCCGCCTAAAGGCCATTTTAACTTCTTCAGACCGCTCTAAACTCGTGACTATTTATATAAATCATGATGTCACCACCCTCTCGACAACCAGTCAGTCACTTCCAATTATGAGCGAGATGTCGACAGCCTTTTCCCTACTATCACATCACCTGACCGGGGAGTTGCATATTATCTCTGAGACACAAGGGAGGGCACCTGCGGCACTCCGATTCCCCGTGAACTGAGACAGACAGACAGACAACCCCAAGCTGCAGCCTACGCGGAGTACAAGATCCGAATTCCAAGACCGCCCCAATCAGCATCCCCGTTATACCGGTACATACATACTACCTACTAACTGTACTAACTGCAACGGCCAGGCTAAAAGTAGCAACAAGGGAGAGTAGCCTAGCCAGTCGAGTCACCATCGTCTACGTCAGCACGCTTATCAACGAATCCACTGGTAGAACGGCCACCTAAGGGCGATCGGACTCGTCGGATACATCCAATCCATACAACCATAGCTAGGCACCGCAGCTTCGTACTCGTACTCGTACATCAGATCTCTCTCATGCAGTGACCAGCGTGGTCGACAAATTGTCGAGTCCTTTTGAAAGACTGAGGGGAAGCGGTGCGTGACTACTCTCGACCTTGAAACAGATGGAGAAGCTCGAACGGGCCCGCATTCAGCAATTGCCGTCGGATGCATTCTACATTGCGGATTTTATCTCGGCGGAGGAGGAAGCCCTGCTGCTCAAGAAGGTTCGTTCCTGAATTTAGTTTTACTTTTTTCATCCGTACCATACGGTATCCAGTTGTGATTTACGGGATTTGTGCTCTAGATCATCAACGCCCCGCTACCGCGCTGGATGCATCTTGCGCACCGTCGACTTCAGACATGGCCGTCTGCGTTGACAAAGACCGATACGCTCATTGCCTCTCCGCTTCCCTCCTGGCTCGTCTCGCCCATCGCGACCCCTCGGTTCGATGACCTAAGCATTTTTCGAAACGCGCCGCACGGCGCCCCGAATCATGTCCTCGTGAACGAGTATCGTCCAGGACAGGGCATTATGCCCCATGAAGACGGCGCAGCATATTACCCGCTCGTGGCTACGGTGAGCCTTGGCGCACCGATTGTGCTGGATCTGTATGACAAGCCCACGATCGATACCAATGACAGCCTGGGCCACCAACCGAGGTATCGCATCTTGCAGGAACGACGTAGTTTGCTGGTTACCACGAACAAGATATACACGGATTTCCTGCATGGGATCGCCGAGACAAACAGGGACGAGCATCTCAATGACAGTACCATCTGCAACTGGGACTTGCTGGGGGAGCCTGAACGGTACGACTGTGGCTGGTCACAAAGGGAAACCAGGATAAGTCTGACTTATCGTGACGTGCTCAAAATTGCGAGGCTGGGAAGCACAATGAAATTTCTGAGTACACAATAGCTCGCGCTCGAGACGACCTCGTGGTTCATGCCTAGATTTAGTAAATCCCTGGAATCATATTCCACTTTCCTCGCATTGAATCCTGGCCAAACTTTTGCATATACCATCGTCGGGTGTTGGCCGCTGTCAGGCCAAGATTGAGGGCGACGAACACCAGAGCGGCCACGATTGTCTTGTTGACTAGCTCCCCCTGCGGAGCGGCCAGGAAGGCCAGGGCCAAGTAGACGACACACTCTGCTGTATAGTGCGGGCATACAAGACTATGAAACAGGGGGTGAGTCGGTAGAGTATACTTCTTCAAGGAGAAGAGATAATGATGACCGTCATGTTGGAGACCTGATGCGAGCAGGAAGATCGGGAGGAAGACAAATGTGCGGAGTGAAGGGGCTATGGTGACCTTCACATCATCGAGGACAATTGGACGGGCCAAGAGGGTTCCTGTGGCATGATCAATAAGATATCCTTCGGTGTTGCGCCATGCGTGGGGTGTTGTACCTGCTCCTTCAGCCCAGACCGCAACCGACATTCCCAGGTAGAAAGCAAGGCCGACGAGCCAGTGGATGAACCACATTCGAGACGCCGATGGCCTGGAAAACACGAAGCACTCATACAATCGCCTTACCCCCTGGAGAAGCATGCACGTCCAACACAGCAAAATCTGGTGGATTGTCATCGACCGCTGCAAATGCTCTGGGCTGACCCTCGTTGCAAAGGCCTGGAACGCCGCGCCCCGGAAAAAGAGCTGCACGCTCCAGAAGACCGAGGCTGCCACGGAAGCAACATAGAAATGCGTAAAGTAGCTGTGAGGGACTCTCAAGGAGGCAAGGCAGTCGAAGATGCGTGTAGTTAGGCCTGACGAAGGTGAGGAAGAGGGAGTCGTCGACCCTGGAGAAGAGGGGGGCTTGGAGTCGGTCGAGGTTGCACGAGCGCCATACACAACGAAGCGCGAGTGCAACGAGTCCGGCAACAAGCTGACCGACAGGATCTAAAGTTTTCAATTTAGTTCATTCCCCAAGGGACTCTGTCCAGGCGTGCAGCATCGTCTCCGAATGTTGTCTGCCTCGGCTTGTCGGATGCTTCGGCTGGTCATACCGTACAAGATGCCAGGATAAAGAAGGCCCGAAGGGCATCGATGGCATCCATATGTGTGGAGGCAAGCGCCGTATCCACCAGACCAGCGATTAGGCCCATTGCGAGCAATTTTACTCGAACTTGTACCTGAGGTGAGTGTCCGCCACCGACGCGGAACAAGAAAGGATGAGTGTTGCGGTGGGTGGGGGGGGAAGAAGTTCGGCCGGCAGGAAGATGAACAAGAATAAACAGGGTTCGAGTCCAGTCTAGAGTCGATCCAGCGGGTGGTTTTGTTTTGGTCTTGGTTTTGGCCCTTAGGAGTGTACGAGGAAAACGGGATTGCATGGGGAAGAAATCGGGGAGGTGGAGGGAGGCTCTGGTATTGTTTTACAAGTGTTACCAGACTGGTATTATTCGAATGTTCCTATCAGGGATGATGCGACACGTTCGAAAGCTCGAGTGTGGAGAACCAAAATACCGAAACTCCACAGCTAAGGGATGAGCGAGAGGAAGACTCGTTTCTCATAGAAAAGGACGTTTGGCGGTTTGGCGTTTGATGATCGCTGAGGATCTCGTGACGCAGCGTACAGAGAGGGAGGAGAGCAAGGCAGCAAGTGCTGAAGAAAGCGAGTACCGAGGTTGAAATAAGTCGTCTGTTACAGAACACGGAGGAAAGATAAAGTAGGGGGAGAGTCAACAACAACATCACTCGTACTGACTACGGTGTGTATAAGTTAACCTCAATCGAAAAGGGTCCTTCTTGCTCTTTTGATCAGTCTTCCGGATCGTCAGATGCCGGCTGTTGACGGAGGGGTAGAAGCTCCCCTCCCTCCCCTCTTCTTTCTTTGATGTTTTTGAGGGACTCTCACAACCTCCCTCCTCTTTCTCCGTTCTCACACTTTTGAACTGTATCCTGTACAAGCAAAGCCTCATTCCGTGATGGATTTCAGATCAATTAACTGTCTCTGCAATACTCGAATGGAAGAGAAAGAGAAAAAAAGGGCCTACTGTGTAAGGCCGATGAGCTGATGAGTTGAGATTGAGCGGGGCGATAAGCCGGGAGCAAAGAAAGACAATGACTGGTCTTGCCCAGGAGGAGCAGATCGCTGAAGGACGAAACCTTTCTAACCCGCATGCGGCAATCTGCGGACGATTCACTGTCAACCATTGGAGGAGCCAAGGGGGGCAAGCAGATGGTTGGCCTGATAGCCTACGCCAGCTTCCAGGGAACTGCCACAATCCGTCATTCCCACCCTCCCTCTGTTCCAGGGCTTGCCCGAGTTTCAGTCGCTGCAACGCCGACCCTCCCAAAAGGCTAAAAAAAAAAAAAGGAGAAAAAAAAAAAAAAAAAAAAAAATAGAAA